ATCCCCTTGGCTAATTTCTTTCTGAATTTTCACAGTTCTATCAGAATTTTCTTGTTTCTTTTTTAACACTAGCAATTTTCACTCTAGTATGTTTTTATTAGATTTTGCCACATTTTTCTTTTTTTTAATACGTCTTTATAAAAGGTAAATCACCATCTTTATTATTTTTTTTTTTCAAATACCTTTGATTTGACAAAATACTTGTGAAAACTTCATCTATATATGGTTAAAAATCCAAAATCCAAAACAAAACTCTAGCACAAAATGTGTTTATAATAAATGTACATGACAGGTCCTCTGTTTAAAAATGAACTTGATTTTGTGTTCTCTTTGCTTTATTTCGGTTATTAAAATCCAAACTTAATGTTTTATGGATATCCAATGATCTGTAGGCAATCGCTGGACTTTTATGATTTTTTTACATAGACTGATTATTGAGATGGACAAATTATTAATATCAGTAAGGTACCCATCAATATGTGCAGCCTAGTTTATCAATTAGTGTAGCTCAAGAATCATACTATAAAAAAAGAAGACTACTTCCTATTTTGACAATAAAATAATACCTGTCATTTTTTTCTACATTTCCATTGGGATACATTCACTATACAAACAAAAAAATGTCTCTGATTCCATGAACACAATTTCTGTAACTGTAATATTGTGAACTTAATGCGAATACTGAAATTTGAATTTAACAAAATATCCGCACTGAAAGACAAACATATGCAAAAGACTGATAAGCTATAATTATGTGCAGAACCATCCCCTAACAAAAGTCTCAAGCGTTCATCTACATGTAGTATTAACTAATGTGTTCCCTACATAGTATTCTCATCCATATTTTTAATATGGATGAGAATTGTACACATCTTTTGTCAAGATTCCTATGACGGTGCTGGATGTACTGAATATGTTATTTAAGTTTGACTACCATAATTGCTTGATTTATTTTACGCCATTTCCCCTGATAATGATCAATTCACTCCTGTAATGCTACAATTTTCTTATCTTGCATAAATACATTTTGCAAAAAAAAAAATCTTAATGTTTCTCCCCAAGTTGTAATATTTCTTTTCAAATCTGACTTTCAATTTAAACCAACGTTATAATCTATCCTAAATAGCGAAAGAATATATCACTTTTTCTTCAATATATATGATCTTTGGCATCCATTGAAATGCGTCTTTAAACCTCGCATCCACGTTGAAGAACTCTTTCTGAATTTCTTTGTAGAATCAGCATTTTTTTTTTAAGAAAACCCTTTTGGTATCCAGAATATTTGCGAGTTTCCCTTTTTAATATTTATATACATGTATTTCAGGTTATTCTACATTGATGTAACTTTAGTCAATTACGCAGTTTGAACCAGACAATACCTCCTCAATATTGTATTTTTTTTGCCCCATAAATGACATTTAAAAGTTTGATTCCCTAGATACTTTCAATGACATGATGTTCTCAGTTAGACGAAGATTTATTTGCAAGTTTAGAAATAAAGAAAATAAACCACTGATATTGCATGAACATAGATGATATTGCATTAACATAAATCAAAGACGATTGTGCTCTACTCTGGTTATAATTTCAACCCTGGCCGAGACCAGGGGTGAGCGGCACTTACCAGGTAGAATAAACTAACAAAAGTGTGCATGGTAATTGGTATGCCTCGCGTTAGTTCAGATCAAGGTTATGTCCATCCCATCTTTGAGAAGAGACTGACGCGCTTGCCCTTGCCGACCGATTTTCGATTTCTTGTACCCTGGTTGGGCAAGACTACCAATCTGGACACGTGCTCAGTGAACTCTCACGAGGCCCCCTTTAATGGAGAAACCATTGTGCACGGCTATTGTGCACAGCAACTGGCCCATGACAGATTATCTGTACAATAGCTAGCGCAATGCTTTCGCCATTGACGGGGGCCTTGTGATAGAAGTTATAACATGGATAATTGGTCTTTAACGTGGACAGCCTTTTGAGTTTATGGTACCGCCTATCTAAGTACGATGCCGTGGTGCTTATATCTTTTTGTTCCTAATACCCTGTTTTGATAACACTGATCTCCCCTCCAGTATCTTCCTTGTTTGAAAGCCCTTTTCTTGTAAGCTAAGATTCTAAGAGTCCACGCACACACCAGCACAGCAAGTAAAACAGTTTTTATGTCAAGACACTACAATTACACTTGCACTTCATTAATGCTATCTTTCTGAGCTACCCGTTGTATTATGATGAAGATTAATTATATACACCTCTGAAATGAGAGAGAAATAATCTCTTTTTGCACTGGTTTAAGTGTGAAAGATTAACTTGAGCTGTTCATAATTTGTTTCAGAGTATGTTTGCATTGTGTGTGAAATACTATTTGCAGAAATGACTGTATGAAATTCCTACAAAAGGCATAACTTTTACAGTTTGTCTCAAACTATTTTGACCGTATAATACATAAGTACAACCTTTTCAGAACTGTTATCTGTGTGGCAAGAGCTAAAGTCTGGATATCACTTTTACTCTTTCAGGGAAAAACATACTGTGTGATGTGTGATTTTGGAACGCTTTTGACAAAACTAAATACTTGAAGTCCATCAGGATAAAGGACGGGGTACATAATTTTGAGGGGATCTGTTAATGTCTGAGAATCGGCTCAATGATGTAAATTTGTCAAAACTTGAAACTTGTAAAGTTTGTTTCATCCATCCATGACAGTGATATAGGTCATGCCGAATAAAACTAACCACGTTAAAAAATGTCCACTCATAATCCCCCCCCCCCCAACCCAACAGAAAGTGTTTGAACTTAATAAAAAAAAACACCTTTTATAGCTTATCTGTTTCATTCATTTAATTTTTTTAACTTTGCTTTACAACTTACAAGCTTAATTCTCATCCTGATGGCAAAATGTGTTACCGCTATACCTTTCTGCATTTTAACTCTACATTTGTTTTAAAATGTATCCTCCAAATCAAACAAAAATTAGAAAAAAATAATAATAATCTTCCGTTCTAAAATATTGATGCTTACAAGTGTTTTTCTAAAATGGATTTCGGAATTACTTCCTTTTTTTTTCGTTCTCATGACTCTTTCACCATTTTCATTTTAATTTCTTCTGTACATTTTCAGAGTTCCTTTATTTTCTCAATTTTCAAAACAATTTTTTTGGGATAAGCCAAGCCTACCTATAGGCTCTAATTTTTTTTCAGGATTTTCTTTTCGTACCAGCCACTACGACTATCCAAAACATTTTCTTGACAAGAAACGATCCCGAAGAAGAAACTACCACCCCTACCAGATCATATAATATCCCACAACTCTGACTTAAACCCATTAGAAACTAACAGTAAAAAAATGTGAGATATACCTACTTTCTTATTACAATATAAACTGTTTAAGGCTCTCTTGCTCGGAAAAGATCACAAAATACCATCTTTTTGGAAACGTAAACTTCCAATCCTAAAAGGAATGCAAGCATGGTCAGTTGGTGAAAGCGTGGGATGGCACTTTAGGATATTTTCCGTTGCTTTTTGTTTGTTGTTTTACTTCAGAGTATAAAAACTTCAAGCCATACCTATACGGCCCAGGCTATATCATGAGACCATTTGAGCTTGCCACAACAGGAGGCAATTCCACGGAGCTCCGAAGCACAGAAAAATAATGCTGAGCGAAAACAGGCTTTTAAGCACAATTCATGCAATGAACACCAAATGAGACGCACTCTAGTCGTGTGCATTTACGGGTGGTACAGGAGAACCGGGTACCCTATTGAAGTAAAAACCACAGAGCTATATTAAATTACTAGAGCGCTAACTCTTCATTCTTGCGCGCTGAGACACTTTGAAGCCGCTCTGGGCGCAGACATTTTGAATTTATGTGCGTGTTTGTAGAACACAATCAAAATAGATGAATTGAATTTTAAAAGTGTACTCTAAATGCAACGCGCAAGTAGAAGGTACGCAAACAACTTAAGCCCGTCATGGCGGTTTAAAAAACGTCACGGCGAAAAGCATCTGCAGCGGAGGGACGCGCACACGTTGCGTTGTTTGCGTAGAGCAAAATATAACGTTCATTTGCTGATCGTGTGTTTCGGTTTTGGCCGTATCGGCTTCGATGACGCACCGGTATGGAATACAAACGCAGATATGCAAATAGCCGCACAAAAGCCGTACAAAATGTCGAGTTTTCCATAGGTTTGTGCACAAACATGGATGCCCCCGTCAGGCATTATTTTGTACATCGAGTTAGCGCTCTAGTAATTTAATATTGCTCTATGGTAAAAACACAGGTACCCTGCAGGTACCTGTAAAAGAAACCCAAGCCCAAAATTCAAATCCCGGAAGTTGTCTGAAGGGCTTTATAGCTTTACGGGTGTAACCTGCACCTTTCGCAAGCGTCATCTATAGCGCGTTTCAATTTGTACAGAAACGCGAAGTCTGTTTTGATTTTCAATATAGCCTGGTTTTTGTTTTGAAAATTCTCGACAAATGGCATTTAGAACCTTGTCTGAAAGTTACTAAAGCCCTTTTCGCACTAAACTTCTCAACCAGGGTTGAACTCAACCCTGGGCGAACCCAGTGCCGCCCCGGGTTGAGTTTTTTAATTTTTCAACCCCGCGTTCAGCCCCGCATCGTTTCACACTTCTTTCATGCAAATCAAGCTTATCATGCTCAGTAACTACTGTTTTGAACCCTGGCAAGAATTTCAACCCGGGTTGAAAATCTCAACCCTGGTCTGGAGCAGGGTTGCCCTAGGTTGAGTTTTTTATTTTTCAACTCCGTGTTCAGCCCTGCATCGTTTCACACTTGTTTCATGCAAATCAAGCTTATCATGCTCAGTTACTACTGTTTTGAACCCTGGCAAGAATTTCAACCTGGGGCGAAATCGATCTCGGGGTTGACGCAGGGTTGAAATTCTTCAAGTGTGAAACGATGCATGTTTTCAACCCTGCGTCAACCCCGAGATTTGTCTAGTGTGAAAAGGGCTAAAGTAATTTGTAAAGTTGGTTACGGGCACCTGATCCCATAATCTGGGACTAGTAGATGGGTACCCGGTTCCGTCGCACATCACCCCGAACCCATTCTCAGTTGATTTTTGCTTCGCACCAAAAATTTCGCTAAGCAATTTTTCTTTGGCTTAGCAGCTCCGTAAAATTTGGAACCCGGTAAAATCTTAGGTTTCAGGTGCTATGGTGGAGGGATAACCATTGACTGTCATTACTGCCGGTGGTGGGTGATCGTCCATCCGAGCTAAGGTGTAGTGCAGGCCGTCCACGGTGCTGCGCACCATCTTGGGCGCCCGCGGGTCCCGCCGTGGCATCTTGATGGTGCGCTTGGGCGCAAACTTGTTCTGATGGATGGGCATCTTGGGCAGGAGGTGGGGCAGGGCGCCGGTGGCCGACAGCTCGGGCAGGTAAGGCCTGGGCGGCAGGGGCGGGGCAATGAAGGGAACCGGGAAGGGTGCGGACTGTCCGTGGGGGTGACCTTGATGGTGGTGGGGGTGATAACCGGGGTGCTGCTGCTGCTGCTGGTGTGGCTGGAGGGAGTCCATGGATATTATGGCACCCTGGTGAGAGCCCCGTGGGGGGTAATACCGTACCTCTGTGGTCAAATGTGCAGGACAAGGGAGTGTCTTAAGCTATCCGTTCCGTGCACCAACCCTTCGTGAGGGCGCCAATCATCTCACCCAGTTGGTTGGGCAAGTTACATGGGCACAACGACACCATGGTTAAGTTCAGCATCAATGGTCATCATGCTTACATGGTTTATTCAAAAGACCCTGTTACATGTATTCACAATGTGCATGGATCGGATAGCAGGACTCTAAAACCTGCATACACTCCAATTTTCTTTTTCTACTGGATATTATCATTTTCTTTCTTAATCCATTAATCTTTGTGTACTTTTTCATTATTTTCATCTTTTGGAGAGGGTAAATTTATTATATAACTATTACAAGGGATTTACCATCAAGTGAATTTAGGATTTTTAATGAGTGACATGAATGCTTCCCATAAATGTATCGAAGTAAACTGACACGATGGCCAAAACTACAATCTCAATATTTCATAAAAATTACACAAGGTGGGTTGATGAATATTTTCTTAAAATACGGGGAACAAATATCTCATGCAAACACACCTCTTTATTGACTCAAAGGGCCCTGTGTATACCTTCTTTTCACAAGCTCCAATTATGCGCACATGCAGGATGTCAAACACGTTGGAACACTCCCGATTAGACCCCACCGCACTTGTATCTCCTGTGCCTGTTTTAAGTCCAAAACAGTAACCATTTTCCCCATTTGAGGGTACAATTGACCTATCGCCATTTGCGAGCCACGCCCCTTAGACAACCCTATTGGTAATTTTGTACGCTAAGTTTGTTTGTCTCAGATTTTGCGCGTTCCGCGTCCATTTGTTTATCATGTAATTCTGGCGATTCACAATGCAGTGCGCCACCAAGAGTTTGCCATGGAGAGTCCATTTTTTCTAGTTTACGGTCGACAAAACACGGCCCATTTGAATGAGTGTCAGTAGACAACTTGAACTAATTTGTTATAGATTGGGGCATATAGCGTTCTGCCGCCTCACAAAAAACACCACATTGATCAAAAGAAAACAAAAGGGCAAACAGATACTCGAAGCATACCTTTACGAAACTACTGACTGGAAAAACGAACAATTTCAAATGTCCCGCGCTGAGAATTTGTTGACCATCTCCCACAATGCACTGGGAAAAATGAACTCTTTGTGGCAAACTCTTGGTGGCACATTGCATTGTGAATCGCCCGAATTGGACAGTTATTCACAAGCTGCATTGACGTGATTCTACCGCGACAGGTCAAAAAACCAAGATCCAATAAAACTCCGGTTTATTAGGTCCTTACCTCATTTTGTGAGGGTTCCATGATGGGCATCTCGGGCACGTCTCCTGGTGTCTGGGCGTAGGCTGGGGTAGGCGCTGGGTACATGGCCATGTCAGTCCCTGGAGCTGTGGCGTAGAGGGGGGACACCATTCCACCGGTCAGCCCACTAGCTGCCTGCTGCTTAAATGAAAAAGGAATAAAGTCAGACTCAATGAAAGTAAATGGAGCTATGGCATTTAATGCTCGCCTGTCCCCACCGCACTGTCCAAAGGTGCCAGTTACCTTTAATTTCCTCCAAATCTCATTGACAAAATTTTGTTTACCCCCGGTCAAAATGTTTAAGTATTCATTGGATGCCATTTGCCTACGCCTGAAAACTTGTGTGTGTGTGACACGAACATGGAAGCAGTGGCGTAGACAAGGGGGGGGGGGTGTAACATCGACCTAACAAATTTACAGTTGCCCCCTCCCCCACTAACCACGAAAATTTGCCATTTGCCAAGGAAGTGTCTTTTTAAAGTATTTTTTTGAATAATTAAACAGAAGATAAATGTAGATGATTTCTTCTTTAGTTCCATGCACCCTACAGCTTCATAAAATGTAAATAAATTGGTACGAAAAAAAAAAAGAGTACCATCTGGCGTCAAAAGAGCACCCCCCCCCCCCCCAAATTTGCAGCATTTGGCTGGTCAGTCGGTGCCCAGGAAAATAGGTGAACATTTTGTTGTTGGCTCCGCCCTTGGTGCAAATGTAACATGCTGATGCCCCCCCCCCCCTAAAAAAAAAAACCTTTGGACCACCGTCATTTGAAGTTCAAAGCATGGAAAGTAATGCTATCATGAACAAGTATCTAAACGTATCGTGAAATTAATGTGACGTTATAAGTGTCTAAAGCAGACAGAATTTTGTCGATTATTCTTACCTGGGGATGGACCCATCGCCACTGGCCTGGGATTGTGGTCCACTGAGGAGTGGTCTGCACAAATGGGAAAAAAAAATCAATCAAAATTATGCATCTACGAATAATAATTAGGCTACAGTACAGAGATGGCAAAACCAAACTTTTTGTTGAAGATTTGAGACTGGATTACTTCAGATGACTAGTGGCAGTATTGATGTAAAATACCTAACTGCATTACACCACAAACCAGCAACCAAGTACAATCTGTCGATAAATTGATATTACTTGATAAACTATACAACACAAGGAAAACCCAGTAAAGCTTGTCCCAGGGTGCAACAGTTCTGTTCAATTGATTTTTTTTCACTTAGTCTTTTCATGAATCTAGTATGGGATGGATCCAGCCCATTCATTGATGTTATGGGGTAATCCTATACAATAGCACCGCCTAACTCACAAGTTACAGCCAGTGAGTCACTCAGTTAAAGGTATATAGTCCATCATTTGTAATTTGTGCATTTTGTTTGTTTGAAGCAACAAAAGTGCTCAATATCTGAAGAAGGATGCTGAACAACCAATCTGATAAGGTTTCAGCTCAGCTTCAGCTGCATTTTTCGAGACAAACAACATTCTAGGATCTCGATTACAAATCAAAAGTTGCTGAATCATGTTTTGAATTGGGCCTAAATCCAGCGTCCGAGACACGTTCTCACTGAGCCAATTGCAGCTACGCGATGTCGCGCACTGATCCGACAAATTATAGCAACCGCGCGCATGCGTGCGTCGTGCCAATGCTTGCGCGCGCTTCGCCGAATAACAAAACAAACTACTAATTTGAATTTCCTACGGTGCTTCTTAAGACGCACCATTGGAAAGGCCTTCTTTCGTTGATTTCTTCAAAATGTCAGCTTGCCAGAAGGAATAATTTCACAGGGAGTTTAGTCCCCTTACTATCTTTCAACCAAGTATGTTTTTCAACAATAATTACATCAGTTACTTTTTGGAAAGCTGCAAATGATGGACTCTGGCTTTAAGCTTAGTTTCCATATCTAGATAAGAAACACTGGGAGCACCCAAACAAGACCCAACTGCACCACTGCAGACATATGGAAACATTTCATCCGGAAATGTCACCGACAACCCAGATCGACAGACAACTATCTCGCACACGATCGGCAAAGTTGAGCCCGTTTCAACTTTGCCGACGGTTCCACGCACTGTCTGCGCAGTCTGCATGAGTTTATAAACATCGAATACCAGCCTCGACTCCATGGGCGCGTTCCTTCACTAACCCCTGGCCGTGATGTACACGTAAACGATGCCGACTGGCTATTCACAGCGTACTGCGCGCGCATTTCGAAGATTGCACGCCGGGTGCACCCATCAGGGATGTGAGTGACCGCTGATAAAAAATAGCTGAAAACAGCTGAAAAAAGGTGTAAAAACAGATGAACTTTGGAAATCTCCTATACTTTTGTACACAGCAAGTGAAGGAAAAAAGCTGAAATCCAAAACAAAAAAAGCTGAAATCAGCTTTAAAGCTGAGATTTCACACCCCTGACCCATAATGCGCTCGCGTGCTTTGCACATACGAAAAAAATGTGTTATTCAAAACTCGCGATGCCTGTATGATATGGATTATGGCGGCCTCGTTTTTCGCTTAAAAAAACCTGTATCTTCAGTTGTAAAGGGACGAAAGGGGTACGTATATTTAATACAAATCTTTGATAAATAATGCAACGTCCAAACCTTATGTTTGAAAGGATTGATTCTTCAAAATCACAACTTTTAACATTTTAAAGATGGCGTCGGCACGTAAAACGGATAAACTGCAGCCTAATTATAATGCGCCATATTTTGACACATTTAAATTAAATTACACAATTCCAGGGGTTGAGATCCTGCAAGGCATGATGGGAAACAACATGGCGCAGCAAGATCTCGTACCCATGGGAACAAGGTTGATCGAATACGGAAACTAGGCTTTAGTCAGTCAGTCAGGTAAATAGAGGACGTGGACTGGCACTCTGGAACCAGGAACAAAATATGGATATTTTAGATATCAATAGATCTCCCCCATAGGTCGCCATCTTCATAGGATAATTACAACTGCGTATCCATCGCCATCAGGTGTGTGTGCATGCAGTGTGCAAAATGTTCTAGACATGCATGTGTGTTGCTCGAAATTTCTTCGAAATGTGGCACAGCCAATGCTTGTCATGAAAATTTGGCACCCAAAATGCCGATGCACGTGGCAATCTGTAGGAAGTGACGTCATTTAAAGGGACACTAGGTCCTGGAACAGCCCAACTGGGCTACAAAACGCGCTTTGAACGAGATGATGTTAATCGGAAATAACATTTAAAAGTAGGAAATAAACATCCACACAACTATCCTTTCAAAACTGGGCGTTTTGGTGTTATTCCTGTATTAAGCATGCGAGAACGAATTTCAAGGTCCACTTTTGGGACCCCATAAATTCGAGCTGTTTGGGTGCTAGTTGTGATTTCATTCGTAAAGTATTCGCCTTTTGCGGACGTTGAAGAAACCATTTTTTTTTGCGTTAGTGATTGGTCACCGCTGTTCCCGAGACACACAACGTGTATATCGTACACTGAGAACGACACGAAAAACGTATTCGTACTCCATCGTGTCCGATGTAAACAAGTGGGTTTTTTTCCGTCTTTTCTCGGGAATGGTAAGACAATAGGTTGGTTTCCTTTCAACCAGATGTTTGAAATAGGGTAAGTAAACAATCCAAAACATGAAATTTTCGGGGACTTCAGGACCTAGTGCCCTTTTAAGAGAGACCTATTATGAATCAATCTCTGAACTAACATTGATGGGTTGCTGGTAGTACTGGCCCTGCTGGGTTTGGGATGTGACAGGAAGATACTGATGGTGGGAGTGGGAGGAGGGCGGAGCTTGTAACATGACCGGCATGGTGTACTGGGGGTACGCCATCGACGGCTGCAAGAAAAACAGACAAATACATTGAAGTTACACCTGGTGATTCTGGAAGACGTCCAGTACCGTATACTCGACACCAATTTGATCTCTGACCTGAACTTGTCTGCTCAACTGCGGAAAATGGGGACCTATGCCCGTCATTTTACTTTTTGAATAAAGAAAACAAAAAGAAAACTTTTTTTTGTAATTCTTGGTAAAACTTGTCCTGATTACTCAAACCGGGAATCATTCTGAGCAGTTAATAAGATACTTTGCCTGACTTGGACAAACAAGGCTGGCCTTTTTCGAACAATAAGACTGCCAATGACTTACATTTTGGGAGCAGCCAACTTTAAATACATAAGCAGTGTTCAACAGTCGTCTTCATTTTCAGAAAACAATTCAATCACCTGAAGAATTCTGATCCTTTTTGAAACAACTTACCTGGAAAAACCCCCCACATATTTCTAGCTTAAACCCCAAATAAAGTCAAAACAACTGAATCAAAGACAACACCCTTCCTCAGTTTTGGGCACATGATTTTGGAATTCTAAAACCAAATTAGAAAAAAAAGGTAAAATTGCATTCAATCAGTTATTATCCAAGTTTAATTCCCATAACCTCAAAGTAAGAATCAACGTAACTAAAGGTTTTTTTGCAGAACCTTGCATTAATAATTAACAAGAATTTTTTTTAGCACAAGAACATGAACAAATTAACATCAGTTGGGAAATGTATGAAACATATGTCAATATAAGAATTATTTCAAAGAAATGGAGTGATTTAATGTAAACATCAATTTGCTCCTCAACAAAAACAATGTCATTAGTGGAACCAACTTTTGAACAATGATGCATGTATGTATTAAAATATGTGTTAGTTATCAATTTTGGACGTTTTTTCTTCAATTTTTAACCAAAACTTGAAGTGAAACAAAACGTTGTTTCAAACTAAAGAAAGAACTGAAATACATGTATACAAAAGAACTCTTTCTCAAAGGCAACATGACAATAACAATGAGAACAGAAACAAACACCAGCAAAACGCAGAACTGATGGACCATTTCTAGAATATCACCATCATCTAGGATTAATTTTGGATGCCATGTGAGGCCTTTGTTGGCAAACAGTGTCTTACAGATGCAAAACATGTGGTACATGCAGATGTTTGTCCCAAAACTTTGCAAGACAATAAGTGATCACAATAAATATGAAATCGATTCAACATGCAAGTACAGTAAACTCCAGCTAAACCGGCACTCTCGGGACAAGAGAATTTGTGACGACTTACGCGAATGCAGATATATGCTGTAATTAAGTCGTCATTTTGCCGACTTACATGAATGGTCTTTTGCACACATGATTCATTGCACTTATTGGCTTCGATTTACCCTGGATTATGTCCTTAATGCTCGAGTTGAATCCAGCAAATTAATCATTGAATTGTATCATCACGTTTGGGGTATTGATAGTCGAGACCACGATACATACGTACGTGCACAGTAACGAATAAATGGACAGAGCACATGCGTACAGCCTAGAGGGGGTACTTTCATTGATATGCTCACGATGCATATGCGATGTACGTGTATGCAGTAGGACACCCTTTTTCGACACTGATGCATGCAGTGATCACGGGCCGTGCGAAACCACTTTTTCACTCGACACTTTGCCAACCGCAGTACAGGAAGTCGATGCCAATGCGTGACTTGTTGAATGCTGACTTACACAACAAATTTTGTAATGCTTTTTATGGAAGGGGGACCGAGAGTAACACGACGACTTGAGTGAAATGGCGACTTATAAAAGCCGACTTAGAAATAAAAAATTCAATGGAAATGCATTACGGACAATCGGGACTTAAGTCAGACGGCCAACTTGAGCGATTTGACGAGTTGTACGATGTCGGTTTAGCCGGAGTTTACTGTATCTTTGAAACAGTCCATCAAGATAAGAACAATATTGGGGAAAACTAATAAATATACTCACGTTAACCGTGTGGTGCTGGGTGTGATGATGCGGAATGACGGCAGTGGCAGGCGGGTGTGGGTGCCCGTGGGGCGCGGTCGGGGGCCCGGCTTGCACCTCGGCTGGGTTGAAGTAAGCCACCCCATTGTGGTAGGTGTAGCTGTAGCCTAATGGAGAAGTTAGAACCATCCCGCTGGGTATTAGCGCAGGATCTAGGCGCCCAACAAGGGAAAGATAACAAGAGAGAAGAGAGGCGCTGCAGAGTGACAGAGCTTCGGCATGTTTTCGTTTCTTTTTTGGCATGCGGTTAGAAGAGCTAGACTACTGTATTAACGCTACAAGCAGGGAATGATTTTTAAAGATCAGAAGCTGCTCTTGCACCTCAATGAGGAAAAATCAAGAAGTTTAAAAAAAAAAATATTAAGTTATCTTTCAAAGAATGAAAACCATGGCCTTCCAAGACATGGTTTTTGCCACCTCTATTAGGCAAAGAAACTACATCTCTTTTCAGAATTGACAAACGTGGTAGAGGAAATGTGCTCACAATATCACTGGTTATGTTCCTCTGATTCATTCACAGTGCCTGAATTTCCAGTTACCCTATTATAATTTCCAATCCTGATTTTAGCACCAAATCCTGCTTTTATGGTTAATTTGCTAATTCAAATAAATTTACCACGGGTAAAAAATGTTCCCTGCTACCCTAACGCATGCATTCACAATGGGTCAAAATGCGGTTATCTTCCATGCATACTAACAAGCTCAAGAATTTGTTGGCGAATTCTTAAAAATGTGTGACTGTCAGGAGGCCCTCTTAAAAGGAGACCACCTGAATGAACCCAAATAAAAGGAAATTTGTAGAAGTAACTGGCTTATACCTTGTAACAAAAGGTGTATTTAACAGTTGCGACCATTAACCTAATTGTAAAACACTTTGTTGACTTAAGCTCTTGTAATCCGATTTAACAGTTAATCCCTTCTAATCACAGACTCATTTACATATAACTGCATTAGCCAAGTCCAGACCTTGTCCAGCTTCAACTTTTAACCAAGAAGAACCATCAGATCCCTTTAATACTGAAATTTGTGCCTTTGAAACCTTACAGTATGTAGTTTAGATTATTAGGTTTGCTGGTTTATGACTCCAGTTCATGGAAGGAACACATCTGACAAAATGCTTGCATAAATCTGTCAAGTTGGACCGTGTAAATCTGTCAAATGAGTGCAATTACATAGGACACAGTTGGGCGGGCGGCAACATTTTTAACTTCTGCCAATCCACTGTGACTCAATGAGAAACAGTCAAGTATATATATCTTGACAATGCCGATGACTAATTAAACTTTGCAGGATTGTTCAAAGTTGTTTGAAGATGTTGCAATTAAAATCTGGTCTTTCTATTAAAAAAATAATTTCTTTAGCATGTGAGCATTAACTTTCTGAATTGACTTATTTACTGAAGGGCCATTAACGAACTATGAAACTAAGGCAAAAAAAAAAAAAAGTCGGTCTCTGGTCAGACCGAAGTTCCGGAATTGATGCGGCGACGCGTTTTTTTTTTCAAGCTTGTATTGTACAGACAAGGTGGGTACTATTTTGCTTTTTTGTGTCCTCATTATACATTGGTGTCCTCTACAATTTGCCTTGGTGATCTTTATCATTTGCCTTGGTTCAATTTCCCCATTCCTTGGTGCTCCTTGGTACAAAAATTTGAGGAGGTGCGGCAATAGAGGGTGCTGTTTTAGCTTCCGTGTTAATTTGAAGAAAAAAAAAGGTTGACGCGCATGATTCAAATCGACGCGCGCGCTGACCAGAGACCGAGTTATTTTTTTTTTGGCCTAACTCTCTAAAACCCTCCTATGCAAACATACATTCTGCACCAAGTTGTCCTTTCAGTCAATATCAATCAAGAGACTGTTTTCATTAGTTAAGAGCTCCCAGTCTACATAAAGCAGGATAGACTTGCTGTGACTGTTTAATGTAACTTGATCAGCTGTGCTTTGACTGTAGGTGATTAATAAGCCAGCTGTGCTTACTTCCTGCCTGCTTTTTGTCTGAATGAATTTGAATAGTCAGAGTGCTTGCTTAAAATATGACCTGACGGTTATTGACTAGACTGTGTGAAAGGCATGGCAGGGGAAGAGGATTGATTTTTTGACTGTCTGTGACTGTTCAAACAGCAGGAGGGTTAATAAATTCCCTAAAAACAAATGACTGTGTGAGGATTGCCCGAAAGGAATTTAAAATCAGTGTTCAAACTTGTCAAATAAACAAGATTATTATAATTATGACTCAGTAAATGTGGTAACAGAGCACACAAAGTGCAATTCAATCGATTAAGAATGTATTCACTGGTATTCGTTTCACAAATGGCCTACTATGGGCCGGAGTTAGCCCATTCATTGGCGTAATTTCAACTTTTTGGCCCAAGGTAAGACTTAAGCAAGTCTAATTAAACATGCGAAAGTCAATCAGTCAGTCAGTCAGATGCGAAGTGTATTCGAGGCTGGCCCAAACAAATCACCTTGAACTTTTCTGAACCGACCTCTTTTTGTGAACTGACATCACTTATCGACCAACCAAATGACCAAATGACGAATCCCCAAAACAAATGCCTAGAAAAGGTCGCACTAATGACAGAGTCTTTGATAAAACACAGCATCGCCATTTCCCTTTTTGACTTTACGTCCGGCCTCCTCTAACAGTCTACAACAGTAGCCGCCATATTTTTTTCTCGCTGTCCTACATACGCGCGAACTGGTCCAGCATTTGCATACCATGAGATTACTTACCGACATTCTTGGGAAGGTTCATGGGCTGTAAATAAACACACAGAGAAAGTATCGTTACGTTATGTGGCGAGACTTTGTGGGCTTGTAACAGCAGTGCACAAGTATCTAGAGCAGATTGGCGGAAAAAAATACGGGTCTCTGCATGCGTTCTCATTTGAATCTATCTCAAAACGATTCTCGGATTTCCAGCAACAGTCAGACAGATGTGCATTGTGCACGTCTTTCCATAATGTGTATAATTTGATATCACAGTTGTTCATTAGGCTAAAATAGAAAACCAAAATAACTGTCTCGCCTGCATCCCCTTAGAACTGTCACAATTTCTTTCGCTTTAAAGGGTATTTAACAACATTTGCAAACATCAAGAAGCAAAACTAGCAAATTATTATGAAATACCTTACTGGACTGTTAGTGAATGACAGTGTAAAGCATCCTGTAAAATCATGGCACCTGAAGTGCTGTCATTTTCAAGAAAAGAGGTATTTTTGTAAAAAATTCCAACTGTGGTCGGCCGACCACCGTTGGAAAAACTATTTTTCAACTACTGCTCCAAATTTACCATATTTTTTTTCTCCACATTTTGTTTGCTATTGGTTACATGTTCATGAACGGGTGCAGGCCAGCTAGACTGGTTCCCTTACCTTACAAATTTCCGGCATCTATAAATTGATCCATTTCATCTTTAGTGAGTCAGGTGACTAGACTGCTTGAAAATTTTAGTTTTTCTTGGTTTTTCCAGTATTTTCGAACACAAAACTTCAAACATGTCAGTTTAACAATATTTCATCTTTTATACTAACCCCTCAAATAGTTCATTTCTGAAAATTAAAGCAAAAGCCAATGATGCACATTCCCTTTAAACATTTCAAAACAACATACAAAACTGTGTGATAAATCAGATGGTATCAAGGGTGAGATTGGAGAAAATGGAAAAACTCAAGAAATAATCGGCAGAGGTTTTCAGGGTCACCAAGGGCACCCCTTACAATACCCATTTCTGTTGTTCTATATAAACTTTCACTGTACTTTCTTGAGTTAAAACTCAGGGATTCCAGATTTCAAAAGAGATTCTTTGAAACTCCTGAAATCCGTTAAAAAAAATCGGACAAATCTTACCCCTGTCCTTAAGCATAAAACGCATTCAAGAATACACTTCAATATTTAATTTTAGGCCTACTTTAAAGTCACAGTCAAAAAAAAATAAAATGTGTGTTTAAATCTTGACTCTTATAATTTAAAGATTGTGGTTTGGTTAAAATAAGGCCCAATTTATGTGATTGAAAGTTTGTGTTTTATTTATGTCATAAAGTATTACTTGGCAAAACCAGAATTAAAATCATACCTGTTTACGGATGGCCTGACCAATGTTGAGCTTTTTGTCTTTGAAAACAAGGTTATTTGCCTGTTGCAGAGGGGGAAAAGGAAAATAAAACGATTTTTTTAAATCAACTTTGAGGCTTGATTCTGATTCAAGTTTACTGATTAATTACTATGAAAATAAAGCAGTAAAGGCTCAACACCACTTTCCAACCATATGTGAGAAAAACACGCCATAAATTTACCACTGAGTACTGAATTTTTCAGTTGATTTATCATCAATAATTATTTTGCAGTGCCATTGTGGTTGTATATTACCTAAAAAAAAATGTGTTAAAAGCATTATTCAAGTCAATGTGCTCAAAGCATTATTATTTTAAATCTACACATCAGAGTTGAGTATTTCTTCATTAACTCAGTTCTCTTAGGAATAAACTGTGACCCCAAAACGTAAGCTTTCCACTGCCTGGATTTTTTGCAGACCGCAATTGAACCCAGATTTAAAAACAAGATTTGTAAGATGGATTCACCACACCACTAGGCTGGGAATATGGTAGCCCAGGTTGGACTCCGTTGTGTACACGCAATTACGGAGTCCAGGGTATGAATCTCTCCTGCCATAGCGAAAAAACTTGTAACACATTTTTTGCATATTTTTACCTGACGGAGGAAGCTGAAATTTCGCTTACATATTCCTTGTGTCCAGAATTGTGCCTGCGCTGGGTTTAGAAAAGGCGAGTATGTCAGCGGACAGCGTGTTTACCGAAAATAAACCGCAATCCCACGCTTTTGTTGAAAACATTTTCAGTACGAACTCCCCGTGTGAAGATTACTTGCGCGCGTGCATGCACACCCAGCACGCTGTCGCCACGGCAGCAAATGGCACGCGCGTGTACGTCTTCACACGGTGAGTTCGTACTGAAAATGTTTTCAACGAAAGCGTGGACCTTGCGGTTTATTTTCGGTAAACACACTGCCCATGGACATATTTGCCTTTTCTAAACCCAGCGCATGCACAATTCTGGACACAAGGAATATGTAAGCGAAATTTCTGCTTCCTCCGTCAGGTAAAACTATGATAAAAATGTGTTATAATTTTTTTCGCTATGGTGGTAGAATTTATACCCTGGACGTCAGTCGTAATGCAATGAAGACGTCGTCCAACCTGGGCTAGGAATATGGCCACACCAAAAAGGAATGCGCCAATCCCTGCTCTTATTGCCGTGCATTTTCAGATATTTTAGTAATGGATTTATTCTAGCTTGGACTCGGTCGAATATTCAAATACTTGAAATGTGATGATCAAGTTTTCATGAATGAGATTGCCAATTTTTAAAAAATCTGAAAATTGATGAAAGGTCTGAAACATACACGTGTAATGTCGGCCTAAACTAGCTACAAATGGGGAATTGTGTGTGCCTGCACAAATGTTGAAAATTGACACGGCGTTTTAAAAAAGTGTCAAGAACATCATGAATATGTCCCGATATATTTTCTTGAGGCAACAAAATGGCTGATAATTATAGGGATGAGATTGTCAATTTAAAAAAAAAAAATCTGAATATTAGATGAAAGATCTGAAAGATGCTTGTTATACTGATGTCTTTCTCGCAGATTCAAAAGGTCTCACTTCAGACCAAAGTCTGAAAAATCTCATGCCTTTAGTTGACAGATTTCAAAGAGGAAGTTTTAGCCAATATTCCGCAAAGAAGCTCTTGAGTGATGCATGTAAAGTGGCTTTGAACAAAAGTGTGGCGCTTGACAAACGATAAAATCACTCAACTTATACGATTTAAAATAACATCATGGACGTTTTCATCATGGTCTCAAGACCTCTTACAATTTTTGATATACAGTTATTATTGAATAACAGCTATACCTGCTCTTTAAGAATCCTGACGGCCTCTTCTTGAGACTCAAATGTGATGAAGGCGTACCTGCAGGGGGAAACAGAAACCCATCATTATCATTATCATCACCAACACCGAGACGTAGGACACAGGACGACACGCGATGGCTACCGCTGATAATGCCAGACAGCTGGTAACCCTGGACGGCTCTGACTCATTGTGCCGTCAGGTGATGGACCGGCGGGGGACCATTCAAACATTATCTCAGCTTTTCATCGATGCAGACGGGGGACCAGTCTCTTTGCACAATCTCAATCATGTTTGGCGTCATCTGCCTATCTGTTTACGTTGTTTCAAACCCTCAATGCTACTGAAGAGCAGTAGTGTGAAACCCTTTTTAAAATATGTTTGTGTTATGATCAAAAAGGAGGAGCTCTAAAAGCACCAGACCAATTTTACAGTAACTAGAACTAATTCATTATGCTTCATTTTTTTGGAAGTACAAAGTGTCTCTAAGCATCTTAGAGACATTTTTCTTATAGATGTCATTGACACATACACTAGTTCAAAGGCTAATATGTAGCAATGCTACATCTCACCCGAATTACAGAACCGCAGAAATGTACATTCCAAACAGAGCAATTTTGCTGTAACATTACTCTGTCTTCATTTGCACAATAACAAAGAGAGATCTGTTTAACCTGCATTTTATTCTGTTGAAATGACTTATAAAAATTATGTACAGGCCCAGTTCCTATTTGAGACTAATAATATGTGGTGTGAAAAGAAGTTTTGAGATTGGAGATCTAAAAAAAAAAAAATTAAAGGGAATGTACAACATTTTGCTTTTGCTGCAATTTTCAAAAATAAGTGGATTTGGAGGATTGGAATGTTATAGGAAACATTGTTAAACTGACTTGTTTCACGTTTTGGGCTTGTAGATGCTGGAAAAACCAAGAAAACCAATCATGTTCTTGTAGTTTGGCTCCCTGACCCCATGAAACAGAGAATTTATAGACTTTGGGGAATTGTTAGGTAGAGAATTAGTCTGGCAGGCTTGTACCCCTTCACATGTGTGTAATCAATTGCAAAAAGACGCGGAATAACTAAATATGAACAATTAGGAGCAGTTTTGAAAATAAGCCAGTTTTCTCCAACGCTGGTCGGCTGACCAGCGTTGGAAAAACACAATTTTTCTTGGAAATGTCGGTACACCAGGAGCCACAATTTTACAGGATGCTTTAGACTGTAATTCCCTAACAATCCAGTAAGGTATTTCGTGATAATTTGAACATTTCGTTTTTTGATGTTTGCAAATGTCGTATCTGCCCTTTAAAGAGTTTGTTACTGCATGTAGGCAAAATTACTCAATCACTCGATCAGTCTAGCTGTGCAGGGATAAACTAGAAGCCATGATAGCAGCGGCAGAAACAAAAAGAAACAGACTGGATTTCTTTTCCAATCAAAGTTATCACGATAGTGACCAAATTGTTCTAGATGGATGATATGCAAAGACTGGCATTCAATTCTATCCAACATGTCACGGTTCAATAGAATTCCTGAACCACATATACAGACCACATGATAAGACGCAGTCTGTCTTCGCGCTCAGTCGGAGCATGGAGGAAACATATTGTTTTCATTTGGCGAATATATGGTACAAGACCTTCTGTGACCACTACAACTACGCTATAGGAGAGATACTGATCTGCACGTTGAATTCATTTCTTACACATCGATGTAATCAGAGCATCCAGAATGCTGAACACAGAAAAATGTGTTCATGGAGCATCACGCATTCCATGCTCATATCACCTTGGCCGATGAAACTTTAATTAGGCCCGCAAAAATAACCCTGTTTCCTATAACCAAAACCAACCCACAAAATCATACAGAACCAAAATCTTTTCATTTAAAAAACTTATATAAAATAAAAACCTAAACAAAAAATAATTATGGTGAATCCTCAATCCTAATTTTTGTGGACATTGTCCAGCTTTTTTAAACATTTTCATTTCCACTTCATTGGAAGTTGGTCCGAAGTGCCGTTTTTCAGCACCGTAAAGCTGTTAAAAATTTAACTGTTAAAAGTGCATGCCAAAAAAAAAACCATTACAAATTAAGTGACCATAATCCTACCCAACTGTCCTTGGCAACAAAAATTTAGAAAGAAAAAAAATATATATATTACCCACCCACCCAAATCAGTTTTGTTTCCAGTAAAACAAAAATCAGGAGCACATCTTTCAATACGATTTGGTCTGGTTTCCCGGTTATAACAATTCCCCACAAATTCACTGCTTCACTGCAATGTTTTGATGGCAGTACTATAAAAATACTCGTAAAACCTCTCTATCCTAAAGACTCCTCCGAGAAATCACAAGATGAACCAGGTCAAAAATGATAACACAACGTGTGGCGGCAAAACACTGAAGTGACCGCTCGATCATCCTCTGTTCGACCGCTGACATTGACAAATCCAGCTCACTGGATACGGCGCTTGCACTTTCCAACTTGGTATATTTAGTGTCGAAGTACGTAAGGCACTGTTGCACTGTGTTTATTGCCTTCTATATGAGGCGTTGTATTTATTATACTTGGGCGACAGAGCCTGTTGAACACCGGAGTGTGTATCTCTGCACAGTTTGGATTTCAGGCGCAACTTTTGATGGAATAGTGTACCGAGATGAAACGGCAGCTGGAAATGTTCTCACACTGCACCCGACTGAACTGCAGCAGTGGCTTATTTAATTAGTAGAAATACACAGACCATCTGGTGTCTGGAGTTAGGCAATTTGTGACTTATTGAAATGAAATTAAGATCAGTGAAAGTGCACCATGCTTTTAAAAAAAATTTGTGCAGTACAGGCCTTTAAAGTGGCATACATGTACATTTCGGTCTATATTTGTACAGATGTTAGTCTTTTCGTTCTTAAACATTTCAACAGACTGAGAACGAGCCTCATGAAATTACTAACAGCAGTGGCAGCAAGTGGAAGTTTTCATGGCCAAGAATGGTTTGGAAAGTGAGTTTCCGCAGTCAGCATTACCTTCAACATTTGGTCAGTCTCATATGTATTTCATTGCCTTACCCACCAACCGAAAGGAAACAATTGGCTTTTTTCACTGTAAATCAATCTAGTAAAGCTGGTCCACTCCCAGAATGCACAAAATTATATTGCATCAATTCAGAATGTCTATTCACTGGAACTTCTTTTCATGCATCTTGTCTACACAATGGGCCGGATTTAGCTATTTACTTGCACTACAGGGTAATCATATACAATAGCACTGCCCGACTAACAAGCGACAGGCAGTCAGTCGTGATGTACAAAGAGGAGGCCGGACTGGCACTCTGGGACCAGCAAAATTCAAAATCAGTGCAACATCATTCTTATATCAGTAGAAAACGTTCTTATTTCTAATGCATCAATTGTGCACTGGAATGTAGGGCCCATATGATTTGTTGTCTGTATTAAAAGCTCAACATTTCAGATTTTCTCCCCAAATTATAAAGAATCAGTGCCAAAGGCCCCCCCAAAAAAGTCTCCGGTTTTTGGTATGGAGCTTGCCCAAAAAGTGGTGCGGCGACGCGTTTTTTTTTTTTTTTTTTTTTACCTTTTTTTTTGCTTCAAATGTCGGCTGATGACTGCAAATGGTGCCCGACTAAACTTAGTGCAAACATATGGGAGTCCAGAGAGGCCACATAAAGCTTATTCTCGATCATAACCCCATCTAAAAACACGTTAAAATTGTGCAGCAGCAGGATTCCAGTCAAACCAGTGAGTTTGGCTGTTTTTAGACATCATCTTTTATTGAAAAAAAAACTTTTTCATTTTGCCGACGCGCATGGCTACGGCGACGCGCGCATACCAGAAACCGGAGACTTTTTTGGGGGGGCCAAATCTGCAACTATATAAGACAGCTACTTTCTGGCTTTTAACAGAAAATCAAATTTCCATCATGAGATTAATAGCTTTGTGGGTCGGGCTATTTACATGGCTGGGGGTTCATTGACCTGAGCTCATAGCCTGTCATGCCCTTACCCATCAAAATAATACAACACAACTGTTTTCTTAGCTAATGCATTCGCCACATGACACCATGGGGGTAATTGCCTTGTTCAAGTCCATAAGAGAAGAATACAGTGACAGGACTGTGCACTTGTCACCTATTGTACGTGTCCTTTCTTTAGGGTAACTTTTTGGGTGGTGGGTAGATGGAGTAAATTAAGAAAGAAACGAGGTGTTGCTTAAAGTAAAGACAGTGAAAGAAAAAGTCAGAAAAGTCAAGAACAATGATCAGATAGAATGAACCTGCATAATAAAGTTTGTCCATTAAATGTAGAGCCACATTTGTTTAATTTAAATGTGCCCTTCAAGCAATGGAAAAGTTAACTATTAAAGCTTAGGCCCCCCCCCCAAAAAAAATTCTGTTTCTGATTACAAAACATGGTATTCAAAAAATAGAGCAGGTAGGTAGGGATTATTTTTTTGTGTACGATCATATTGAGGTGTCTGCGTGTAGTCAAGGGTAAAAGGTAGTAATTGATGGTTTTGGGTGTGTTTTTTTCCCCATTTTTTCCATAAAAAAAATTAGGGTAGGGGCTGTCAGAATAGGGTAGGTAGGGAAACCAGAAGAATTTTTTTTTTGGCCTTGTAAAATGTCTGATGTTTCATATATTTTTCACCCTCTGGGACAGAGAATTAAATGACGCACAAAAATCGTTCAGATGAAAAATGACCTACATTGTACATGCAGCATAATATTGAGTTGGCAATTGCCCTTGTAATGCATTTACAGTACCAAATTTCTTTTGATAATATGGTAAAATGGTCAGATCATAAAGTTGCCCTCTGCTTAGGTATGCTCCTGTATTAATTGGCAATCCAGGGACCATGTCATAAGATGCCATTGTGAAATCAATGTAACACAGTGTATTACATTGTATTTATTCCCTGCTGAATCCATTTTTAAAGGAAATGTACATTTACTTTTGCTGCAATTTTCAGAAATAAGTGCATTTGGAGGATTAGTATGTTTTAGCAAATATTGTGAAACTGACTTGTTTCACGTTTTGGGCTCGTAGATGCTGGGAAATCCAAGAAAACCAATCATGTTCTTGTAGTCTGGTCCCCTGACCCCACTCAAGATGAAACGGAGCAATTTATAGACTTTTGGGAATTGTAAGGTCAGAGAATCAGTCTAGCAGGCTTGTACCCCTTCACAGGTGTGTAATCAATTGCAAAGAAAATGCAGAATAACTAAATGTGAAACATTAGTAGCAGTTTAAAAAAAGAAAAGAAGTTTTCTCCAACGCTGGTCGGCCGACCAGCGTTGGAAAAATACAGGTTTTCTTGAAAATGTCAGCATACCAGGAGCCACGATTTTAAGATATTTCGTAATAATTTGATCATTTTGTTTTTTTTAAGTTTGCAAATGTTGTATCTTCCCTTTAAGCCAGTGCTAGGGCACTGGTCTAGCACTCACAACAGGCCTGGCAAGATAATCCACACCACTCAAAACCAACTTCTCAGCAGCATTTTTAGGGGGGTTGAAAGTAGTCAATATTTAAGCTGTTGATCCTCAACATCACTCAGTTTCTTTAAATATTTTTTTTTCAGAATGCGATGACTGTACAAATTTATATTCTTTTTGTTTTCGTCGCCTCTTTAAACTTACCCTTTTGACACCCCAGCCCGATCAGCTATGATCTTAGTTTCTTTAACTCTTCCATAATGTGAGAAGAAATTCTTGAGCTCGGCTTCACATGTCTGTTGTTAAAATGAAAGCACAAAATATTTCGTTTTAATTCAAATTAAAAATTAAAACAACTAAATAAATATATAATTTTAAAGGTTTGTTCCCTATGCAATTTTTTTGTTTTTGTTTCAAAGGTCTCGAAAAATAGACTTAAAAGTTATTCACTTCTGAATGAGATATCAAACTAAAAGAAAATCCACTGACATTTAGTTATTAAATTATTTCTTCCCAAAATTTGAATTATTGGCTGTCAGACAATAATTTGGCTCAGGGTTGCAGACTCCAAAATCAGAATAAAGTTATTGTTTTTTTCATTAAAAAATATATATATATATATGTACAAATTCAAAAAATCAATTTCTTGCAGAGAACTGGGTATGTAACTTTTTAACAAAGTTAAACAGAGAATCAGGAATTTTTTGGTTTTATTTTTTATTAATATGAAAAACAAAATTAATAAATAAAGTAAAAAAACAAAAACATGTTTCTCGTCCCCGCCTGCTTCCTTTTTGGAGGCCGCCTGGATTTTTGTATTATTTTTTATTTTTGAAAAATGCAGTAAAAAACACCGAAAAAGTCCACAAATTCACCGGAAAATAAATACCAATACCAATACAATTCTAAATGACACTGTAAATATGTTCAGTTCTCTTGTCCAACTTGCCTTTCATTTTAAAAGTGTCTTTGAACAGTGGAAACACCAACGGTTGCAGGAAATTTTAAAATGGCGGCCATCTTGAAAAAAATAAAAAATAAAAAATAAAAAGCCCCTCTTCCTCCTTTTTTTCAAAAACCCGGACGAGAAACATGGTTTTTTTTTTATTCGGCTTAAGTCACAATTTTTCCATGACAGTCTCTTATATTTTGCATTAACAGTTTTTAACTTTTATCTCAGACCCCCCCCCCCCCCCCCCAAATAAATTGTGTTAAAATGAACTTGCCCAGGGGTAATTCTTCATTGAGTGCTCTTTCAAATCAGAATCCATGAAGAGCATTAAAATACCTGGGAGCCAGAAATTAAAAATAGACACCCAACACCACCCCCTCCCCATTAGATAGACCCCTTGTCTATGGCAGACTCCCAAGAAAAACACTGCTGTTTACTTAGCTTAGCCGCAGCTATCACAGGGATCTGATGCAGATCTGATGCTGCTGGGATGGGAAAAATTAAGACAAGAGAAACGGACTTACGTTAAACGATATGCCTCCCACAAATATCCTGTTGGGAATCATGGTGCCGAATTTCGGAGCGTTGGGGGCGCTGGGGATCGGGGAGGAGGCCGTGGAACTGTTGCTGCCATCAGCGGGCTGCAAGGGCAAAGATCAAAATGAAATACCATAAGAAAACTGGGAAAGGTTTTATAATTCATTATAAAAATTCCTGAATGCAATTGCTGGACTTACTACACATCCCTTTTGATGTTCTCTACCCAATTAGTAATTTGTCCTTTGGCTGTAAGACATTGAGCCTTTTTTGGCCGGGGGGGGAGGGGGGGGGGGGGGGGGGGGGGGGGTGGGGGGTGGGGGGGGGGGGGGGGGGGGGGGGGTGGCCATAATTGTATAAATATTTTTCAAATGACAATACAAGTGAAATTCATTAAGTGGCTATACTAAGGCCAACACAAAATTTTTCTGCTTCCTACCTTTTTTGGGGGGGGGGGGGGGGGGGAAATAAGGAAAAGAAACGAAAACCAATCTTTCTTTTTTTTGTCAGGATTTAGGGGGGGGGGGGCGGGTATCAAGTCCAGGTGTTGTCTGTTCCACATAAGGCATGGTCAATTTACAGATGCAAAGCTATACGAAAATGTTGCAAACGTTTGGCTGCTATGCAAACGTGACTATGATTGAACCCACTACAAACTCATATACTGCATTTCATTTTAACCAAATGTTCATTTTAGCAAAAGAACAAGTGCAATAACTGTTTATGAGCCAAGCAAGAGCAGGGCTTGTCTGCCAAGTCAAAATATATCCAGGGTTCCATAACAAACCTGACTCTATAACGCTGGGGGAAAAAATGGCAAGTCTCCAAGCCAACAAACACACAATAATTCAGCCTGGAGAAAAAAAAGCATCCCACACGACTGTTGCTCAAAGCAACGGCCAAGCCTGCATCATCTGCAACATCCATTTTTGGCTGCGCATCATCAGTTCACGGCCCTCCCTGGCATCTAACAACATGCCCGACCTATCTCACTACACACAGAGTCTACACACCATAAACCACAGCGGGGGAATGCGTAGATGTTCATTGTACATACACACAGCACAAATGGAGACTCTGTAGGGATGATACAGACTTACATGTTGTATCTTGTCTCTTGTATAAATTCTCTATCCAACTATATTAAAATATTTTCATACTGGATGGAATATTAAAGTTACACTAGGTCCTGGAACAGCCCAATTGGGCTACAAAACGCGTTTTGAACGAGATGATGTTAATCGAAAATAACATTCAAAAATAGGATATAAACATCCACACAACTATCCTTTCAAAACTGGGCGTTTTTGTGTTGGGCACAAAAAAAAAATATTCGGTCTCTGGTCAGACCAAAGTTCCGGAATTGACGCGGGGACGCGGCTTTTTTTTTTTTTTTTTGCTTTTTTTTCTTTCTTGGAGCTTGGATTGTACAGACAAGGTGGGGTACTATTTTGCTATTTGGTGTCCTCATGTACATTGGTGTCCTCCATAATTTGCCTTGGTGCTCTCGATCATTTGCCTTGGTGCAATTTCCCATTCCTTGGTGCTCTTTGGTAAAAAAAATTGAGGAGGTGCGGCTGTTGGAGCTACCGCGGAACATTTTGGAAAAAAAAAAGATTGACGCACATGATTAATCGACGCGCGCGCTGACCAGAGACCGACTTATTTTTTTTTTTGGCCTTATTCCTGTATTATGCATGCAAGAACGAATTTCGGGGTCCACTTTTGCGACCCCATAAATTTGAGCTATTTGGATGCTAGTTGTGATTTCATTCGTAAAGTGTTTCCCCTTTTGCGGACGTTGAAGAAACCATTTTTTTTGCATTGGTGATTGGTCACCGCTGTTCCCGAGACACACAACGTGTATATCGTACACTGAGAACGACACGAAAAGTGTATTCGTACTCCGTCATGTCCGATGTAAACAAGCGGTTTTTTTTCCGTCTTTTCTCGGGAACGTTAAGACAATAGGTTGTTTCCTTTCAACCAGATGTTTGAAATAGGCTAAGTAAACAATCCAAAACATGAAATTTTTGCGATTTCAGGACCTAGTACCCCTTTAAGCTTTTCTTATATTACAAGCCTTAAAGACATGTAGGGCCTATTGCCAGATTAAAAAATATGACTGGTAAAATTGTGAAACACATGACATAATACTTTTGTAGTTCTGATAATTTTACTTTTGCAAATTTGATAATTCCTGCACTGGAAATTGGATAGAGGGGCGACATAAATACAAATGTATAATGATAATTTTCATCCGTGTTGCCAAAATGCATCTCAATGCTGAACGCATTAGTTCAAGTATTGCCCCAAATAGCCAAAGAACTGGGCGATTTTATGGACTTATCAGGGAATAAATTAAAGGGAATTTACATCATTTTGCTGTAATTTTCAGAAATGAACTATTTGAGGGGTTAGTATAATAGATCAAATATTAGATCAAATATTGTTACACTGACTTGTTTGAAGTTTTGTGTTGGAAAATGCTGGGAAAAACAAAAATTATCAAGTAGTCTGGTTCCCTGACTCCGCTAATGATGAAATGGATCAATTTATAGATGCCGGAACATTGTAAGGTAAGGAAACCAGTCTAGCTGGCCTGCATCCGTTCATGAACATGTAACAAATAGCAAACAAAATTGGGACTGAAAAAATAATGGTAAATTTGGAGCAGTAGTTGAAAAATAGTTAGGTTTTTCCAACGGTGGTCGGCGACCACCACTTTTCCTGAAAATGACTTCACACCAGGTGCCATAATTTTACAGAATGCTTTAGACTGTCATTTACCAACATCCTAGTAAGGTATTTTGTAAAAATTTGATAGTTTTGTTTTTCGACGTTTGCATATATTCCCTTTAACACAATGTAAAACAAGTGCAAAAGGGTGAAAAGTCTAGACGCACCATTTGGTGCTGATGTGGTGACATATAGTCAATGGGTGAACACATGGTTTTATGTTTGTTCTTGGATGTCATGTCTTTGTACTAGGGGCCTTATTCACAAGATGGTAATTTTTGTTGTGTTCCCAGAACACATATCATTAATTCTTACCTGTTGAATGGGATGGCGCCAGACTATTTTTGCAGGCATAATGCTGCCTTTTTTATGTCTTTTTTTTTTTTTTTTTTTAATTCTGGCTTTAAACTTTAGGGAACGTTCTTACAAATTTGTAATTATTCATTTTAGCAGACTGGAATTAATTAATAATTAACTTGTTTTTATTTCTCTACACAAGTTCCAAAAATGAAGGTTCAGTTTTACCTTACTCTCAATCCAATATGGCCGACTTGTGAATAAGGCCCAGGGGATCAGGTTTAGTGATTCAACTTTTCAAAGAAAACAGATATTTAAACAGCACTGATGACCTTCTTTGAATACAATAGATACATGCTTTCATACTGTTGCACAAGATTGATTAAAAGCTAGTATGAGGATTGTAAAGGACAAAGCTTTAATATTTTCGAATACATTTCCATTCTCTTTTCAACCTGCAGTGAATGTACGATGCTCTATGTTTATCCTAACATACAGTCTGGGAAAAACATGAGGCCTTTTCCCTTTAAATTTCAAATGAAAGTTGTCAGGTTGATTGAACATTCCACGTACTAGGAGGTATCATCTTCTCTCACAGTTTTTCCCAAAGATGAATATAAAGTAAAGAAACTTTCAGCTTGAAATTGACTCAGGCAGCAATTTATTTTAAAGAATCTTTCTAACTTATCACTGCTTACCCAATCAATTGTGACCCCATTACTACAAATTACGACACAATCAATTTACTACTGTTGAGCAAATATGCCATAAATTCAATTAGTACGGCGCTCTGACAAATGACAACATCTGTAAAGTTGTAAACAACCTTGGAGTTCATGGTATATGATAAGGACTAGGAAAGAAAAAAACAACTGGTTGGTTTATCAGTGCAACTGTTTTCAATGGTGACAGCTAGCCTGAAGAATGTTTTGAGTCTGAACTAAAGTAATGTAGTGCCTTGAGCAACATTTTAGGACATTCCTGTCCTTTATCTAATCATCTTTTTTCTTATTTCATCAACATATAAAGGTGAAGATTCACATACATTTGATGGCGATACTAAACATACTTTCACTACAGCCTGTAAAATAGGGCTGTATAAATGACAACGATGAGATTGTCAATTTAAAAAAGAGGTCTGAAAATTGGATGAACTGTCTGAAATTATATGCATTTCTTTCTATACTGATAATGTCTTTCTCTCAGATTCAACTTAAGTCTGATTTCAGACAAAAGTCTGACAAATCTCATGCCTGAAATGAGTTCAGAAGAGAATAATATGAATTTAAAACTGCTGATGACGGAGTTAACTGCCTACAAACTGAATGTGAGTGACTGAGGCCATTCCATTAAAAGAGACTTCTAAAAAATGCAGCATCTGACACATGATGTGTGCACATCAACGTTGATGACGACACGTTGGCTCCAGGATGATAAAGAAATGAGTGCATTTTCTTATCAATGTTATTTCCTTGAGGCAGTAGCATTAAGAACATTGAATTGGGATGTCTCAGTACTAGCATAGAGGTCATCAGGTATACCAAAAAAGTTGAGCCTATTAAATCCCCAGATAGGCCTAGTTGGTTTGAAAAAAAAAGAAAGGTTGTTGGATGCGGTGTAGACATAGGCCTACTCATCCATGATTTTCTTTCTGGCAGAAGCCAAAGGTTCGCCTTTCATATTCTTCCGTAATTTTCCTCCTGATTAGCTGAGAAATGTACAGGGAAGCAGAGAAAACTCAGTTCTTTTGAGTTGGCATAGGCCCCCTAGGCCTAAGTAGGCCTATCTTTTTACATAACTTAAGTTAAATTAGAAGATTGTTTATGCCTATGGCCAAGGCTATAAAGTTATAGTGAAAAATGGATTAAGGGTCTGGGTGGGCTAAAAAATGCAATCTCTATTTAAAGTTAGCCTCGACCTAAACCAACAATTTGGTGTATTCCCAATTTTCAATGAGAAACTTTTTAAGCAAATCGAGACAAAAGAGAAAAACATGGGTAAGAAAAAAACAGACACAATACTTTACATGCTTTAGCATGTTTAAGAAAAGAGGCACAACTAAACATGGTAAAGAAGGAGGTCTACAGGCTTATCTTGTATAATAGGCCTACAACTTGCCGACTAAAACCTGTTTAATTATGACCAATTCATTCGAAATCAAACAGACGTGAAATATAACTGAACATCAATAAAAACAAAGAGAAGAGCAGTTACACGAATTCCCACGCCAATCTTCGGCCATATCATTCACTTATCTTCGACCTAATGAACAAGACAGATGATCCCTTCAATGGACGTAATTTATTACCACGATGTAACAGCACACATTTGAAACCCGCGGTTATGTAACTGTGGCGGGTCTTCCTTGACCACATGGCCCGGTTTGCGGTGCGATGCCCCGTTGATGTCTTCACTACTGACCTGCTGACATCCGAACCACGGACCCCACTTCCATGACTTCTTATGACTCAACCGCTCACCATCTCAATCAAAACAAACAAGATTTTGACCCATGAAAATAAAAATACGGCGATTCATACTTACTCCAGATTGCACCTCCGTCATGATGGCAGTTATGAACCGAAAAACCTCGAAAGAAACGTCGAAAATAACAATTCCCAACCGATAAATTTGATGCAATTTGGGCACTGCGTAGTAAAAAAATCCCCGTGTGATTCGCAAATCCCGTGTCGGCGAAATTTCAATGTATCAAATTTAGCGTTGGCAGACATCAGCTGGACTTGGAGCATACCACTCATTCCATTCGTAGGGATGTCCCAAAGGCTGCAAACTCGCGTGGCATGCGGAGAATGTTGGATTCTTTTCCACGTAAAACATGTACTGCGTGTTCATGGAACTTGTACTTGTTGACGAGCAGTCATTTTTGTACACAAAATCAAACTGTAGCTTGTACGATCAAATTTTCAAAAGCCCGGGATACTCGATAAAAAGAAACTACACTCTAAATTTTTGATATTTTAAAGTTGTAAAATGGAATCGAAATTAACTCGGTAAAAAAAAAGTTAATAAAAATACAAACGAATGATGAAAAACAAACAACTATTAAAATCATGTTCATCACTAATCTCATGTTCTTCCCTTTAACTTTTCAATTGTTCATAAAAAATATTACCGTCCAGGGTCCGGTGTTGTAAAAATATATGGCCCCTTGGGAGTTACGTTCAATGTACTCCCCTGTCATGGAATGGAACGCACCATCAATTTTGAAGCAGCTGTCAAACTTCATTTGCATTGACAGTTGGCCACGCCCACTTGAAACTTTTTGCAAAGTTGAGAAGATGCATCAATTTCGCGCCTAAAATAAAAGGCAGGCGTTTATGGCAATTCTATTTGAAATTAAACCTTAAATTCTGATATCGACGTTGTTTTTCTTATTTAATTAATAAGTCAAGAGCGTCAGAAGTACATTTTATTAGGAAACAGGCAATACAATCTGTTACAGTTGTGCTAATTTGGGAGAGCACGGTTACCATGTAGACCGTTGTTGCATCAAAACAATGCATGCAGTACAAATGTAGCATTTTGTTGACCCAGAAATGTATTACATTTGTATTAATAAAATAATTTCATTATTTTGCAAATTGTGCGTACGCCCTCTCTAGTATATCTTTGGTACGCCACAAAAGCACAGGTTGAAGACCGAGAAATAGATCTAGGCCTAAAAGCGTTCTCCTAGCCTATCATCGGCCCCCATTTTAACAGTTATTAAGTTATTCTCATTTAGGAAAATGCCAAGATTTTCCACAGTTTTCTTTTCCATTTTTGGGGGGCAGTGTGAGCCCGAGGGCTCAATCTTTCTGCGCCCCTGGATTTTTCTGGGGGCGCAACGAGCACTTCGCGTATGCGAGACAGCAGCTAGCGGCAACCCGCACGGCACTGCTGGTAGTTGGTTGCGGTTTACCGCAGAAAATACATTGAACGGGTAGTACTGTCATTGCGCAACAAGGACAATATTTTGTAAAATGAATTGCTTCTCCGCATACTGTACCGACGTTCACTGAACTAGGGAAGTATTTTTTTTTTGCGAAAATGTAGACCGGACCAAGTTAGATTCTTACCCCTGGTCCAGTGCCCCCCCAAAAAAAATTCATACAAAAGGTGTTTTTATTAAAACGATCTTAATTTATACTGGATAGGTGTCTGTAGGATCCGTGGGTGAACGACATCAGATATGACTCCTGAATATGCGAAATCTTCTGGTGAGAAATTGATCAAAAAATGTCGAATCTAGAGTGGGCCTACCAGTCTGAACAGCTGTTACGCATATGTATTCAAGAATTTGAAAAGAAAATTCCAGTAAGAGCAATTTTTTTATGAAGCCTCCGTACTTCCGTGGTGGAACACCTGTGCGGTGGTGTGGGAGAAACTTCATTGTTATGGTCCTGTCAATCAAAATCTAAGTTTCCCATTGAATGGAGCAGACCCAGACAAAATCGATAATCTCAACACTTCAAAGTAAATTGGATCGGACAATTTCAACAACCAATTTGACACCCGTGCCCTCTATTTAACACACAGCTGCCCTGGCTAATGAAATGAATTGAAAATGGGTCGACAACATTGTCTGGACTACTTTTATTTCTTGTAAGGCATGGAAGGGTTTTGTCAGGAAGTTGTGTCAGATTTCAGCTAACGACCGAGCGGAGCGTGGCTAGCAGTTCATGACCGTCGGGGCAGTAACCCTTGAACGCAAACCGTTGTTTGGGGGCTTTTACCGTCAAGCTTTATCTTTGTTTCTTCTTCGGCTACGAGTTGACGTCTTGGGAGACGCAGCCTGCACTTAAAAATCATCAAACTTTATACTCCGAGAAATATAAGGAAATGTGGTACTGGTACATATTATACGAATTGTTGATTCCTGCCCCCGTTAATACCTCCGACCTTTAGTTACAATTCTTGAAACTTTTTCCCAACTGGAACTTGATTTTCTAAACGAACCACGGATGATTTTTGTGTGTGTGTTGGCTTGGGGCTAGGGTGGCTAACCTCCACGGTCTCTAGCCTCTTTAAAGTGAACCATTTTGATGAAGTGTGTCGTACAATATTGCTGATCTCGGTTTTCTGATTACTCTTTTGGTAGTCTGCGTTGATACTTCGGCCACCCACCTCCTCCAAAATCCTGGACAAAATTTCTATCAACTGTTAGGTCTCACCCTGCAAAACTCATGGTTCCAAGCCTCAGCTTCGCAAACCACTTGAGCGCCTTGGCCTCAATTTATTTTGTATAGATTCAGTCGTGAAACCTTTCTAATGTTGTTTTTCTTTTCGGCCGATATGGGGCTCCTACAGTCTGATCAGGAACAAATTTCTATGCTAAGTTGCTTATAAAAAACCAACAGAAGAATTTTTTTTTTCGGTGCAAAAACTTTTATTCAAATTCAAACTCGACTTTAATTCACACACGGGTTATCAGAATCAATACGAATGTAATGGAAGAATAACGCATCATGGACGGAAATATAGGCATTACAGGGCTAAAGACATCTTTGACTTGGACGGCCTATTTCGTTTTTAACAGTTATCTTACAAATACTTGCAGTAAAAATATTCAATATGTAACCCCACAAATCAAAAGGAATATTTACAACATTCAAGTGACAAAAAAGAATGCATTATACATGTTCACATAAGTCCAAACATAAGCGATATTGGTGGGTAGCTATATTCACACCAAAACTACAATAACCTTCTCGAGTGCCTTCGATTTGGAATGGCAACTGCAGAAAGTGGCCGTTGAGGGCGCTATTACAAGCACTATTATTATGTCACATTTGCCAAAAAAAAAATTCTCCTTTCCACGGACGGATTTATATATTTTTTAAGCATCAAAGTAAATGATCTTTTTTTGAAAAAGCAAGTTACTCCTTACTTTTCAGAATATTTTTCACACATTCTTCAAATTTTAAATAAACAACAAACCTTTAAAAAAAACACCAATTGTTCAACACAGAAATCTGTACAACTTTACTGCTGACTCTCCAAGTTCATAAAAAAACAAAACAAAGTTTACAAGCATTTTATACAATACTAATTTTGTTTAATACAAGCAAAATATTCTTTATAGATCTGAAGACCTAACCTGCTATTAATGAATAATAAGTGCACAACAAATATAATACAATTTAAATCAAATATCTTTTCCACAGAACAATAGATTGAACTTTTTTCACCATCTTTCCTTGGAGTTTTTTTACCATCTTTGCTTGGAGTTCCCATAAGTCTGTGTCTAATAACCCAACCCCCCCCCTTTCTATACAGATGGCCCCGCCCTTCTCTTTCTTGTCTCAGGAGGGCGTGACAAAAATACGCTTCTGCTCCCAGACGCTGGCCTCCAGCGTTGAGGGCAGCTCCACGTGGGTCAAGAGGTCATCCGGGGTCAACCTCGTGACCTCTGACCCCTGCATATACACGGGGCACCGGTAGGTCCCTGTTCTTCTATTCTGACTATCATCGGTTACCAGGGACGGCACAATTGGCTTGAAGCAGACGACTGGGAGTGGGGAGGGGTCGTCGATTGAGGTCACAGAGGGGTCGGGAGGGTGGGGAAGAACAGTCAGGTGCCGCTGGGAGTCCCATTCGGCATTGTGGAGAAGCAGGCTGGCGACGTAGATGCCAGACTCTGGGGGTGTGGTCGGAAGCTCCTGGGTGTTCATCACCTAATACAAGAAATTGTTACACGAAAAAAAAATTAAGTTGACTCAAAAGGCACGTAAAGAAGTCCACAAAAAAAGAAGGGCAAGACCAAAAAAAAAGGGCTATTAATTTTTTAGGAGATTGAGAACAGGATTTTGTACAATGTTGTATCTTACAATAAAAATTTCAACTCCAAATAAAGAAGCGTTTTTGGCATCAAGGACTGGGGTCTGCCAGAAAGTTTGTTGAAAACTGTGACTTTTTTCAGAAAAGTAAAAGAAATTTGTCAGAAAAAAAAAAATGGCAACATCTTTTTTCTCACAGGTTTATCTGAAATTATCTCATCCTGAAAGACAACTTAAACAGTTGTCAAATATTAATTTTTAATATACACAGAGAAGCTCAATGACACGAAAGTATTATTAAAACCAAGGGAAGCACGTGACGCTTACTCGTGTCTCCATAAGAAGCCGGTGGACTTCAATATATTCCTTCCTAGCGTGCTCCTGCAGCACACTCCGCAAGAACATTCTCGGGTTTGAGAATGCTGTCAAATCAAAGCATGTGACTCTCTCCCCTTCCCAGACATACTTCTCCAACATCAAAGCCTGAGTTTTGAACCTCGCAATCCACTTTCCCACCCCAGTGCATTGTGGGTGTCCGGGGGACAGCCAGGTCTTGGGTACGCAATCCTGACCGATGGCCAATAGGGTCCCTTCTACCTCGGGCGGTAGGGCGATGCTGCCCAGCGCTGACTGCAGCAGTAAGGTGATCTCTGATTGGATGGCTGTGATCTTCGTTTTCCAGAGGGTGATTTCGGAGCTTAGGAAGGTCTCTAGATAACTGAGGCTGTCAGAGGGGGGCTGTTCCAAAGGTGGAAGATCCTCCAGGTGTCGCTTGATGGATTCAAGGAGGGAAATGGTCGACCGCCAGGAACTAGGAACCTTGTGGGAGAGGCCTCTTTCTAAGAGCTGTAAGGCACTGGAAATGTATCTGAAAGTTGCAAACAAAATGAGCGACTGTAAGATTTTTGAAGCCAGAACAAAGACTGACTGGCAACTTTCCCCTAGTTAAACTTTTTATTTTAAGAAAATAATTTTAATAAAGTGCTTATTTCGTCACCGTTTTCAGGAAGAGGCGAATTTAGTATTTCACTGTCTGAACAAACATTCGAGATAATCGCATTTAAAGTTGGTCCTTTTTTCATTTGACAATTTCAAACTTAAAGATGCATAAAATATGCAAGACTTAGCTATCAGAGGAAAGAAGAGATTCTGATCTTCCTAAATGTAGCAAACTTTAAGAAAAATAGGTGATTAGCTTTGCAGAATTAATCAATTAAGAGAAGTGGCTGTTCGTGAAAACGAGAAAAAAAAGACCAATTAGCAAATCGCCCCTTCGTGAAAACGCTAAAGTGACTACGCGCAGAATTCGCCCTTCTGCGGGCTGAGTCAATGCATTTTTTGTACAGTACGCGCAGATTCTGCCCCACTGCGCATGCGCCTTGAAGTTCGCCCCTTCGTGAAAACATTTTATTTGCCCCTTCGATGATAACGCGTCATTGTATTACAATGTATTTATTTGCTGAAAATTTATTAATACCATAGAGTGCAGAAACTGATTCACCCCTTCGTGAAAACAAAAAACGGCACTTGTGGCAAATTCGCCCATTCGTTAATTAGGTTAATTAAGATTTTAATTAATTTTTTGAAAGTATAGCCTCACCGGGTTGTAGATATTGATATATTTATTCTTTTTCACCAAAAAAAACCAAATTTCGAAAAACAGACGATTTTCGTGAAATTCGCCCCTTCGTGAAAACGGTGACGAATTGTCACTGACCGGCTCTCTCTGGTCTCCATCATTGCAGGGGTGCCACTCATCAGCCCCAGCTGGGCGGGCTGGGCCTCGTCCTTCATGGTGTCAAACACACGCTGTAGCCGGCGGGCCTGGCTCCCGCTGCTGGCCCGACTGTGGCGCCCCTGGCTCTGACCGGCCGGCAGCAAGGAGGCCAGGAGGGAGGCTGCTCCCATGGAGGCCGGCATTTGCTGCAACAGAGAAGCAACTTGGGTTTATACATTTCTATAATAATAATAATTGTGCTTATATAGCGCTTTCCATCGTATCAACGATCTCAAAGCACTTTACAATTATTACCCCATTCATCAGGCCATGGGACCACACAGCAGCCGATATCAGCGCTCAATCGGTCCTCGACCCTCACAGGTACCCATTTATACTCCTGGGTGGAGAGAGGCAATTGTAGTTAAGTGTCTTGCCCAAGGGCACAAACACCATGTTCCTGGCCGGGTTTGAACCCACGCATCTTCGTACATGAGTCAAACACCGTAACCAATGGACCATAGCGTTCTACGATAATAATTGTGCTTATATAGCGCTTTCCATCGTACCAACAATCTCTAAGCACTTTACAATTATAACCCCGTTCATCAGGCCATGAGACTACGCGGCAGCCGATATCAGCGCTCAATCGGTCCTCTACCCTCACAGGTACCCATTTATACTCCTGGGTGGAGAGAGGCAATTGTAGATAAGTGTCAAGGGCTCAAACACCGTGTTCCTGGCAGGGTTCGAACCTACGCACCTTCGTACATGAGTCAAACACGCACCTTCGTACATGAGTCATGCAAAACTACAACAATAGTGAATGTGCATACAAATGTGAAACCACTTAAAGTCAACAAAAGACAAGAAAAAAGGGATTTTAAGAACATTTAGTTACCTCCACATCTTGCCAGTTTAGGACCAGACTACTGACGATGGACTGTACAACCCTCGTGTCCTCTGCTTCATCAATGCAGCCTCCGTACACCACACTACTGAGTAGACCCTGTAGGTTACCTAGACCCTCGTAGATATCAAACGGTTGTTGCTGGATCCTCAGCATGTCTAGGGCCGTCAGCAGGTCACTGTGTGACCTGGAAAAATATGGATTCACAAATAAAATGTAGATTGGAGCTCTCATTAAGGAATGCAGGTTGAGCTCATATTTATCTGCTAAAGGTACACGGGATCATTTGCTTTTGTGCATTTATTCATTGGAAGCAACAAAATTGCTTAAAATGTTAAATAGGGTGCATCACAACTAACTTGTTGAAGTTTCAGCTCAGTGGATACTACACATTTTGAGAAAACAGAGAAAACGAGTACATGTACATTTTTTTGGGTCTGGTAACTTGATTGCATTATTAATGCACGTAAAAAAAATGTGCCTGCAGTCACACTTTTTAAAACCACTTTCAACTCTAGTTTTCTTCCGGATGAAACCATTTCAGGCGGAATAATGTCACAGGGTATTTGGTGCCAGTCCTATCTTCACTTTAACCCTAAAAGGGCCGGGGGGGGGGGGGAATCCACCCCCCTCAACTTTTTCCGCGATAGCCTTGAATTTTTTTTTTCGCGACCCGAGCTGTTATGACTTTTTAGCCTTGAGCCTTGCGCTTCTTTTGATACCAAAACATAAAAATCAGACCACGGGTTGCCGCGCTGCGAAAAATTTTCTGGCACTACGCGCCCTGAAAACTGAATTTTCCCATATACGTCATGAACACAGAGCAGAATTACCATTCGTACATATGAATAATTAATTAGCCATAATTCCAAAACCCTTTGACCTATAGTCGTGAAATTTCTTGGGTATGTTCATTAAGAGTTGCTCTATACATGTACCAAGTTTCAAATTTTTTCGTCACTCGATGGCCGAGATCTTAGGGGGGGGGGGGCGGCCCCCGGCTGAGAGATGGTCAAAATAACCCTGCCCTTTTAGGGTTAAAGAAGGGTTTTCTTGTTCAATCGGTAGGTACATTTCCAGGTCAACTATAGTCAAGTCCACTACCAATCACTCATCAGTCTAACCAAGTAACGTCATTAGTTACAGGGACTGTGCGACGACAAAAGAATCTTTTCTCAGAGTTTATTTGAAAAGCTTGTGATCTGACTTGAAACTGGACGCCTCGTTTTTTTTAACTCTGCTTTCAAGCAACCTAGAGTGTTCTTTCCATGGGTATGCTTACCATTGGTAATCCTTGCTGAACCCAATCTGGTTGAAGCGTCTTCTCTGGGACAGCACGGTGTGCAGCAGGGAAATGCCGAAGACCATCTCATTCGTGATCTGCCGGCCAATCAAAATACAAAAATAATCACCAACACATGTCACAAGAGTGCAGTATATTCAACCTGGTCATTCGAGCGGGATTTGTCAGAATAACACTCCAGATCTGTGCCGAACTTGATATTTGAATTCAGTATATGGAAAATTGGAGAATCGGAACAGTTAAGGCTACTTACGTAAGAAAGTCAACTGCTGCAGTGGTTTGGAGTGACTACAGAGTTTTGAAATGTAACATCAAAACAAAAATCTCTGTGGCACTTTTTGGTCCAGATTTTACTAAGCGATAATATTCCTCCCATTTCACAATTTAAAGCCACTCAATATTTGTTTTATATAACTGACATAAAGATCCTTGTCATTTGATATATTTGAACTTTTAGTTCAATACAAAATACAAAAAATGGTGAAAAATGTATTTCTCTCTTCCAAACCACCCCTTCATGAAAATGCTTGAACCCAACGCTGTAGCGCTGGCTCCTTGGAACAATACGCGCTATGCGCAACGCTAAACGCGTACACCAGCATGCCTTTGCACACAAATACCGCGTCATGGAACAAGACTGATCCTAACTGTTCAATAGTATTTCACATTCCCCATGGGCGAAAAGTACTTTTTGAGCCCCGGCGTGAATGGCAGTACATGTAAGTAATGAATGACACGTGATGTGAGTTCCACCAATCAAATGACAAAGATCTGTATATCGGTTATATAATTTCAGATGGGCGTTCAGCGTTTTCACCATTACGGGTGCAGCTGTGGATGTATTCTGTAATTTAGAAAAACAGAGGAAATTCAAAACCACACAAGACTTTGTACAGTGTTAGTCAATTTGTAATGGCATTCATGAGAAGTAAAAAACGAGGAAATCAGCGGATCCAAGGAAAAGTTGCATGCCTGTTTGAGAGGTAAATAATGCCTATACCTTAGCAGTGCTTGACGTGACCATGTGCTTGCTGGCTTCCAGCGCCCTCATGCCGTCATTGAAGGAATGGCGTAAGGATTCCCGTAGGTTGGCGGTTACTTCACAGGTCACCTTGATGCCGTGTTGCAAGATCAAACCTGGGTGAACAAAAGACAAAAAAATGAAGAAATTGTCAACGTCTTTGAAATTGAAAACTGTATTATTCATAAGTGGGGATACTGGATCAGTGTATGGGCTCTGTGAAGTAATGGCTCCGTGCCTGAGCGAGAGAGGGCGCTTTTCGACCACTTTTGAGAACCCAGCGTGGACTGGACCCACTGCAGGGTGCAGACCAGTAAATCGGTCCGAAATTGCCTACGCCGGCCAAATCACGATTTGCATGCCCTCAAACTCTTCAGTATTTGAGCATGCTGTGGGCCATGAACTTGAGGGTTTGTAAAAAAATATGGGTGGAAGCCGTGCACAGGACTTCCGTTCAATTTGGATGAAATTGGGGCCCTTAAAGCGCTCTATTTTGCAATGGAGTGTAGGCATCGTTTTTCAAAATGGCGATCGGCTTCAGGACTATTTTCAGGGGTGATCATCTTCGGATGGAAATTTCTCCTAAAAGTGATCAGTTGACCCCCAGAAAATTGGAAAGAAAATGAAAGATGATGAAATAAGCTTTAATTTGATGTGTGTCTCGAACACCTTGGTGAGTTGTGAGTATTTTCCCCCGAATTTCTGAAGTGGGAGCTTTTACCATTGGGGTCTATGGAAGTTTATTTACTGGTCTGCAACCCGCAAGCGCGTACTGATTTGCATGCATATCCGCAAAGTGTTCACGACTTATTTTATTCTGAATGTGCACAAAGCCAGTGCATCTTCATGTGAGCGTCAGGCATTGTCGGCAATACGTTTAAATGTCTCTCCCAGTGGTCTCGCCCAACTCTCCCTTTCTTACCGCTGAGGCCAGGTACCAGCGAGGTGGCCTACTTCTAATAATTGATAAGGAAATCTCTGATATCTCTTACCTGGCATCGTGCTGTTGCTGTCCGCCCTCGTGACCAGGAAAAGCCTGAAGTCAGTGTGTACCTCTGACTGGGGTGCTCCTGCTGGATTGGGAATGGCCTGTGCCTGTGCCGCACTAGCCCCCCTGGATTCTACAAAGCCCCTGCTGCTGGATTGCTTTGTTTGTGGCCTGGATGGGGCGGGTGGGGCTTCAGTCTTGGATGAGACCATTTTCTGAAAAGGAAAGGAGGACGTGTTTAATGTGACACCACAAAAAAGTAAATTATAATAAATATTTGCCGGGATAAGTTCCATTTTATGAACATTCGTATAAAAAAAAATGCGTTTTCTTTCACTGCTTACTTTTCACTCGCATTTTCTGAATTTCACATTGAGCTGCAAGTTGCGCCAAATTATAATTTTATACAGATGCATGTTTTGCTCTGTACCAAACCCAATTGAGGTAAAGTGTCTTCCCCAGGGACATCAATGCAATGATCCTCTCACTGGGATTGACCCTCCATTTTCTAGGCTTACCCAAATTCAAATTATGCCTTTCTTCCAAAAACACTCACAGGGCCTGACTGTTTGATCTTTTTCCAATGTACAAATAATTCTTTTTAAATACTTTTTTTAACAGTGTTTTACTTGAGTCCATCACAAGTCCAGTCACAAGTCGGAAAGAATATTGCCACCTGACGCCACTGTTTTCATCATGTATTATCTCAATGAAGGTCAGTCATTGCAAACATGTTGAAATGACATGAATCTGGGAAACACAAGTAACAGGTGGTTAAAGCCAGAGTCCATCATTTGCAGCTATCCAAAAAGTAACTGTCGTAATTATTGTTGAAAAACATACTTGGTTGAAAGATAGTAAGGGCACTAAACTCCCTGTGAAATTATTCTTTCTGGCAAGCTGTCATTTTGAAGAAATCAATGAAAGAAGGCCTTTTCCAACGGTGCGTCTTAAGAAGCACCGTTGGAAATGTCAGTTAGTAGTTCGTTTTTTTTATTCGGTGAAGCGCGCGCAAGCGTTGACACAACGCACACATGGCTGCTATAATTTGTCGGATCAGTGCGCGACATCACGTAGCTGCAATCGGCTCAGTGAGAACGTGTCTCGGACGCTGAATTCAGGCCCAATTCAAACATGATTCAGCAACTTTTGATTTGAAATTGAGATCCTAGAATGCTGTTTTTCTCGAAATATACAGCTGAAGTTCAGCTGAAACTTCATCAGGTTAGTTGTTCAGCACCCTTCTTTAGATTTTGAGCACTTTTGTTGCTTCAAACGAACAAAATGCACAAATTGCAAATGATGGACTATACCTTTAACCAAATCAACGTTGAGCAAGGGATAAGAAATTTCTCCTTTACCTGAATAAACTGCAGTATCTCCTGCCCCTCATCGCCCACCAGATCAAAGTTGTCAATCAGCAGCCATTTACCCGTCTGTGAGCACTCCTCCAGGGCATGTAAGACCGTCGGTATCTGGGCCTGTGTGCCCAGGGACACGGTGTGCAAGGTGCGCTCTGGTTTCTGGTGGCGGCAGTGGGTGGTGAGCCTGGTGATGGGGTGGGTGTCGATGTGGCCTGGAATGACAAGATTAAGGATTGTGTTGAGAAAAGAATGACTTAAAGGGACCCGTTAATCTAGCTCAATCCGCCAATCTAACCTTAAAGACTCATAATGTAGTGAGACGTCTTTTACGAGGCACCGTACAATTGGCACACAGCCCAGAAAAATGTATACAAACGCGCACTCAGTGCCGTGAACGCGCGAATATCAGCCCTTTTCTGCCTGCACACCAAAGTGTAAGTACCGTGTGCATAGATTTGAGCTTGAAAACCAACATTTTAGTTTCAAATGAGCGAAAATTGTATTTTCTTTACATTCTAATGTCACAATGCAAGTTCTCTTCTACCGCTGGGCTAGGTTTTAGTTTATTTCATGTTGACGAAAGGAGTGATTTGGGGTGAATTAGTCATCGTAATCTCAAAGTTTTAATCACCGTGTTGATCGTGTATTAAGTCACATGTTGATTTATTGCAAAACGACTGTTTCATGTCAGGTGCAATTTGAAGGCCGAGTTCACAGCCGTACACTGGCCAGGCGTTCGGGGAACCAGGAACCGTAGGGAACCTGGGAACCTTAGGGCACTTTCAACTTTAAGTAGGGAACTTTAGAAATACAAACTTTGTGATTATAATTTATCATTGTCAACTTTATTACAATTTATAGAGCTGGAAATTGAATCTTTTCTGCTTTTTGTAACACTTGTTGTGTGAGTTAGATTGAGATTCAGATCCAGAACTATTGTAATTGATTTTGTAAACAAGTAATCTGTAACAAGTTCATGAGACCAAACATAATCTGACTCCTCCTAGTGTTTTGATTTTGTCTGTCTGTCTTGGTTGTTCTTGGCGTCCTTAAATGTAATCATTTGAGCGGACCTCCTTAATGGCGTACCGCTACAATAATTTCTGGTTTACCTTCGCAGCCACTGTTGATAGCTCCGTCCCTGGTGTACCCGGCAGGTAAGATGAAGACCACCGGTGTGTGGTGATCGCACTGAGCCAGGACGTCATCCATGCTGTAATGTGAGGGCCGGGCAATGTGAGATCCTAGCTGGTAGATGGTCAGGTCTTGGCAAATGCTGGCCAGCTGGAAAATCACAAGATACGGAGAGAAATTACGAGAAATCAAAGATAGTGTGTTCATTTTGCAGGACATCTCACACACACACAAGAGAAACAGGATAACTTGTAAGCTGTCAAATTTGTCATTTCTCATGTTACTGCTGGATATCTGACAAATCAACACAAAATTGTTTAAAAATGCACAAATTTTGTTTCCCTCATGAAAATCCATCTTCTTCGAGTCTATGGACAAAACATTGCTGCCAAACCTTGGCATGAAGCATCCAAATTGGAGGGTATTTTTTTTTTGTAGTTTGATAAATGCACAATGGTCTATCATGTGCACCCCAGTGGAACAAAGCATTGTGCCTCTAAGATGGCTGCCATGCTATGGGTCTATTGCTACTGAAGTGCATCGACACTCTGACGCATTCCTCTCACACAAACACTCTATAGCCCTTTTCACACTAGAGCCACTCAACCCTGGGTTGAACTCAACCTTGGGCGAACCCAGTGCCGCCCCGGGTTGAGTTTTTGATTTTTCAACCCCGCGTTCAACCCCGCATCGTTTCACACTTGTTTCATGCAAATCAAGCTTATCATGCTCAGTTACTACTGTTTTGAACCCTGGCAAGATTTTCAACCCGGGTTGAAAATCTCAACCCTGGTCTAGAGCAGGGTTGAGTTCAACCCGGGGCGAAACCAATCTTATCATGCTCAGGCAAAACCAATCTTATCATGCTCAGTTACTACTGTGTTGAACCCTGGCAAGACTTTCAACCCGGCTTGAAAATCTCAACCCTCGTCTGGAGCAGGGTTGAGTTCAACCCGGGGCGAAACCAATCTTATCATGCTCAGGCGAAACCAATCTTATCATGCTCAGTTACTACTGTTTTGAACCCTTGCAAGATTTTCGACCCAGGTTGAAAATCTCAACCCTGGTCTAGAGCAGGGTTGAGTTCAACCCGGGGCGAAACCAATCTTATCATGCTCAGGCGAAACCAATCTTATCATGCTCAGTTACTACTGTTTTGAACCCTGGCAAGATTTTCGACCCGGGTTGAAAATCTCAACCCTGGTCTAGAGCAGGGTTGAGTTCAACCCGGGGCGAAACCAATCTTATCATGCTCAGGCGAAACCAATCTTATCATGCTCAGTTACTACTGTTTTGAACCCTTGCAAGATTTTCGACCCGGGTTGAAAATCTCAACCCTGGTCTAGAGCAGGGTTGAGTTCAACCCGGGGCGAAACCAATCTTATCATGCTCAGGCGAAACCAATCTTATCATGCTCAGTTACTACTGTTTTGAACCCTGGCAAGATTTTCGACCCGGGTTGAAAATCTCAATCCTGGTCTGGAGCAGGGTTGAGTTCAACCCGGGGCGAAATCAATCTCATCATGCTCAGGCGAAACCAATCTTATCATGCTCAGTTACTACTGTTTTGAACCCTGGCAAGATTTTCAACCCGGGTTGAAAATCTCAACCCTGGTCTGGAGCAGGGTTGAGTTCAACCCGGGCGAAACCAATCTCGGGGTTGACGCAGGGTTGAAATTCTTCAAGTGTGAAACGATGCATGTTTTCAACCCTGCGTCAACCCCGAGATTTGTCTAGTGTGAAAAGGGCCTATGGGTTAATGCATGCTTGACTGAAAATTGGTTGAGCTCACTATGTGTCATTCATGGCAGGCCACACTGCACCATGTACACGGCACAAACAATAATAACGTGGGGAGGGTTAATATAGGTTCATGTGAATTCCTAAGTATTTAGCACAACTAGGAACCCGTGAATACAGCAACAATGAAGACACAAACAAATCAAGTAAAGATGCTAACCTTGTCTGGTCTGACGACTCTCCACAGCAATGCCTTCTGCATGAAGGTGAGCTTGGCCAGGCTAGCCCCAGGCACGGGGGGCAACAGGACAGGGTCATGCTGCAAAACAGAAACAAATACAAATGGTATATATGCATACAGATTGCAGCGAATGCAAACAGTTTACAGACAAGATTTGAAGGTTTATAGTTGATCCCACAACATGAGTTTGATTTTTCTCAATAGAGGGAAGATACAACATTTGCAAACATCACAAAACGAAATGATCAAATAATCACAAAATGTCTCACTAGATTGTTAGGGAATGACAATCTAAAGCATCCTGTAAAATTGTGGCTCCTGGTGTGCTTTCATTTTCAAGAAAAATGGTATTTTTCCAACACTGGTCGGAAAAACTGGCTTTTTGCAAAACTGATCCTAATTTTTTTCATAATTAATTATTCCGCGTTTCTTTGCAATTGATTACACACCTGTGAAAGGGTACAAGCCTGCTAGGCTGATTCTCTGACCTTACAATTTCCCAAAGTCATAATTGCTCTGTTTCATCTAAAGTGGGGTCAGGGAATCAGACTACAAGAACATGATTGGTTTTCATGTTTTTTTCCAGCATCTACAAGCCCAAAACGTGAAACAAGTCATTTCCACAATATTTGCTATAACATACTAATCCTCCAAATTCATTTATTTCTGAACATTGCAGCAAAAGCAAATGTTGTAAATTCCCTTTAATCGGTTTTGTTTTTTTCATTTGCATTAGAATGAATGTCGTCAATGGAATTTTCGTGACTTGCCTGGAAGTACTCCTGCCACTGATGGCTGTGGTTGACCAGGGACTGAGTGAGACCACCGAAGGCCGACAACTCACTCTCCAGATGGCTGCAGCTGGCCCAAATCTGTCAGATCAGGTAAAAACGGTTTTAGGCGAACGAAAAGTAATAGTTTCCTTAAATAACAATCATTTGTGTACAGATGCACTGTTGCCAGATGTTTTTAAGCCAAAACTAGGATTGGACAGGTATGCATAGGATGAAATATGTAACTGGAGCAAGGCTAAAGGACAACGCTTTTATATGGGAAAAGTCGATACCTCAGAAGGGTCTACAGAAGTCGGTTTTATTGAAACATAAAACTTGTTCTTACTGTTGGGGTTATCCATTCGGGCAGTTTGGTGCCACCCTCTGCCATCGTCCGATTGGTTGCAGTAGCTCCGCCCACAAACCAAAGCCACTCCTCCTCGGTCAACTTCTTGGCTGCGCGCATCTTCTCCGCAGCTACAAGGAACGCGAAGAGCTCAGCGTGGGGCTGGAACATCCCTAGCGAGACTCTGGCCTGCGTGTCCAGCATGACGGCGTTGGTCAACTCGACGGCGCGGGCCGGGGCCGAACCGATGTCCGCCCGGTCCTTCTTGCGCGAGCCCACGGTGGCTTGGAACCACCGCACGAACGTCGCCATCGGCACGTAGTAGAGCGGGTGGAGGGACGACATGCGCTTGATGACCGAGTACAGCAACGTCCCGTGCTCGGCCACGGGGACGTAAGGGGCTTGCTTCTGACGGAGTTGCGCGGCCAGGCTGTGGGTCTCGTGCAGGCTAGCGTCTGTCGTCAGTGTGCACTGCTGGTAGTGGTTGATGACGTCGCTCATGGTGGGCTCATCCAGGATGCTGTGGGGGAGGTTTAAGGTCTTGCTTAGGATTTCCTCCTAGGTAAAAAAAAAAATGAGAAATCAACAAAATCTGATTACAAAAATGGGAAAGTACGTCATGAATCCAAAAAGTGCAACGAACGTATGTTTTATGCCGGATATTGATAATAATGGAGACAGCCAACATGGGGCTGGATAGTTGACTTGATAGAGCACTGGTACGGTATTTAGGAGGTGACAGGTTCAAACCCCACTCAAGAGAATGTCTTTCCTCAAACCAATACTGATTAGATAGCAACAAGTTAGATTATATGATTGCTCTGCTGAACTTGAACAGAGCATTCTAGTCTTAATTTTGAAGTTGAACAGAGAAATTGACTGGGGCAGGGTTTGAACCTGCAACCTCCCGGATGACCGTTCCAGTGCTCTGCCGAGTTTGATTTCCTTCTTTCTTAGGGTCACACGGATGGACAACAAGACAAGGGCATGTACAACCTCGCCAGTCTGACTCCGGTGACTTTTTACGTAACTTCTTACCTCGGCCTGCTGTAGCGTGGCCTCCTGGTTGTGAATGTCGCCCTCTATTGACCGCCACTGGCCGTAGAACTCGGGCCGCTCTATCTTCATGATGTGCTGCAGGAGTCGGTCCGTCAGTCTCTGGGTGCTGATTGACAGGTCGATGACCGAGGTGTCCTCGATCGGTAGGGGTGCAAAACCAGAGCCTGGGGGATGGGGGGAGGGTGGGAAGACGATTTGATTTCATTACATATAACATACAGCCATGTACTTCACAGCTGATCTCAAGATTCCTCATGAGTAGTAAATTCTAGCCTTTGATGTAATCTTGTGTGCTTACCGGTTAACTCCAGAGGAACTGACGTACACAGGTACAGGGAGAAGCTCGGCCGGTAACCGTACGCCCGCCCGCCAATCATGATCCGTCTCTCCCCTTCCTTCCCGTACTTGATATTCCGCCGCAGCAGCTCCGCAAGCCTGCCCCCTAGAGCCCTACGCTCCAGATGCGTCACCACCACGGCTACTCCCAGCAGCATGGCCTGGATCAGACGGATCTCCAAGGAAGGATTATCGGCTGAGACGATCCAGAGATTATCTGCGGGTTTCTGGACGTCGGCGTCATTGTCGGGTAAGGACTCTAAGAAGAAGGAGTCGTCTTGGAAGACGTTGGAGGTGCTGAGGTCCAGGTCCCCGACGCCGTCGCTCTGGAAGTTGAAGGAGTTACGCAGGTTGTACTGGGTGTCTCCTCCAACGCTATATCAAATGAATAAAATGGTACAAAGTCTTAGAAAATATCTCCAAAAAACTGTCATTGAACAAATCAGTTGCCGTCAAAAACATGCTTTCCCCCATGGGGAACAGTCTGTGAATCCTCGTCCAAAAAAAACCCCTTTGCTAGAATTCAGAGAGGGTTAACCAACCTCGTCCCCAGTGCTTACTTTATTTCCAACATCTTTTCCACTAGTAAGCCCTGGATAGGAAACTTTCTTGCTGTATCCTGATTCGATACCGCAATTGGCCAGAAATGGATTTATATCGTGTACTTGGTGTTGTTATTCACAACGTGCAGTACGTGTTTTCGCGATCATTGGTCCATGCCTTCTCGAAAATATTAATTTCCTTTCCAATTTGTTCATATTAAAATGAAATGCAACACTGCATGTTGTCTCGATAAGATCGTAACAGTTTAAGATAAAATCGTGTTTTCGTAACCACGCCATGCTCGCGCTGCGACGAATTGATTCTGTTTTTACCCCAGACACCGCATACAAAAACAAACGCAAATGTAACGCACAGGCAGGCACCAGACTATTCCTCATTTGCATGCGTGTTCAAAAATCTTGCACATGCAAATGATCCAATACCAGTGTGAGAGAGCAGCTAGTGGTGGGTGCGTACTGCTCGACACCCTGGGGACGAGGTTGAGGGTTAACACCTGTCTCCAGTCTGTCTTTCTTAATGGCAAAATCACTGCCCTGATTACAAAATCATTCAACTGTCAGCAAAAGAGGCGACCATGAACAGCGCCACCTAGTGTCAGGTGGTGTCCAGCATTGTCAACCTCCAAACAGTGCTCTGTGACGTTAGAAAGTGTAATGTCACTCCAACTATTGTTGTTAATCTCCATGAGTTTGAAAAGTTGCAGCAAAACTGTGTTGACTAGGCTACTGCAATTTGCACTGAGCATGATGTTTGTTGAAATTTCCTTATTTTGAGATGCTCTCCTTACGTCGTTTTTTACGACTAGTTGGAGGAACATAATTTGTCCTCGAGGTTTGAGGCATACCTGGTCAGTGTCCTAGGGGTTTCTGGGTAATCTGTGCCCGTGTCCCAGTCGTCCGTCGACGTCCCCCGGCTGGTGGGTTTGGTTGTTGGTGTTTCTCTACTCAAGCTATCCTCTAGGTCGTCCAGTTCATTCACGTTGGCTATGGAGAGCGCAGCAGGTGTTTCTGCAAACCAGAGACACAAATGTTGTCAAATATGCAAGGAAACGATAAAGTACTGACGAGGTTTGAGGGATTTCATAAAACTTTACTTTTGTCTCAAGGCATTAGGTCAAAACTCTCAAAAGGGGAAAAAGCTCAAACAGGTTTGCATGGCAAGTCAACTTTCATGCGAGAATGGACGAGGGAATAATATTTCAACTTTTCAACACTTAATGCAGCGATTTGAGTAGATGGGGTTCAAAATCCACCAAAGGAAAAAATGAAACAAAAACAAGAATGAATTCTTACCACTTCCCTCCTCAAGGGCCATGCCCTCATGGAAGCTGACCACCCCTCTCTCCTGCAGTAGTTTGACCCAGGTCACGACCTGGTCATCAGGGTCAATCAGTAAGGGCCACTGGCGCTGTCGGCCAATGCAGCAGGTCCGCATGAACAGGGCATTGTGGGTCGAGGCTTGGTCGTGGGGGAGGGTGAGGTTGGACTGCCAGGCTTTCTGCTCCTCTGGCGAACTCAGAATGGCTGTCAAAGAAAGAAAAAAATGAACTTGAGTGGTTCGAATCCAACTTCATGCCTTTGTATAATTCTTCACGTGATCTGTACTAACAATGATACCTAGGCAAATATACAACCGAATAAATTGTAAAAGAGAAATTGGAGTTCAAATTCAACTTTAAGGCCTTGGCATAGTGAGGTCTCCAACAAAAGATTACACACGCTAAGTCTAGAGATTTGAACTTTGCTTTGAATCTTGGGGGGGGGGGGGGTAGGCTCAATGTTGTTGTCGGGGTTATTGCGATGGATCAAAGCACATCACAAGGCCATTTGCAAGCAAATCACAAGACAAGTCACAAGTCCAGTTTGAAGTAACTGGGGGTGAACAATACCAAAAGTTACTAGATGACTTGTGATTGGCTTGTGATTGGCTTGTGGTTGGCTTGTGATTGGCTTGTGATGGACTTGTGGTTGGCTTGTGATGGACTTGTGGTTGGCTTGTAATGGACTTGTGATTGGCTTGTGATGGACTTGTGGTTGGCTTGTGATGGACTTGTGGTTGGCTTGTAATGGACTTGTGACTGGCTTGTGATGGACTTGTGGTTGGCTTGTGATGGACTTGTGATTGGCTTGTGATGGACTTGTGATTGGCTTGTGATGGACTTGTGGTTGGCTTGTGATGGACTTGTGATTGGCTTGTGATGGACTTGTGGTTGGCTTGTGATGGACTTGTGATTGGCTTGTGATGGACTTGTGGTTGGCTTGTGATTGACTTGTGATTGGCTTGTGATGGACTTGTGATGGACTTGTGGTTGGCTTGTGATTGGCTTGTGGTTGGCTTGTGATTGGCTTGTGGTTGGCTTGTGATTGGCTTACGATTCATACTTACTAGTACCTCGACTGCAACTTAATATATGTGACTTAATATAACTACATCATCCATACCTTCGGCTGTGAAGTTCTCCCTGACCGCGATGGGATACATCTCTGGTTCTGAGTCCCCGGTCGTAGTGCCGCTCAGTCTGCTGTTGGCTGGAGCTAGGAGGATGTCGCTGGACAGAGACTCGCTGCGAGCCTCCAGGCCGTTGTCAAGACCAGCTCCCTGGAAGGATGAATGAGGGATAATGTAATGATGGAGGCCACTAATACAGTGGAACGCCGCTTTAACGAACATCGCGGGATCCACGTAAAATGTTCGTAGTAGTGATCGTTCGGTATAGCGATTTGGAGCAAACACGATGTATATGGGTCGTTTGACGTTCAGGAATAAAGAAAAATGGCCCAATTTTTTGTTGATTTTTTTCATTAACAATGTGCGGTATGTTTTGTACACAAAAAACTGGGAGCCAAGGATGATGTTCGGTATAGCCGAATGTTCAGTATAGCGGTGTTCGGTATAGCGGCGTTCCACTGTACATTGATACGGTTGATCAGGAAACACTATTGTTTTAAATTCCCGTGTGTTTGTTTTAAAGGTATAGTCCATCATTTGTAATTTGTGTATTTTGTTCGTTTGAAGCAACAAAAGTGCTCAATATCTGAAGAAGGTTGCTGAACAACCAATCTGATGAAGTTTCAGCTTAGCTTCAGCTGCATCTTTTGAGAAAAAACAACATTCTAGGATCTCGATTTCAAATCAAAAGTTGCTGTATCATGTTTTGAATTGGGCCTGAATCCAGCGTCCGAGACACGTTCTCACTGAGCCGATTGCAGCTACGCACAGGGAGTTTAGTCCCCTTACTATCTTTCAACCAAGTATGTTTTTCAACAATAATTACGCCAGTCACTTTTTGGATAGCTGCAAATGATGGACTCTGTCTTTAAAACAAAAAAGATGCAAAGTTAGGGGGTGAAGGCAGACTCAGCCATTAGCTTTTTTCTCACAGGTTTCTTTGTTTTTCATTCAGTTAAATCTAGCGAAGGAATTGGACACTCTGCAAGTTGAGTTCAGAAATGGCTTTCTGGTTTCATTTCTTCAAAGCAGCATCTAGCTTCACCATCTGCAAAGTGGTGATGTTGTGTTGGGGTATAAGAGGGGGGAGGGGGGTTGGTGACGGTGGTGACATTGATCGTGGTGATAGTGATGATGGTGTGGAAGGTCATTCTGATTTTTCATTCAAAAAATGACAACTTACAGAATCAAAATTGTTGACGTTCTCAACAGACATGTGTCTCTTCTCGTTGCTCTCTGGGCTCTGGTCAGGCAAACAGAAGGGTAAAAAAAAAAGTTTTAAAACTGATGAGCTATGTAATGGACTGTATGTATGCATGTACCAATGTTGACAAAGATAAGTCAGGTTGGGTACTTTCATTGCCTTCCACCACTGTGACCCGGGTTCGAATCCCGCCTGGGCCAATATGTGGATTGGGTTTTCAGTCCCTACTTGATTCATGGGTTTTCCTCGGAATATTCTTCTGGGGTTTTCCTCCCACATCTAAAACTGTAATTTCTTCACACTGTCTCCTCTTTACTGGGCCCCATGGGAGACCAGTGGATTCCACTGAATGGGTTACCCAGTTAAAATAAGAAATAAACAAAAAAGTAAGAAAAACAAAAATTTGGCAGCCAATTCAATGCCAGTACTGCTGTGTGCTCTTTTCCGAAGTAAAGACAATTAGAGTGAGTGCATATGTGATGCGATCAAGCTACATGAGTCATTTGTCAGGAATTTTCATTTGGAGATACAGGCCAAAATAGGGCCACTTCATCACATCACTTCATCACATCTCTTGGTGTTCCGACTTCCATAATTTTTGAACTAAAGATGGTACCGGCACGCAGTTTTCACATGAGTAATGCTGAGATTGTGCTCTTTTCAAATCTGTAATAAAACAACATTTTGACCAGGGTCGACAAACGACTCATTTAGCTTGATCGCATCACATATTCAGATCAATACTGGTCTTGCGTACTCTACACGAGCCAGTATTCGCATGTTTTGTGTCCTGTACATCGGAGCTGGTTTGAGTAAACACTTAACATCATCCACGGTTCCTGCATGTAGACCTCACTTCCTCAGTTCCCAATCTAATTACTCTCTGAATTTAATATCTTCTCATTAATCAACTTGAGATAGACATCAATACGTCACCGGTTTCACGAAGGGACGGGCATGTCAAAATTTTCACTATTTTGCTTTAAAACATGGTACTTAAGCATTCTGACATGTTTCCGTAAGCAAAACATCATTAAAGAGGTTATGGAATGCTCAAAGACATTTCCGTCATTTTTCGGGTATATGTAGCCTAAGTTGTGATGAAATAAAAACGACTATTGTGTCTGTCATGAAATGAGTACAAAAGGTACTTTTGAGAGCTGTTTTTCAGGTCCTGTTTCGACCCGAACGTGCAATTTGTGTAAAAGTCATCGTTGGGGGCAGCAAACAAAACATAGTAAATCGTGACGTAATAAACAGGACTCCTGATGCAGCGTAGTATAAACAAGTCCTGTTTATTACGTCACGATTTACTATGTTTTGTTTGCTGCCCCCAACGACGACTTTTACACAATCACGTTCGGGTCAAAACAGGACCTGAAAAACAGCTCTCAAAAGTAGCTTTTGTACTCATTTCATGACAGACACAACAGTCGTTTTTATTTCATCACACCTTAGGCTACATATACCCGAAAAATGACGGAAATGTCTTCGAGCATTCCACAACCTCTTTAATTCCAGAGTAACATTAATGACGCCAGGAGCAGGCATCTCGATAATTGCATTTTGCGATTTCACGAAGAGACGCGAACATGCCTGCCCCTTGAACACGTACAAAACCTATTGCACGTAAAGGCGTAGAAGTAGGTCAAACAGAGATTTTCGATTTCACGAAGGGACGGGCATCTTTGTTAATACATTCTCAGCTGCGCGCGCGTAATCGAACACGCGCGCCCTTCCCTATAAAAAAACATGTTGAACAAGAATTGCGTAAATGTGGAAATGTGAGATTTTTGTTTTCACGAAGGGACGGACATCTTTACTACTTAATTTTGGCTTTTTAACCACTATATTAATTATAATTACTGGGTTCAAATTAAAGTTTACCTATCAAAGAATTACGTCAAGGTTTCCTTATTGCATAAAGTTGTTGCAAAGCAGTAGTTTTTGCAGTTTTAAAAACGGAGAAACTTCTCTTGCGATTATCTCGAAAACGTTTTTTCTTTAAAATCCACATGCCCGTCCCTTCGTGAAACCAATGACGAATTGTCTTCCATACCTTGTCAGTTCCCAACCCAGAGGACGTGCCAGCCCTGTTCCCGTCCCTAAACCGCCCACTCCTACACCTCTCCAGCCACTCCCCCGTCAGCTTCTCCCTGCCGGCCTGGTCGAGGGGTCCCTGGTAACAGACGCTGGCTGCAGCTAGTAGGGCGTCGCCGGGCGCGGTCTTGAGGTTGGCATGGGCGCGGTCTAGATGGCCCTTCCAGGTGGCGTGCTGGGTGGCCATGCTGGTCATGAGGCTGTTGGCTCTTGTAATCTTGGCCTCGATGCTCTGAAATGAGCAAAATGCAAAAACAAAAAAAATAACAGGATTAATTTTTTGGTTCTTTTATTTTGACTTTTAGAATTTGAAAATTTACTTAAAGCAGGTTTAATCTTCACATATGGCTGGGTAATTTTACATGCTCAGAGAATTTACCCCTGGAGACAATTTACCCCTTTCTCAATATTAAATTGTATGGTTTTCATTCCAGCAATTCATTGTGTAGTCATAGAATTAATGAGAATATCAAATATTTGTGAAAGTTAATCCTGTCAGAAGAGGAACTTGGAATTTCAAAATTTGAAGGAAGATCTATATAATGTCCTATATTTGAATTTTGATCTGTTGTGAGCCTATCTCTGGCGTCAAAGTTCTCTCGACCTGAAATCAGCTTTAAGTGGCAAAAAGAGCCTAGAGGATTTGTGACTGACTTTTTGATTGACAGCAACTCTGGCCAAAACCAACAATCTCTTTTGTGAGTATGTGTGGTTCTGAAAAGAACCGGAGGGACTCAACGTTTCATCCAGCATCCCTCAGTCAACTTGCGTCCTTCTCAGCTTCATCGGTTTCGAGCTTCACCAGTTTGCATCCTTCTCACGCCTCACCGCACCCATCCTTATAACATCGCATCATCGTTGGAATCCCTCATTCTCCTGACGACGGGCAGAGCATACTGTTCGAAACGTTGAGTCCCTCCGGTTCTTTTCAGAACCACACATACTCACAAAAGAGATTTATTCACATGGTGCTACCGCAAACTTATCTTGTCTTAGTATCTTTCCACCATGCAAACCTTCGAATCTCAAAAACCAACAATGCAAAGTGCATGTAGCAGCTACAACCCGACAAATTTTTCTTCAATGAGATTGTATAACATTGTTCATCAATAGCTTTCTTAGAGCCAGTTATTAATACAATTCTTTCATGTAACTGTAGTGTTTGCCGACTGACCTTGATGCCTTTGTCCAGGCTGCGGACTAGACGCATGGCCTCCTTGTATTGCTTGACCTTCTCCTCCAGTTGACCTTTGACATCCTGGGCTTTGACCCGCTTCTCACCAAGGTGACCTTGGGCCTGTGGGAAACAGTAAAACAAAAAAATCATTATCATTGCTTTAAATTTCTCGTTTTTTTAAGAAAAGGCTTTGAAACAAAAAGATCATCATAATAACTGCATCACGCAACAATAAAGGGATGGTTTTTACCTAGCTATCCTCATTTGAAAACCTACAATATTTTTGTACTGGAACCGTGCAATTTTCAGTTTGGAATAAACATCCGATAAATATACAAACGACTCCATCAAAGTGGTAACATGGTCTGATATTTTTCATTCAATCTATTAAACAGAACATGGAATTATAGTGCGCTCTTATAAGTTTGGGTATAAAAGACACTGTAAAACATGCTGCCAAGTATTAAAAGTGGACTTCTCTGCCAGCTTCAGTATAGGAAGTTTTCTTCTGAAAGTGAATCCCAGCAAATAATGTATCCAATCTTCAATGACGATTGGAACCTTTGGCCTTCTGAACCTACTACTCCTCAAACCAGGTTGAATTATTTTATTTTTATTTTGCCATATCTAAATTATTCAACTTTGACTTGGGGTGGTTCATCATCCAAATGCAACAAACTGCTCATGTTACAGAAGCGAGCGGTCCGATTAATATCTCATGCTGGTTATCGTGATCATACCCTTCCTTTATTTGCGAATTTGAGACTCTTACAATTCAATGACTTATACTACTTTAACCTGGGTAAATTTATGTATAGGTTTACACACAATGCATTACCTACTTGTTTCAACCCCTTCTTTTATACTCACATCTGATATTCATTTGTATAATACCCGAAGCACTAGGAGAAATTTATATGTCCAATTCAACAGAACAACATTGTCTAAAAATAGCGTTATTCAACGTGGTACATCATACTGGAATAGTCTAGATGACTTCTTAAAATCATCACCCTCCTTCTCTTTGTTAGAAACCTTAGATCACATCTACTCAATTCTTACTCGAACAACTAGTTATAATTTATGAATCTAGATGATTATGCTCTCTTATCATACCAGTTTGTGGGTTTTTTTCTACGTTTATTCGAATAACTTGTTATAATTTATGAATCTAGATGTATGCCCTCGTCTCATACCAGTTTGTGTTTTTCTAGGTTGTGTCTTTGTGTGTCTCACTGTTGTCCATTTTGTCCTTTGTCACTGTCTCTGTTTTTCTTGGTCATGTCCACTTGTCTGTCGATAGGTTAGGGTACAAAAGCGTGACGCTTCACCTTATACCTAAATGTTGTCGTAAAATTGTTCTAGTATTGATCCATGTATATCATTATACACAATTACATAATTCATTGCATTTTGCTCTGTATAATATGTTTACACGGCATTGTAACATTTTATTGTGTGGAAATGGCAACATTGAAATAAATGTTTCTACTACTAATTTTAAAACATTCCATCATGTACCTCGTGTAGTTTGCCCTCAGCTTGCTCCACCTGTTGTAGCTTAGGCCTCATGTTGCGGTGGATCGTTGCGTAGGCGTACACCGCGTGGACCCACAGGCACAGAGAAGCCGCCGCCTTGCTGGACGACTCCACGATCTCCGGCTTGAACGCCGGGTCCTGGATGAAGAGGATGTTGAGTTTGTGGTAGATGTCGTCCGCGATGGAGGTCTTGTCGTAGAACTCTAGGTCCTGGAAGAAGTTGTTGCGGTTGATCAGGGCTTTGCCACTCAACCAACTAGAAAGTAGATAAAATAAAAACTCTTAAATGATATTTCCAAGCAATATTCTTCAGGGGCGAGATGAAAAAAGAGCAAAAAGATGATACACCAATTTTTCAGGGGTAGTACCATAATGTTTACAGACTGATCCTATAAATAAAAGTCGTTCACGACTGAATTTAAAAATTTGGTTTTGCATTAAAAACGCTATCCGCTCCGTTCACAAGTACCCCCTCACCAGCAAAGAGAGTACAGTTGGGGGTAACCGACCGACGCCATCTTGCCTGACAGCAATTTTGCCGCGACGCGCAGCCGTACCACTGCGTGTACATATTACAAATCCCCTGGTGTACGTGCGGCACACACAAGGAATGGTGCGCGTCAACCAGCTAAATGTCCCACCCATGGGACGTCGTTGCCAGGTAAAAGGGCACCCTCTTTCGTTGGCGCAAGGAGCCCATAAGTTAGCAGAAGGTCCCACCCAAGAAATGCACGTGATTTTTTTCTTGCACGCTCTTGGAAAGCCCTGAGCATACATTGTTTATAAAATTATGGCAGTAGACAGCGTAACCCAATTTTAATAGTTACATCTCTCCAACTTGAAATGTATACATCAGTGCAGATAATATTTCAGTACCTTGAATACGATCCAAACATGGTAACACTTACTCATAGGGTTCTCTGAACATGAGACACAGAGCGTTGACGACTTTGATGACAGCTTGTGGTGGCGCTCTATAGGTGCGTAACTCATCCAGGTCGGAAGAGTTGAGACTCTTGAGGGCGTGCCACGCTGCCTCGTACACAGGATTCACCTGGAGCAAATACGCACATCAATATACTGAGCATAACACTTCAAATCGGCCCCCAAAAAGTGCTTAAAGGGAATGTACAACATTTGCTTTTGCTGTAATTTTCAGAAAAAAATGGATTTGGAGGATTAGTATGTTATAGAAAATATTGTTAAACTGACTTGTTTCACATTTTGGGCTTGTAGATGCTGGAAAAACCAAGAAAACCTATCATGTTCTTGCAGTCTGGTTCCCTGACCCCACTTAAAATGAAACAGAGCAATTAATACACTTAGGAAATTGTAAGCTCAGAGAATCAGTCTAGCAGGCTTGTACCCCTTCACAGGTGTGTAATCAATTGCAAAGGAAAGTCAGAATAACTAAATATGAAAACTTAAGAACAGTTTTTGAAAAAAGCCAGTTTTTTCCAATGCTGGTCGGCCGACCAGCGTTGGAGAAATACAGTTTTTCTTGAAAATATCAGTACACCAGGAGCCACGATTTTACAGGATGCTTTAGACTGTCAATCCCTAACAATCCAGTAAGGTATTTCGTGTTAATTTGATCATTTCGTTTTTTGATGTTTGCAAATGTTGTATCTTCCCTTTAAGCGCGAACACGAATCTGGTGCTCAACCACTGAGCTTTCTAGCTGTTAATTCAAATCTAGCACAGTGTGGCAGTGTAATACTCGTTTGTAGATTTAATACTACAATCCATTAAGCTGAATGTGTGTCCAATAAGCCAGTTAGGTATTTCAATGACCCGAGGTCATTCGGGATAACATCGCTGACGTGATGTTACGCGATGTTACGCGCACGCCCATTCTGCTGGTAATTTTAACTAATATTTTCTTTATTAACCCTCGGTGTGGCCACGTGACGATAAAATTCTCCACATTTTCCAAATATGGTCATAACCACAAGCCTGTAGACTCCCATTGGCCAGACCTTAACTACTGCCGAGTAAGGAGTGTTGAAAGACAGCAGCCCCAAGAGGCGCCTAATGCCTTTGTGCAGTAATTGGAGATCTTCGTGGCCAACCCCTTTGTGCCGCCGATCTCTCTGTGTCAACCCCTCGTGCCGCCCAGAGCTCAGACAGGTCGTAAACAATCCTGGCCCACACAAAGGCCATGTGACCTGCCTATATCTTGTGCATGAGGGGGTTATTGACCTAGAAACAGTGTGGTGATAAAATTCTCCATGTGGTTTCACGGTGTGATTTTTTTGGTCACTCGACTCCGAGGGTTAATTAAGGGAGGAAGACAGATGACAAGTTCTCATAAGTCACACCACAAGACCACTCTCAAGTCTTGTGATCATGAGCCATTAAAAATGTGACCAAAACGTTTATTGTTCATCCGCTCATGTTTGTCTCCTCTACCTTATCTAGGCATGTGTGGTCTAGCGGTGGAGCACAGGATTCATGATCCTGAGTTTGTGGGTTCGAGCCCCACCGCGGCCATGCGTGTTGTGACCTTGAGTAAGGCGCTTTACCTCAATTACCCTCTCAACCCAGGTGTTAAATGGGTACCGGCATTATTCAATGCTGGGAAGGTAACAGACTCGCTGTGGAGGAGGTGTGGCGATCCCCCCACAGCAGCGTTTCATGGACTCGAGTCTGGCCCAATCGCTTCGAAAGAGAGATGGGCAGTCCGTTCCTGTGAACACAGGTTCGTCCCTCTTTACCTTGTCTAGTTCGTCCTGGGTCTGCTTCTTCATGTCCAGTAGAGGCTCCTGCATTGTAGCGATGTCGTCCTCATCCTGGTGGCACATACCTTTGGCCTAAACACACAAGTCAACGAAAATCCCAAAATGTGAAAGAGAGAAGAGTTACATTACCTGCAAAAACGCAAAACTAAATATCTTTATGAAAAGATCTCGAGCTAGGATTGGAAATTTTGGCGGGAGGTAAAGAATATGGGAACCTGATATGATGTTCAATTACCTCTGCCCTACATTTTGGAAAATATTTGTTCTTCGGAATCACTGAGCAACTTATGCAATGACATGTGATGTAGGTGGAGAAAAGCTGGTTGGTGCTCAATGTGAAAACAGAGTCAAATGCAAAAACATTTTACGCCACAGCGTGAGCAAGTATTGGCAATGCAAATTCACAAAAGCTGAAGATATTTCAACTCCAAATTGTGACTTTCCTTCACATTTTTTATTCATGTAAAGTCCAAAGCAGCTTTATGCCTTTTGTAAAAATTCATCACTGAGCCTTAGGCCAAAAAAAAATACAAGTCGGTCTCTGGTCAGCGCGAGCGTCGATTTTAATCATGCGCGTCAATCTTTTTTTTTTCTAAAATGTTCCGCGGTAGCTCCAACAGCTTTACCAAAGAGCACCAAGGAATGGGAAATTGCACCAACGCAAATGATCTAGAGCACCAAGGCAAATTATGGAGGACACCAATGTACATGAGGACACCAAAAAAGCAAAATAGTACCCCACCTTGTCTGTACAATCCAAGCTTGAAAAAAAGAAGAAAAAAAGCCCCCCCCCCCCAAAAGCCGCGTCCCCGCGTCAATTCCAGAACTTTGGTCTGATCAGAGACCGAATATTTTTTTTTGGCCTTACCTCGGCAAAGACAGCTTTGCATTCCTCCACTTCCTGTAGTCTCATGTCAGCCGTCTCCTGAGCCTGCTGGTGTAAGGGTTGGAGTCTCTCCAGCTCCTGGGTGAACCCGTCCATGGATTCAAAGGCCTCGTTGAGGGCATCTAGGGCTCGCTCGTACTTCAAGACGGTAGCCTGTGTGGTGGATGAACAAAAAGGGAAATAAAGGACTCTGCACTTCAGTGTTCTCCAACTTTGAAAATTAAAGGTTGGTGCGCCGTCAAAAAGTAGAGGGGGGGGGCGCTATAATTATGTTTGGGGCGCTATTTGCAGTCATACATTTCTTTATGCTAGGGGGCGCTATTTGCAGATGAACATGTAATTTATGTACGGATAACAGCTTTTAGGCCATTTCTAACACAGTAACACTAACAATTAAGTACAGTACTGGCTCAGCATCATCTTTTTTAACACATCAGTGACCAGGGACTCTGAGGCAGTTTGGCCTTGAGACTTTTGACCTGATTGATTGCTACAATGGGCAGGCTTGTCAGTTTGACAAGTGTTGTATGTTACTGCTTTTGGCAGAGTTTCTGGCCAAAATATACCCTGGAGAATAAGGGTAGTCCCACTTGTTTGTCTTTTTTATTATTTTTTCCTTTTTTTTTTAAGCATGGCGGGAACTTTTTAAGCATGGCGGCAGCTTTTGAAGCTTGGCGGGTGCCTCAGAAAGCTTGGTGGGGCACCAGGTTATTTTTACAGGTTGGAGAACACTGGTACTTAAGTGTGGGGAGTGTGGCCTGGTGGTTTGGGTTTGGACACATGATCGGAGGGTTGAATCCAGCTGCTGGCCATATGTTGTGTCCTTGGGCAAGCCACTTTACCCAAACTTGTATTTCTCCACACAGGAGTGTATAAATGCGTACCGGCATTAGCTGGGGAGTAACCTGCGATGGACTAGCATCCCATCCAGCGGGAACAGAAATATTATCAGTTGTTTCATATCACTGAAACCAAAGATAAATGCTGGCGTAATTTTGGCTGGTGACAGACTTTTAAAAAAAAAATTTATAAGGATGCCCTCTGGTCAACTATGCCAATCTGTTAGTCCGTCCATTTGTCTGGGTTTTTGTTTACCTTCTCCTCTTTGGCAATCTTGCTGGCCAGGTTCTTGAAGAGGTCAATGAACTCTACGTAGGTCAACGGACTGAAGAACTTGAAGGGTTTGCTGTGGAGTCTGGTGACTGCCTGCATGGCCGAGCGGTGGACGTAGGCCATGGCGTGGCTGACCGCGGTCACCTGGGCTGAGGGGTTGAGGCTGGACCAGGGCACTCGATAAGTCTGAGGAAAAAAACAAAACAAAAGGAGTGGCAGTTCGTATTCCAATTATTGTAATTCCTGTGCCAATTTAAATAAGGGAATAAATGTGTGCTCGGGAGGTTTTTATCACTCCGTTTAAGACTGCTTAGAGTCTGGGTGCTGATTATTACCCGAGCCGGAGGCGAGGGTAATTATCAGCACCCAGACTCTAAGTGGTCTTAAACGGAGTGATAAATACCGACGGAGCACATATTTATTCCCATTCATAAATACCTTTTCGGTTAAAAAATATCAAATAATTCGTTCAAAAAATCCCGATTTTGTTCAACAAGTTCACTTCAAGCCTTTTGAAACATCCCTCTGGCAAAATAATGGAGCGTTCAGCTGGCGAGTAAGATGTAAACAACCCTTTTATGGAGATTGACGCGCCCGTGGCATATTCTGCGCGATGTCACGCAGAACGCACCTGGGGCGTTGCGTTTTGAATTTTGAACTTTAAAATTCTGACTCACTGGTAGTGTTGCGCATGCCTACGTGAGGATTGTGAACGTTCAACCAATGAAACGGTAAGAGGCACTGGATTTTTAGGAGGTCCACATTTTATTGTGACACTGGAAAGTGTTTAAGACCAGCTAGCAATGTCTTTATCATCCGTTTAAGATCGGCCACGTGACGGGCTCTCGACCAATAGGAATAGCTAAACTGTCTGAGGTATTTATGAATATTGGTTTCTTATCAAGCCACAACAAAATAATGCTGTGTGTCTGTGCGCTGACGGACTGTAAATTCATTTCTCCAGGAAGTTTACTGCTCGGCAAAATGTTAACAGAGAAACCACAAAACAAGCTACATTACCCAACACTGTTATGTGTTTAGACATGAATTAACTCTTTCAGTGCCAAAGTCGTACATGTACGACGTATATTTGTTAGTTCGAAATTGCCAACCTCTTACATGTACGAGGTAATGTTCGTACTTGAAATCGCCAAACCTCGTACATGTACGAGGTAGGGTAAGCATGTTATCACAAGGGGGCGCTCTCGCTCTTTCTAATAATTTTCATTCAGTTACGACCTGTATTTATTTGTTTCATTCGAGTTCTTGCGAGAGGGTGCAGCACTGACACTCGTATTTTCTGCAAAAAGTGCGGAATTCCCCTGTGTGCAGGACAGTGTTTCAGGGTGTATCACTATGTACGTGACTACAAATGACTTTCCAATATACCAAGGATATACCAGAGAGCAACAACAACAAATTTAGTGAGTACAACTTATTTACTCTTTTTTTTACAGAATTTTGAACAATTAAAAAAAACGCACGAAGTTGGGCACTTTAGGGTTAAACTTTTCAAATTTCGCGGGCACTGAAAGAGTTAATACTCAGTTATTTTAAATTGATTTTACTGATTTTATACTTGATATTGATGTTTTACTGTATATTTGTATTACTTGTTAATGCCAGACTTGCTGGCAAAATTAAGTATAGCTTTGATTCTGATTCCATTAAGGGTCATAACTCGGTTCAGAAGTGTCTTTAAATTTCCTTCACAACAAAAACTGCAAAAAACCTTTAGAAATCAACTAATGAACCAAAATTCAGTAAATGAAGTTAATCGCGATGTGAAATTTCTCTCTTACATCCTAAAACTGGTTCCAAAATCGGAGGTTTTTTTTTTCTTCAGAAAAATTGAATTAGCTTGCTCTGTGATCTGCTGCTAGAGTTTCCTGAAAAGTGGGGTCACGATTTCAAGTATCATTTTCCACTTCATTCCATTCAATTCGGCCGATTCACAATGCAGTGCGCCACCAAGAGTTTGCCATGGAGATTTCATTTTTCCCAGTGCATTGTGGGAGTTGGTCTACAAATTCACAGCGCGGGACATTTGAAATTGGTTTCGTAAGCGTACGATTCGATTATCTGTTTGCCCTTTTCTTTCTTTTTATCAATATGGTGTTTTTTGTAAGGCCGCAAAACGCTATGCCCCAATCTATAACAAATTAGCTCAAGTTGTCTACTGATGCTCATTCAAATGGGCCATGTTTTGTCGACCGTAAACTAGAAAAATGGACTCTCCATGGCAAACTCTTGGTGGCGCACTGCATTGTGAATCGCCCGAATTGTAGCACAGTCTGCAAAGCCTATAGGTTGTATAATGCCTTCAAACACAGACTCACCTTCCTAGTGTACGCATCCATGGTTGGCACCCTCAGCCATTGCTCGGCGACATTCACCAGTGCCTCGTGGCTCCAGGGCCGGTAGATATCCACACAGCAGCAGGCGTTCAGCAAGGCCGGGAACCGGCTAAACCACTTGTGCAGCGAGCTCAGACTACCCTCTGACAATGGATAAATATCGTCAAGGTCAAGTAAGGTTAAAGGTCAAAGTCAGAGGTCAAATTAGTTCAATAGAATATTAAAGGCAGCGGGCCCATGATTAGACCTGAAACTGCCAACACAAACCAAATCATGATTTGCCACTTTTCTTTTGAAATGGAGATTGATGGTCCCTGCCCTTGAGGGTTTCTTGGAGCTCTGAACATGGCTGTAAGCTTGATCTCGGAGACTTTTTGATAACATTGGACCCTTCCCTGCATGAGGCCTGGCAAGTCTAAGAACTATAGTGATTTGTATTCCCTTGCCCATGCCGGCTTAGGTTTGTCCTGTTATTTTCTCTTTTCTTGTATCATCTATGTCCCTTCCAAGTAGCGTCTTGAACTGTATTTTTTTAATGTTTTTTTATAAATTTTTATAATGAAATATCTCTTTTTAGAGAAATATCTCTAAATAAATTATCAGTTTTTCCACCAAAAATCTGAACGGAAAGTTAGCACCATAGTGAGTTATAAATATTCTTGTCTTTTTTTTTAAAGTGACAGTATTGAATTTGATGGCAATTTAATAACTGATCTGCAACTGATTAGTTTTTGGAAAATTAGGTAAAGTCTTTAGGTAAGATCATGGGCAGAATAGTGACTCATGTACCCACCTTCACAGTCGATGCAGATGACCACATGAAGGTTTGCAATGACCTTTCTATAGAATCTCTCCAGTGCCATCTCCAGGCGTTGGTTCCTGTGACCCGTGACCTTTGCCCCTGGTAGCATCTGAGAGGCAATGTTATCCAGCTCTTCTCTGGTGTAGAGGTCGGGGCAGGTACCTGGTAGAAAAGAAAAGATGTGTTGTTGAAACCTCGGCTTTGTCTTCAGTTTCGGTTTACTCTTGCTTCAGAGTCTTTCAAATCAATGTCAAAATTTCCAGCTTACTCTTGCTTCAAAGCAGAGTTGTAGTCCATACTTTCCGAGTACCAGCTTAGCTACCAGAGATTATGATGGTTTGGTATGGAGAAAGCTGCATAATGCAGACACTCAACAGTAAATCCCCACCAAAAGAAATTAAACACATTAGACAATCAGAATTTTGTATAAACTAACTTTTTAAGACAAAAGTATTTGGAAAGTACTGCGCCGAGTACTTTTCAAGTACTTTTAGGGTACTTCTGACCCAAAAGGTTAAGTAAAAAGGGGTTTTATGTAACCAAAGTCTCAAATTAATTTGTTCTCTTAACAATGACATCATTTTGCTGTCTACTGTCAATGTTTCTCCAGCGTTGTTCACAAGAAACAGCTCAATACTTGGTAATAAACAAAGTTCTTGGAAAGTACTCGAAAAGTACTCGACTACAACTCTGCTTCAAAGTCTTTCAAATCACATGTCTCGTCGGTACTTTACACTTTAACTGTCCCTAACCATCAGCCCCACCAGTTAACTCATCAGCCCATCAATTTGACTAGCTTGCTAGATCTTGTCGGTCAGTCAGTCAGTCTATCTATCTGTCTGTCTACTCACCTTCCAACATGACAGCAGACACGTCTTGAAGGCACTTCACCCCGTAACTGCCCCTCACCGACAGCACCACTGGTTTGCCCATCAACCCAGCAACTTGGCTCGCCTTCTTGATCTTGTCGCGGAGGATGGCCGGATTGTCTCCGGCAGCCTGGCTCATGGTAGCGTCAAAGAACTTGCAGCGGGCAGCAAAGGCAGCGACGCGGGTGAGCGGAGAGCGAGCCATGCCGTAGGTCAGGCCTATCAGTAGGGCGTTTGCTCCTTGGGTGGCCTAAAGAAGACAAGGTTTAGAAATTGGTCAAAATATTTTTGAGATATTTGGGGTTTAGTATAGAAAAGCCTTAAAGGGAAGATTTGCAAACACCAAAACACGAAATGATCAAATTATCACAAAATACCTTACTGGATTGTTAGGAATGACAGTCTAAAGCATCCTATAAAATCGTGGCTCCTGGTGTACTAATATTTTCAAGAAAAAGTGTATTTTTCTAACGCTGGTCGGCCGACCAGCGTTGGAGAAAACTGGATTTTTTTTCAAAAACTGCTCCTACTTTTGCATATTAGGTTATTGCATATTTTCTTTGCAATTGATTACACACCTGTAAAGGGGTACAAACCTGCTAGACTGATTCTCTGACCTTACAATTCCCCCAAGTTTATAAAATTGCTCCGTTTTATCTTAAGTGGGGTCAGGGAACCAGACTACAAGAACATCATTGTTTTTTTTTGGTTTTTCCTGCATCTACATGCCCAAAACGCGAAACAAATCAGTTTAACAATATTTGCTACGACACACTAATCCTCCAAATCCATTGATTTCCGAAAATTGCAGCAAAGCAAATGTTGTACATTCCCTTTAAGTATTTCAGGAATGACGCTTCAGTAGTATATGAATTCAGACTTTTTTGCACAGTATGAAAATACAGATGATGAAAAGGTTCAAGAGTCAATGCAGTGTCCAGTCATTGATAAACTTTTGAGAATATGTCTCAATCTCCCAACATTAAAAAGTCACAAATTTCGAACTGTTTCCAAAATATTTTCAGAAATATTTCAGGAAAAAAAAATGGTCTGATTTATTTTTAAAGACTTTGAAGATTTTGGTCTTCGGAGTAAGTGGATTAAGCTCAAAATGATTAGCACAACTGTTTCCAAAATGTTCAACTTTTCCATTTTAGAGCTAACAAAAACACTGACTTAGGGAATAACAAGTGACTTACAAAGACCCTGGTGAGTTTAGCCACGTGTCTCATCGCCTCCTTGAAGAAGACTAGCTCCATCCGCTGAGTCGCCGTGTTGTTGTACTGCATCAGGATCCGCTGTAGGCCTTCAAACAGCTGCGGCTCCGTGCACTCAACGTAGCCTGGCCAGAAAAACAAAGAAAGGATACCAATTTTCCGGAATGTTTCCTTGATTGTGGAAATTAAAAGACAAAACTGATGTACCACGTGCCTTTTAACTTTTGAGCGCATGTACATGGTATGGACAAGAATTTTGAGAAAAGCGAAATGTGTTGGAGATTTAAGCATATGGATAATTTTAGGTTTGCGAGTTTTATCTGTTAACATTACCTCGTTCGCTCTCCCGTTGGCCAGACACGATATACTTGGCAAACACGATGTCACACAGACTCTCTCCGGGCTTTTGAATCTGTCAAATGAAGGAACAGGTTAATATTGAGTCAGTAAGTAACTTAAGATGTCTTACCTTACTGGCAGAAAATACAAAATCTTTTCTGTAAAATACCTGCTCACAATCACCAGTTAAAGGGAATGTACATCATTGGCTTTTGCTGTAATTTTCAGAAATGAACTATTTGAGGGGTTAGTATAATAGATCAAATATTGTTTAACTGACATGTTTGAAGTTTTGTGTTTGAAAATGCTTGAAAAACCAAGAAAAACAAAAATGTTTAAGTAGTCTGGTTCCCTGACTCCACTAAAGATAAAATGGATCAATTTATAGATGTCGGAAAATTGTAAGGTAGTCTAGCTGGCTTACACCCGTTCATGAACATGTAACCAATAGCAAACAAAATTTGGACTGAAAAACATTGTAAATTAGGAGCAGTATTTGAAAAACAGTTAGGTTTTTCCAACGGTGGTCGGCCGACCACCGTTGGAAATGTATACAAAAATACCATTTTCTTGAAAATGACTTGACACCAGGTGCCATAATTTTACAGGATGCTTTAGACTGTCATTTACCAACATCTTCGTAAGGTATTTTGTAAAAACTTGATAGTTTTATTTTTCGATATTTGCAAATGTTGTATATTCCCTTTAAATCACCAATGAAAGCAAGCAAAAAATCACAAGAAAACAGGGGATGAACCATATGATAAAGGGATGCTTTCATCATAGTGTTTTCATACCTTGAGACTTGACTTAAAAATAAATGAACTTGCGATTGACTTGTGATCCCATCTTAATAATACCTGGTCCATAGTAAGCAGGGGTCCTCGGTACCGGTCAACCTGAGACTCCGTCACCGGCCCAATCTGGAACGTCACCCCTCGACTGCGTCCTTTAGTCCCCAGACGGGCCGGATCACCCCCATCCCGGCGTTTGGCCAGTCCGTCCTTGATGGCCGGGGTCAGGACCTTGGGTTGAGTGGACTTTGGAGGAGGGGTGGGCTGGTGCGTGGTGATGACCGGAGGGGTGGGTTGCCTGGGTTCCGGCTCGGTGTTGTCGGCTGGGACGTCATTGCTCTCACCTAATAGAGTAAAGTAAGGAATCTTGATGTCTGTTTGCCGTTCCAATTTCATCCACGTTGCCACCAGATATGAAGTGGTTGGACCAACAATCTTCTATCATGGCTATAATTCTAAGAGGATGCCAAGTTGGTGTAGCAGAATTTTCCTAACTTTCTTCCCGTGACCCTGGTATGAATCCCTGCCAGGCCCACTTACTGGCTTTTCAGTTCCTACCCAAATTCATTCCAAGATTTCCCTTCCAAAACTAAAAACCAAACATCTTTGGTCATCCACTGTACCTTTCACGCCACAGTGTTGCCACACATCTGAGTCATCTTTGGTGCAATGATAATTGAAAGTGATACAACAGCTAACAGTTTTAAAACAGCACTGACCTGTAGCTGGTTTGTCAACTTCTTCTGAGATGCTCTGCTCTGTCAATGTGCTTCCTGAGAAACAAGAAAATGGCTCTTGAATTAGTGAGAACGTCGGAACATTGAAAAATAGTACATGATTCTTTTCAAATAGTAATGGATCTGTGTAACTTGTGTCTTGTACATTAACATCTCCTTAAAGAACTCCTCTTTGGAATTTAAACAGGAGGCTTGCTTAGGGTAAATTCAATATCGAGTTCTGTTGTCACCGACGTACTTTTATAAACACTGTATACTTAGTATTGATCTGAACGATTGTATGAAAAGAATTTTGGGACTCGAACCCATGACCTCCTGCTTACTATTGCAAACGTCTTACCACTTGACCACCGAGCTTGCCAGGTCGGACCCCGGCTGGCTGGTTCAGATCTGATATAGCAGCGGGTACTTACCACAACCAAATTATTCATAAGATGGAACAGTCAAACAGTCAATATAAAGTGGAAACGAAAAATAATGACAACATAGCTCAGTGAACACAACAACTCAGTGCCAACACACCAACCTGCAGAGGACTGGAGCGACGGTGTGGCTGATGTGATGTCCCTCTCGGAATCAAGGTCCCCCTCCTCTGTCCCAGAAGCAGTGCCTGTCAAGAGTGTGTGGATAGAAAGAGTGTGGATAGAGAAGGGTGCGAAGAGGTGGGGGAACAATATACAATACCACACCAAGCTGTGATCTTTACAACAAGTTGAAGGGAAAACATTGCTTGTGTCACTTGTTGGTATCAAACAGGTTGAAATTATTCCTCTTGAAAGCAAAGAAATGAAATAAATGTTATTTAAAAGGTTCTTGATTTCTTAATCATCAACTAAAGATCTATAAACATCTTGTACTGCACTTTACACAGTAGCAAAATGAATCTACTGTCCCTCATAGACACGCTTTTATTCTCCTGGGTTGAGAGGTAATTCTTGTAAAGTGTCTTGCCTAAGACCACAAGCACTACGATCCTCCAGTATCACCAAGTTGCAAATTTGATCCAAAGACCTGATTTGAACTTGTTGCGCACCAATGACCCTAGCCCCATACATGTGGCCAATTTACTGGACTACCTCCGTAAATAAAGGACACACTTCCACCATGTACAAAAACATGTCGAACTTTCTCAATTTTTGATTTTCACATTTAGGCTTACATGTAGTTTGTAGTTTACTTTTGCTTTAGAAGCATACTTACCCTCTTTATAGGCTAATCAGAAAATGCTGCCTTTTTCAGATGTCTATTTTTCGTGAAATTTCCAGATTCGTTTGCACACATTTGCGTATCAAAATTTCAACATGAAATTTCACGAAAATTAGACGTCTGAAAAAGGCAGCACTTTCTGATTACCCTATAAAGAGGGTAAGTATGCTTCTAAAGCAAAAATAAACAACAAACTAAGCCTAAATGTGAAAATCAAAATTTGACAAAGTTCGACATGTTTTTGTACAAGGTGGAAGTGTGGCCTTTATTTACGGAGGTAGTCCAGTAAATTGGCCACATTTATGGGGCTACAATGACCCGTGCCCAAAAAAGGGCAAACAAGATTTAAAGTATCAAACATCACAGACACACTGCAAGCATTTCATATAAGATCCTAAATCAAAGTTTGCAAAGAACGGTCTGTTACCTCTTGCTGCGGATGACAGTGCAGCGTTTGGAGGGGTGAGGCCTGGCTCATCTACCTCATCAGAAGCTAGGCTAGATGTCTGGTGAGGGAAGGACAAAGTAAAAGAAATATTATCACTGGATCTGCCAAACCAGGCCAAAAATTGCACAATTTGAAAAACCAGATGACGGCATCCCATGACTGTGGATCTGATAATCTTGCCAACTCCATGTCAAACTCACTGTAGCTACTTGTGCAAATCGTTGTCTTGAAAAGTTAGGTGTCAGGCCATCTTATTTCAAACTTGGCTTTTTCAGTTTTCACAAAATTGGCCAGGTTATCCCAAACCAAGTCACACAAAAAAAACCTGTTAACTTCTTGTGAAGTTGATTTTGACATGCATGTTATATAGAGCAAAGTTTTGCATTGTTTCAAGCAAATTTTTGGGATGTTTCAAGCACAGGGTTCTATATATCCACATTTACATTTTCCAATGGTCACTTGAAATGCACTTGCAACATATGGCCAAATCCGAGCACGCTAACAAGTCTATCACAAAGGCCCCCGTCAATGGCGCAAGCATTGTGCTAGCTGTTGTTCAGATAATCCATAATGGGGCAGTTGCTTTGTACGATAGCTGGCACAATGGTTTCTCCATTGAAGGGGCCTCATGTGTGTTCAGTGACTTTGTGTCCGGATTTGTCTATAGCGAACCTATTCTCTCTGGATCATGTGCATGCTTCCACAGCAAAACATGCAGCATGCGTACCTTCAATCTGATCACACAAACAGTTTTGCAAAAAAAAAAGTTCCAATGATAGAACTATATTAAATTACTAGAGCGCTAACTCGATGTACAAATTAATGCCTGACGGGCACATCCATGTTTGTGCACAAACCTATGGAGAACTAGCAATTTTGTACGGCTTTTGTACGGCTATTTGCATATCTGCGTTTGTATTCCACACCGGTGTGTTATCGAAGCCAAAACGCTCAAAACTGAAACGCAAGATCAGCCAATGAGCATTTCACTTTGCTCTACGCAAACAGCGCAACGCGTGCGCGTATTCGCTGCAGATGCTTTTTGCCGTGACGTTTTTTGAACCGTCATGACGCGTTTAAGTTGTTTGCGTATGTTCTACTTGTGCGTTGCATTTAGAGTACACTTTCAAAATTCAATCCATCCAATTTTATTATGTTCTACAAACATGCACATGAATTCAAAATGTCTGCGCCCAGGACGGCTTCAAAGCGTCTCCGCGCGCGAGAATGAGGAGTTAGCGCTCTAGTAATTTAATATAGCTCTATGGTTCCAATTCAATTACTCCCAACAGCATGTCTTTCAAATAAAATACCTAGGTTAGCTTTCTGTAAAGTTCTATTCTACAGCAGCTAAAGCTTTCTAGTCTACATGAAACATTAGCTACAAAGAAAAAGGAGAGCACGCAACATGCACAAGCTTGGAGACTGAAGGTTACAGATCTCGTGGATTTGCAACGGGGAAGGTGAAATATCAAGAAGTTAGGAGCGAAGTCAGCACAAGCTGATGAGAAGATATGCAAGAATATGAAATTATTTAATCGTCTAAAAGATGGATATTCACGCTGAGTTATGAAGAACACACGTTTGCAGTTTCAAAATACTTCAAGAATATTTGAAGTTCCACGCTGAGTAACGTAGTACATGTTGTTGCTTGGATTAGTAACTTTGAGAAACTGAAAAAAAGTTGCTCAACAGAAAGAGTATAGAAAGTCCAGCGTATTGTGAAATTATATAGACGCAAAAAACTTGATTCGTCAGTCACTTGTGAATCTAATGATTGAATTTCCAAAAAGATATTCATATTCAAAAACTTCAAGTTTTATTTTGTTTGGAAAAAAATGATGAGAATGTATACTATGAAAATATGTCAGATGGTCACAAGGATTATTGAAGCAAAGTACAATAAATATATTAATTATTACAACATTTTCTGAATACATTTGTTGTAATGTGTTACCAGCCAGAGTAGATTATTACAAAAAAATCCCTCGCTACCAGCAGAAATATTAACTTTTGCTAAGCCACCAGGCAAATATTGCAACTATTTTGTTTGTTTCTACAGAATTTTTCCAAACCAGCGAACAGATTAAGTCACCAAGCATGGAGCACATTTTAAGACACCGCAACTATACATTTGTACTCAAGCAATGAAGCATTTTCCGGTTAAAAATATAGTCCATCATTTCTAATTTGTGCATTTTGTTCGTTTGAAGCAACAAAAGTGCTCAAAATCTAAAGAAGGGTACTGAACAACTAACCTGATGAGGTTTTCGCCCAGCTTTAGCTGTATATTCCGAGAAAAACAGCATTCTAGGATCTCAATTTCAAATCAAAAGTTGCTGAATCATGTTTTGAATTGGGCCTGAATTCAGCGGCAGAGACACGTTCTCACTGAGCCGATTGCAGCTACGCGATGTCGCGCACTGAACCGACGAATTATAGCAAGCGGGGGTGCGTGTGCGTCGTGCCAATGCTTGCGCGCGCTTCGCCGAATAACAAAACGAACTACTAATTTAAATTTCCTACGGTGCGTCTTAAGAAGCACTGTTGGAAAGGCCTTCTTTCGTTGATTACTTCAAAATGACAGCTTGCCAGAAAGAATAATTTCACAGGGAGTTTAGTCCCCTAAGTTTCTTTCAACCAAGTATGTTTTTCAACAATAATTATGCCAGTTACTTTTCGGATAGCTGCAAATGATGGACTATAGCTTTAAGCAACAACACACCAACCTATGGAGCGATGATGTCATCATGATGTCAATGCGGAAAAAAAGTCAAATATTGTACATTTGTTGGGTTCAAAACTCACAAAACTACACGGGGTTGGTGGCAGTGAGCCAAACCCTGGTGAGGGGGACAAAAACAGAGGCGGGCTGCTCCCCGGACTGTCAAAATACTGTAGTGTCGTCGGTGAAATAAGGAAGTAAAAACAGGTAAGAAAAAAACAAACTGAGAAAAACTTGAAGAAATCATTACAACTTCAGAATTAGAAAACAAATAGAAAAGGCATGCACTCTTTTTAAATTGATTTTTAATAAGAAATCTTCAATAAGATTTGAAATTTTTGCATGTTGGTGGTGTAAGCTAGTGAGGGTTTGCGGTGACACCATGGGGAAGAATCTCTTTTGAGATGTGTGGTTCTGACAAGACGTGTGTGCTTCTCCTGAAGATGATCAGAGCACACGGATCGGAACGTCGAGGTCACAACCAACCGACTCTTTTCAGAACCACACATCTTCTGAAAAGAGATTCTTCCACACGGTGTTACCGTAAGAGATATCCAAATTTAAACTTGGGAAATGTTTATCAAAAAAGAAAAAATACTCGAGAGTGAAATTCAGTTTTGAAAACATAAATTGTACTTACTTCTAGGAAAGAGTTAAAAGGAAGGTCATGCACACAAACAATACTTCAAGAAGGAGTAAAATCACTCAAGAAAAATCTGACGTTATAGGATCTTTACATTAACTTTCAAAGCTCAAAGCTTCAAGTTATTAGAGACATCATTGTTTAATCTCATCACTTTCCTGATTTGGGCCACAAAAAATATGTTAATTTTTCAATTTTTTAAGCGCCCATGAGGTTTCATTTAACCTTCACACATCAGCTGAAGTTGCAACCCCAACCCACTGACGTTAGAGCTGATATCTCTGTAAATCCCACTTCTGCCACCGAATCCAAACTTTTGACCCTGCCTACCTGATAGGATTCTCCATTGTTGACTGGTGTGAGCGTCCGTGGTTTCTCCTCTCCAGTGCAGAAGCGTCTCTCCACAATCTGCTCCAGCAGCTTGCTGAACCAGGATTCATCTTCACAAGCAAAAGAATTAACTCCTGATTTTGAGGGGTTTTTTTTTTTGGGGGGGGGGTAGTTTTTGGCAACCTGTTATTTGTAAACATCACTTATTTATTAATTTGACAAGTAAAGATGTGTGTAAGAAGCTGCAGAGTTGTAAGGAAGTCATCACAATTTATCACAAGTCAATCGCAGTTCATCACAAGTCAATCACAAGTCAATCACAAGTCAATCACAAGTCAAGTCAATCACAGGTCAATCACAGGTCAATCACAGGTCAATCACAGGTCAATCACAAGTCAATCACAAGTCAATCACAAGTCAATCACAAGTCAATCACAAGTCAATCACAAGTCATCACAAGTCAATCACAGGTCAATCACAGGTCAATCACAAGTCAATCACAAGTTAATCACAAGTCAATCACAGTTCATCACAACTCAATCACAGGTCAATCACAGGTCGATCACAAGTCAATCACAAGTCAATCACAAGTCAATCACAAGTCAATCACAAGTCAATCACAAGTCAATCACAGTTCATCACATGTCAATCACAAGTCGATCACAAGTCGATCACAAGTCGATCACAAGTCAATCACAAGTCGATTACAAGTCCATCACAAGTCAATCACAAGTCGATCACAGGTCGATCACAAGTCAATCACAAGTCAATCATAAGTCATCCAGTTTCAAGTCGTATAAGTTGTGCCAAATGTATTGTCATATTGCTCAGCAAAAGTTGTAAAAATATCTGTTTAAAGCCAACAATATTCTTACTATTAATCTCATGCCTCCAGAAGGGCAGAGATGGATTGTGGCTTTTACAGGGGAGAAGGAACACATTGGCAAATGATCCAAATCCTGAAAATGACAAAGACTGAGTGACCCAATCTTGTTCCCAGACTCACCATCCTTGGAGGCAATTCTGTCACAGTAGGTCCTGGTAGCTTCATGGCACCAGAGCCTGACTACCGTCCTCATCATGGGCGGGGCTGCATTGGTTGCCTGGCCATCGCCTCCTTTAGCAACGACCCTGCGACCTCTGCCAGCTGAGAGACAAAAACAAAAATTTAAAGGTTGTTCTGCAGACCAACTCTCACAAAACAGGAGTACAGTTGAAAAAAATCTTGATATCGTTTTTTTAATTTTTTTTTTAGAGAGGTTTAGAGAATGTTCAAAGGAGATAAAGTGTAATTTATTTAAAATTAATTTATTGACCACTGTTTTAAATTATAGCTATAATTGTTGTTTATTTCATAAGTTATTCACAAATGGGACCAGGCTCTGTATGCTTAGGCTTTTTTCCTGGTTCCCCCATCTGTCACCATTTATGTTTAATTGATCAAAGTGTTGTACATGTAGTTAGCATTCTATTACATAAAGTTATTGTTGTAGTAAATAAACTGTTGCATTTGCATTATATTAATTTGTGACAAATGGAAAATAAAACAATACAACAATACAATACAATACAATTACATCCTTACTGAAAGATTTTTTTTTTCAGAAACAAAAATGACACATAAATAATTAAAGATCTCTCCAAAAAAACCTTGCTTTTTTTTAAAGAAAAAAATTAAAAAGGATTTTGCAAATACTCAAGGAAGGAAGTTCAAGTAGTAATTCGAAGCTTCAAAATTATTTTACATCGATTTTCAAACATAATGTTAAACTGAAACAGAAACAGAAACAGGAAAAGAAAAAAAACAAAATTGAAGACAAACTATATTTGATGTATTTACTTTTAGCCAAAGCATCTTCTACAATTGAATATTTTTTCTTTTCAACCACAAAAATTTTAAATGATGGAAATACATGTAGCACAGCCCCATTCCGTTATTGAAAGCGCATGTGGAAAAAAAATGATGTTTAGTTGGCCTGCCAATAAACTACATAAAAGTTTATTGACCCTTGGGCTATAATTATACAAATTACAACCATTCTTACTTTTACTTATTAGATTATCAATCATTCTTGCCAAATTAGTTGGAATTGATTGTGCTGTAACCATGGTAACCCACTAATCTGATCCTGCTATCTACTGTGTTATGTGTGGCGCAGCCTATTATCAGGAACCACAAGCTATTGAAGTGTTTTATTTACATAATCCCTTGACTGGGCCCCCACTGGTGGTTGAGTAGACTTGCCTCTAGTCCATCAGTGAGCAAAATAACCTACATTAAAAACTTGACTTTAATGCTCTACATGGCTTCAGGTTTTACCAACCTACATCAATTATAGATCTGTTTTGCAATCTTAGGCCTCCTTAACAATTCAGTATTTTTTTTATTCTTTAAAGGGAATGTACATCATTGGCTCGCTGTAATTTTCAGAAATGAACTATTTTGAGGGGTTAGTGTAACAGATCAAATATTATTACACTGACATGTTTGAAGTTTTGTGTTTGAAAATACTGGAAAAAAACAAGAAAAACAAAAATGTTCAAGTAGTCTGGTTCCCTGACTCCACTAAAGATGAAATGGATCAATTTATAGATGCCGGAAAATTGTAAGGTAATGGAACCAGTCTAACTGGCCTGCACCTGTTCATGAACATTTAACCAACAGCAAACAAAATTTGGACTGAAAAAAAATTGGTAAATTTGGAGCAGTAGTTGAAAAATAGTTCGGTTTTTCCAACGGTGGTCGGCCGACCACTGTTGGAAATTTATACAAAATACCACTTTTCTTGAAAATGACTTCACACATGGTGCCATAACTTTACAGGATGCTTTAGACTGTCATTTACCATCATCCTAGTAAGGTATTTCGTAAAAAATTGGTAGTTTTGTTTTTCGATGTTTGCAAATGTTGTATATTCCCTTTAAGTTCGCATTTCCCTCAAAATGAAGCTCAGCCTTGTACAAGTCTACTACAATCCAGGCCTGAGGATTGTTTATGCATGAGTGGCGACCACAGATCACCAGACCCACACATAGACTGCAGTGAATGGTACACACAATGTGCCATCCTCACTCAATACTGTGCATGCTCATCATCATGCGTTTGTTTGGAAATTCCCTGAATTGTGTCCTAACCTTGGGGACAACATACTCCTGATTCGACTGGATTACATTTGGGTATAATCCTGGGAGGAAGGATAGGATGGAGTTAATAACGGTAAGGAACACCTACTTCATGGTACAATTATGGAGCTAAACACGTTATTGTACGATCAAATGAAATCATGTCACTTGTGTTAAACTCAAATACATGTACATGTACATGTATCAGAACCAGCAGGAAAATAAGAAACTGAAGTGAAACCATGGTGAAACTGATAGTGGTGCTTGATTTTGTCTTCTGTGGATATATTCAAGCATAGTGATTGCCTGATGATGAGTTGTGGTGTGCATGGTCATACTTGATTGTATGGTTTTTTAACACCGATGCAATGGGCCTGGCCATGTTGGTACATCATCTATTAGTATGCATATAAATGTTGGGCGCGTTCAGTGTACATGTATGTACGCCATCAGTCGATCACGTTGCGCAATCGGTCGATCATGACACTATCGGTCGATCCCACTACCACTTCGAACACCTTTTCTTTATACATTTTGTAATTCGCAACTCTGGAGGATTTTTCTTTAAAAAGGTAAGTAAACTCCAAGATATCCTACAGAATCGACCCATCGCACAACGCGAACGATCCACTGCGCAACACAAACAACCGATCGCACAGACTGACCGTTTGCGCCCAACATAAATTTTGCAAGATTGTATTTGTCTGGGTTGCTGAGATGATGTTGTGATTTTACATGTACATGTACTTATCACCTGAGTGTATGCACAGTAACTACTTCATGGTTACATGTACGTGATGTGCAAAACAGGCTCTGCACGACATACATGGTGCATGTGTGAATGGTGCACGCGTAGTTTACACAATTTGAAGGAGTGTGTAATATATTGAAGTGTATGTAGTGCAACAGGTTTGTCATGTTTGTTGATGTAATGCTCTGTTCAACTTCATGCACACCAGAAGTATTTTAAATTAATAAATCTGTAAAAACTATTACATGAAATTAATTGGATTGTATGTATTAGGCCTATTTATGGATAAGAAATTTTGATTGTCAGTAACCAACTTCAGAAGTCCTGACATCAGCTGATTAGAACTGAAATTTATAGAAATATACATTCATAAAATGGCGATTGTGTAGTGTGTGTAGGGCCCTGTTCCCTATAAGAGAACAAAAACCACTTTTAATTTATTTGACTTACAAAACTAGTTGGCGACATTAAGAACATACAGGTATGTCACAGATAGAGGGCAAGGTTTTGAATTTTTGAGGGAAAGTTGGAGGTATGACGATGACAATACGCAACACGAAAATAAAGATGGCGATCTGTACCGCGATGTACCGTGAATGTGCAATCCCACACTGAATCACATAACACTAACCGTAAACCGCGAGCGAAAATTGCATTTTCTACCTCAAGAAACTGTTCAAAATTACAAAAAAATGAGTCATTAGAATTGAGAAAAGTCGGCTTTAGGTTGAAAGGTCATTTTTGATTGATAAAAAACACCCTGGACTCTAATTTGATCAAAACTAACAAGGGGCCCGACACTACATGATCGCTCATAAAATGAAGGCATAATGTATGTGTGGAGTGCCATGGCCTTGTGGTCTGGGGCATTGACTTCATGGTCTGCGGGTAATTCTGCAGGTTGTGGGTTCAATTCCAGCCTGGGGTTGTGGTGCGTGTGCCCTTGGGCAAGGCACTTTGTCACTCATTGCTTCTCTCCACCCAGGAGTAAATGGGCCCTGTGAGGCAGAGATGGTTATTGTGATTGAATTAGCTTCCTTGAGCCTAACAGGCTGCATCGAGCTGTATACTGCCCAGGGAGCTAAGATGGTATTTGGAATGTTTAATTGGCCCAACGTTCAGGGGTAATAATAATGTAAAGCGCTCTGATCTTAGTTAAAAGTGCTATATAGAAACCCGCTATTAATATTATTATTATCTCAGGGTAAAAAAAATTCTTTTGGCTCTGATCCTGGTTTTTTTTTTTTGCTAGACATTTATTCAACGTTGTTCATTAATATACAAAATTAATGTTATAATTACATGTATTATATTGGATATCAATTGAATTCAAACCAACATTTATCATAAATCAACAATATACATACTGGAACAAATTCTGGTCTATTGCACATCTCCGTCATGTCCGTACACTACATTTTTACATGTCACATGGAGTCAGACTACCAATGGAGATGGATTACCAGTGATAATTTACCAGCTGAGGAAAATAAAGACGTGGATGTTTTTTTTCCCTATAAGGCCAGCTGCACGGCTCAATGCCGGGGTTTACCTTGCCGTTTGTTGGTACCATCTGTGATGACCAAGGGCGTCAGAATAAACAATGAGAATAGGAACAAGTATTGATTATTTCATGCAACGTTGCCGTAAACACCTAAGTGCATTCCTATATACGTTGAACACTTAAAAAACGATGCATGTACACATGTTGTCATTCCCATGCCGGAAACTGTGACAGACCGACCGAACAAAATCTGGTAAACTGAAAACATATTGTACAGTGATGGAGAAAAACATTGCGAAAGCCACGAGAAAAGCCTGTCATGGCCCATTACAAGCAATCAAATCTTTTGAAAAGAATTCTAGTTTACATTTTTCAATTTTTTTTCTTCAGAATATGAAATGAACACAAAAATTCAATGTTACAACTAAATATCAGATGTTGTACATGCATGCATGTGAACAAATTACCATGTTTTGACTACTTGTTCTGATTACTTGGTTACTTTTATTGCTTTTTTTTATATTATGTACATAATGACAAATGCTGGTACCCATTTACTTTGTATTTGATGGTCCGGAATACAAGTTTTCCCCCGGATTTGGAAAAAATCTGACCCCAAAATACAAAGAAAATTTAAGGTTATTGAATTGATTACAATACCTGATTATATATGTTTTTTTGTTAACAAAAACTCAACTTTATTGTCCCCCATTTTTTTTAACACCATGCAGACTAAGAAGACTAAGCCAAAGAACCTGTGGTGGTTTATTTTGGATTGAGACTTTACGACATATCACCAGGAGCAGACATGGAGAACGGGTTCACCACCAGCTCAGCCCTGCACAGTACCCGTCAGCAGTTCCGTCAGAAGTTTCTGGCCTGCCCACGCTGCAATCAGCCCTACGATGACCAGACTAGGGTTCCCAAGAGCCTGCCCTGCCTTCACACCCTCTGCATCCACTGCCTGTCGTCGTTTGTCAATGGCAAGACAGAGTTCCCTTGCCCTCTCTGCCGGGTGTCTACCCGGATCCCTCCTAGCGGGATGTCCGCCTTCCCGACCAACTTCAACGTCAAGAAGCTCCGGGAGTATCTGGCCATGGATGAGATCCCGGACAGCAAGTTCGGCAGCGCTTTTGTCTGCGAGGGCTGCGACAAACACGAGAGGGCGCTGGTCTGCTGCGCTAACTGTATCCGTTACCTGTGCCGGGAGTGCGTGATCTCGCATCAGTATGCCAACGGCTTTCATGACCACCATGTCAATGTCTTGATGGATCTTACTGACGATCAGGAAGCAGAGCTTCAGCGTCGCCGCCTGTTCTGCTCAATCCACAACCGGCAGGCGCTGACCCTGTTCTGTGAGAAGTGCAAGGTTGCCGTCTGCCAGGTGTGCTCCAATCTGTCTCACATCGATAACGGTCACCGTCTGGTAGACCTGGGATCTGTGATTGACGACCAGAGGCGGGAGCTGGGTCACCTGATGGGGAAGTGTCTGATGCAGCAGAGACCCTTGGAGACACTCCTAGGGAACATCATCACAGAGATGGGCAAGCTGACAGCCAACGCCAAAGTCACAGAGAAGGGCATCCGGGACTCCTTTGCCGAGCGGAGGAGAGACTTGGAGAAGCGCGAGCAGGAGCTGATCAAGGCGACGTGGACTGTCCACGACAAGATGGCATCTACCTTAAAGGATCAGAAGGATGCAGCTGAGACCACTCTGGCAGCCATCATGGCCACGGGGGAGTTCACGGAGACAGCCATCTTGAATCGGAACCCAGTTGAGACAGCTCGAGCGTGGCAGAAGCTCAAGCCAACCCTGACTGCGATTAACAATCGTGTCTTCTACTCCAAACCCGTCGCCAACAGTCTCATCGAGTTCCGCCATCAACACAATGCAGCTGAGATGCAGTACAAGCTCAGCCTGAGAGACCTGGGCAAGATCTACACAAACGACGTGGCTCCCTTTCAGACTGAACTGAAAGTCTACCCTGCTTTTGTGAACCAGGAGTGCAAATTGAGCCTCGTGACGGTGAACCTTGATGGGGAGAAGAGTACCCAGGGTGGCGCCCTTGTGCAGGCGGAGCTAAAATCGCCAGAGGGTAACCCAATGACCTGTGACCTCCAAGACAATATGGATGGCAGCTATCACATTGTGTACTCTCCTACCATTGCAGGGTACCACGAAATGCTGGTATCTGTGTCCAGGGAACCAGTGCATGATGAACCAATCAGAATCCTCGCTTTAGAGCTGCACACCGATATTCAATCGGGTATTGTTGGTGAGGAGTGTTTGATTCGCTTGCATGCAACTGACGGCAAGGGTATTCCCGAATCCCTTCCCAAAGATATGAACATTGATATCTGTTTGAAAGACCCAATGTCCTATGAAACAGAAACTGAGGATGCATTTGCAGCTGATGGATCCTACAAGATCAAGTTCCATCCAAGAATCGTTGGAGACCACTATCTGACCATCTCCCTAGATGGTACGCCTCTAAGAGGTCCCTCACTCGTTGTCTCTGTGCACAAGGTCATCGAATGCATCTCCAAGGATGAGGAAATCCTTCTGGAGGATGTATCCGGCATAGCCATATGTTCCAAGGGAAACATCTATCTTGCAGACACCTTCAAGAACCAAGAAATCGTCAAACTGGATGGGGATGGAATGTTCTTGGACACGTTCAATGTGTCTTACAAAAACTACGCCCTGCTGACCATTGATCCAGAAGACAAGCTGACCCTGTTCTTCATGAATCGCAAGTGCGTCTCGACGTACGGCACGGACGGGAAGTTTGTCCGCCGCTTTCAGGCCGGCGAAGTCAAGAACGTGACGAGCCTGGCTGTCAACTCCCGCAGTGACACCCTCCTCTTGGACTGCGTGGAGTGCTGCGTCTTCTTGTTTGACGAGAAAGGCTTCCTGATCCAGAAGATCGGCAACCAGGGCTGCGGGAGGGGACAGCTCAACTTCCCCATCAGCCTCTGCGTGGACAAGTTCAGCAACATGTACATCAGTGACAAGGGGAACCAGTGCGTGGTCCGGGTCAACCCAGACGGCAAGTACCTGAAGCAGTTTGGCGACCGCGACACCCTCATGCATCCGGGCTCCGTTTGCGTGACCAAGGACGGGTACCTCCTTGTCCACGATGAGAAGCTTGCGCAAGTCGTCCATGTCTTCAGCCACCGCTCCAACGACATCGTCCGCTCGGTGGAGGTGCACGGCATCGTGGGATTCCAAGAGGCGATGGCGATCACTACAGATGGATGCTTCGTCAAGGTTGACCATAAGGGGAACTGCCTCCGGAAGTACAGCTTCAAATGAGGAACCCGCCCGTAAAATGGACAAGGTAATCAATCACGAATACATGACGGCAGCTTTCAATGGAAGTTTGAGTCATTACCACTGCATGTGTTTCGGTAACGGGTTTCGTGAAATATATCTTTTTGCAAAGTGCATTACTGTAAAAAATATAGAAATTGTGTTTTGTAATTGTTGTCAGTAACACGTGTGCATTCTTTGTTCATGTCAATTATTGCAAAAAAAGTTAAAAGTAAAATAATTGTGTAAATATCATGTACAATACATGTATGTGTAAAAAAAAATAATAATAATGACAGCTCTTCCAAATTATGCCAAAAAGTGATTTTGTTTTTTGAAGTGCATTAAACTTTGTTATTATGAACATATTAATTTTATAATAATAATAAACCATGCTTAAAAGTGCATTTCACACAAGGTCCCCATGCGCTGTACACAAGTCATTATTACCCCTGATCATTGGGCCAATAAAACATTCCAAATACCATCTCAGCTCCCTGCGGAGTATACAGCAAAATGCTGCCAATTCGGCGCAAAGCAGCTAGAATCAACCACAATAACCATCTCTGCCCTCACAGGTACCCATTTACTCCTGGGTGGGGAGAAGCATTGAATGACAAAGTGCCTTGCCCAAGGGCACACGTATCATAGCCCCAGGCTGGACTCGAACCCAAGACCTGGAGAATTTAACGCAACTACTGTTTTAGATAAAGAAAAATCGATTCACATGACTCATGGCCATACCAGCAAGTACAACTTTTGTAATACAGACGTTGTACAGTGTACATGTCGCAGCAGACAAAATTATTTGCATGTACATGTACATGTAGCATATTTGGAAGCTGGACTGCATGAATATGCTTAGGTAGTTAATGATCCGTGTCCAGAACAGAGCGCTTGGATTATCGAGGGTGATACCTGAAAATACTGTTTATGTACATAGTGTCACATACATCATGCTCTAGCTATGGAGCAAAGTGCTTACATTACCTCAGACAAATTTGACAATGAAATAAAATTTATTATTAGGGCTCTAGGTCCCAAGAGCTATTGCTGAGGGGATTTTTACAACCCTTGCACAATGGAAATACATAGAAATATTAACCAGCTGTTCAATAACATCATGTCTATATTTAGATCTCAGTGTATAAGAGCAGGGAATGCTCATTCTATTACGTACGTAACTACCAAACTATCGTAACTAAAACAAATGTTTTTCTCCTGAATTTGTAGAGAAATTTAATTTGCCTCATTATTGTGTCAAAATTACAAGTCAAATGTTGGTTGTGTACATTATATCAAATTTTATGAAATATAATGTTGAGCTGTAAATTTGTTTACAACAAAAAAGATGAAGACTTTGCAAATGATTAAAATGTCATGATATAAAACCTAGTTGATTCATGACACTGATTGAAAATTGGGTAAGTCCATAACAAGATACAACAAATGTTGAATTTTTTTTTTTTTTTTACCATTACATTTAACCAAGCATTTGATACATCATGTATTGCTGCCCAAATTTAGGGAGTCTGTGCACTGACAGTGGCCAAACTCTCAAGTAAAATATTAGCAAATGTAACAAGTTTTAGTGTACATATTGCGCAGAGCACACAAATTATTTACATGACTTGCATCTTCACTTGGGAGCCAAGCACAGCGACAGTGACATGCAGGAATATGTATTATCATTCTTTTTGTCATTGATGAAAGGATAGTAGTTATGCACTGTATATACATGTATCCATATGGCACCAAAACAATTTTTCAGTAAATATATACTTTCATTGTGTATTGTTCACTGTAAACATATTTATGAATATAATTTCTAAGTCTGTGCAACTTGTACATATTCGTTGTGAAATACAAGGCTAACGTGTGGCTTATGCGGAAATCTGATGATAAGCAATATTTATTTTTTTCTAATGTTCGCTCTTGCGTATATATATACTCTAACATTACATGTATTTTTGTATTTCTCCCACTTATTGGATTATAGTGTACAAAAAATCCAACTCGTACTGGAAATAGCAAAACTGTGTTATTCTGTGTATATATTTCTGTAGCGTTCTCTGTTGATTTTAAAGGTAGAATGGGTCATTTGTCACTGTGCATTTTTTTCGTTTGAAGCAACAAAACTGCTCAAAATCTAAAGACGGGTGTCTCACAACTAACCTGATTAAGTTTTAGCTCTGTGAATGCTGTACATTTCGAGAAAACACAAATATTTTTGATTTCGATTTCAATTCCAAAAGTTGCCACGTCATTTTTTGAACTGGCCCTCTGGTGACAAAATCCTGAAATCTACGTTCAGGACATGATTCTCATTCAGCCGATCGAGGCTATGTGATGTAACACACTGAACTGCGCGTGCATGTGCACTGTGTCAACATTTGCACCTATTCATGGATTCGCCAAATTACAAACCAACTACAAACAGCAATTTCCAAAAATGTGTCACTTGGCACATCTTTGGAGATGGCCTTCTTTTATTGTTTTCTTCAAAATAACAGCATGCCAGAAGGAATAATTTCACAGGGAGTTTATTACTATCTTTAACCCAAGTAAGCTTTTTAGCAAAAATTTGGTTGGTTACTTTTTGGACAGCTGCAAATGGTTCACTCTACCTTTAATTATAATGCGACAGGCAAATTGAGAAGAACATGAGTGCAATGTATTGACATAAAAAAAACAATTATTGGTATTTATTACCCTAGTATATAGGCGTGCCCTACTCACTGTACTAAATACGTACATGTACATGTATTTGATACCAGCACCATTTGGCAAGATAGGCATAAATCTACAAAGATGAAAGATCACTTTTTAAAGGTACTACATGTACAGTGTTAATTGTTAAGGTCAGAACATGTGAAAGGATTTGGACTTGATGAATTGCTCCCTTCAAAGATGTACTTGAGTCGAAAATTCTTTCAAATTTTACTTGCCATGTTGTCTCAAATTTGTTTTCTCCCAATGTAAGGACAGGCCTTAACCCTAACCACCCCAACCCTTTAAAATCCAACTGCATGTTTTGTTGGAATCTGTTGGAGTGAGTACTGCACTGAACTGGTTATGCTTTACAATATGCATGGGGTTAGGCATACCGCCATAATCAGAGTCCAACAGTTTACCATATGGTGTTGGATTTTGCAAGAGTGAGGAAGGTTCCTAGTAAATCACTCAAGGGGGTTAGGATTAAAGGGAATGTACAACATTTGCTTTTGCTGCAATTTTTTGAAATAAGTGGATTCGGTGGATTAGTGTGCTATAGCAAATATTGTTAAAATTACTTGTTTCGCGTTTTGGGCTTGTGGATGCTGAACAAACCAAGAAAACCAATCATGTTCTTGTAGTCTGGTTCCCTGACCCCACTTAAGATGAAACGGAGCAATTTATAGACTTTGGGGAACTGTAAGGTCGGAGAATCAGTCTAGCAGGCTTGTACCCCTTCACAGGTGTGTAATCAATTGCAAAGAAAATGCGGAATAACTAATTATGAAAATTAGGAGCATTTTTTTAAAACAGTAAGTTTTCTCCAACGCTGGTCGGCCGACCAGCGTTGGAAAAATACCATTTTTCTTGAAAATGTCAGCACACCTGGAGCCACAATTTTACAGGATGCTTTAGACTGGCATTCTCTAACAATCCAGTTAGGTATTTCGAGATAATTTGATCTTTTCGTTTTGTGATGTTTGCAAATGTTGTATCTTCCCTTTAAACACAGTATCACTGTGTGTAAAAATGACGTCAAAGAAGTGACCTGAAACAGTCGTATATTTCTAGTTCAACACAATCTCAATGAATACGTTTTTTGTGTTAGATGCCTGCCCTTGATGTGTATATATACATGTAATGAAGGGAACTATTTGGCCTCTTTGATGAAACTTCCCTTTTCCATACGTGCTGCAGGAAGTTGCTATTTACTTTGAATTATGATAGATCTAAGCATGAAAATGAAAGTGTCCTTTGCTGTTTGCATGCATGTTTGTAGGCTTCACTTCAGAGACGTAGTAAACAGATGCATGTACAAGGAGTGCAGAAAAAAATTCCACGAGATTTTTAAATTTACCAAGTTTTTTTGGACAACCAAAAAAAAATATTTCTCTCAAAATGCATGTAACAACTTGATGTAACTGAAGATAATATTTGTGACATTGGAATTTCCCACTCAAGAAAAAAATGACAAACTCATTTTAAAACAACAGGAAGTTTGCTTTGTTTCGCAAGCGTGAACTATAAAAATGAAACAACACAAATGTGTTTACCAAGTCTGTCATACGATGCCATCTGCGTAGGAAACTAAAAGCCTAATGGATGATTTAAGTGTAGACATGGGGGACTGCTAACTAAACCATTATATCACTGAGTAACTGTGAACTAACAGTGTGGTAGCATTGAAAAGCTTCCAAATCCTAGGCCTTATGTTAAATACGGTAGTTAATTATCAGTTTGGCTGAAAAGGCCTCCATTTTTTACTGATCACTGCTTCACACAAATGTATTTTGCACATACTAACAAAAAAAACATAAGATGGAATTCTGTGTCGGGTGATGTAAATAAAGTTAGGTTTTTGCCCTTTACCGACGTATAAACACTGTATACTCAGTGTGTTACCTCCGGAGTGAAAGTTGGAAAAAGTCACTCGGGTGGGACTCGAACCCACGACCTCCTGCTTTCTAGTGCAGATGTCTTACCACTCTGTCTTACGAGCTAACGGGATCGGCTGGGTTCGAGGCCCATCCGAGTGATTTTTTCCAACTTTCACTCGGGAGGTAACACACTGAGTATACAGTGTTAATATGTTGGTAAAGGGCAACAACCTTAGTTAAAAAAATCATAGTCCTAAATACTGCATTCAGTGTCAATGTGAATTAAGCCATGTATAAAACTCTTAAAAAGCTTACTACAGTAGCATTCCATTACCATATTTGCAGTCTTACTAAAGATATTTATATGTATAGAAAAAATCAGCTTGAAATCAGTACTGTGATTCAATGTAGGGATACTCTATGTATGGGACAGTATCAAAATTCCGATTTTCTGGACAAAATGATCATTAAAAGGAGAAGTATTATATTTCAGACGTCTGAATATACTTTGTGTACTGAAAGTAGCGTGGATTAAATATTACTGACAGAAACATTGTTTGAGTATTGATACTTTTTTTTCATCGTGTTCTGTAAATGTTATAACTTCATGCTAATTAGGAACCCATTTAGGTGTAAATCTGCATCAATGTTTTGAAAAAAGTGCCTCGTCACTATATCACGATTCAAAAAACCTGTTTTCATGATCATTGGCCATTTATTAACAAGACATTAACCATTTAAAATTGATGTCCAACAAAGAAAGCTGAGAACAAATACGCAGCTGTAGTGGTTTCACGACGTTGCAAGCATCAGAGAAATAATGCCCATACGCAACATGTGTACAACGTACGGATGAATACAACCAATTGTACTGTTTCCAAATTTAGATTTTTGGGAGAAATTGTCAACCTGCGTGTAATAGGATCCATGCAAAAGTGTTATGACTTTAGAATGAAGAATTGGGCTATGTCCAATGGCTATGACTAGCAGTAACACACGACTTTGAGGAATGGCTTCAGCTGCCTATATAACATGTATAATTGAAAGCCACAGCCTTACACTGACTTAACGATATAGTCCATCATTTGTAATTTGTGCATTTTGTTTGTTTGAAGCAACAAAAGTGTTCAAAATCTGATGAAGGATACTGAACAACTAACCTGATGAGGTTTCAGCTCAGCTTCCGAGCTGTAGATTCCGAGAAAAACAGCATTCTAGGATCTCAATTTCAAATCAAAAGTTGCTGAATCATGTTTTGAATTGTTTTGAATTGCAGCTATACGCGATGTCGCGCACTGATCCGACGAATTATAGCAACCGCGGGCGCCTGTGCGTCGTGCCAATGCTTGCGGGCGCTGCGCCGAATAACAAAACGAACGACTAATTTAAATTTTCCTACGGTGCGTCTTAAGACGCACCGTTGGAAAGGCCTTCTTTCGTTGATTACTTCAAAATGATAGCTTGCCAGAAAGATTAATTTCACAGGGAGTTTAGTCCACTTACTATCTTTCAACCAAGTATGTTTTTCAACAATAATACGTCAGTTACTTTTTCAGATGGCTGCAAATGATGGACTATAGCTTTAAAGAACACATTCTTACCTGCTGCTTGTGGGCGTGCCCCGCCCCCTCTCCGGTTGCCATGGCGAGGCCTGGCCCGGGTGTGAGGCGACATGAGGTACAGTCCCTGGATCAAGCGGTTCACATCATGCAGGGAGAAAGTGTAGTGTGGGCTGAGGGGTGTGGGGACCAGCCGAGACTTGACGGCTGCCTGCAGGTCCTGGGTGGCCGTCAGTAAGGCCTGGGAGGGAATGAAAAAGGGATACAAAATTGAGAAGAAATGGAAAAAACTAGAAGTTCATACCAGGAGAACTGCACAGATTTTTAGAGCTAAACATGTAAGTGCAAGCTGAAATGCCTTGCCTAAAGCCCGGTTCATACTTCACGTCAATGCGAATGCGAAGCGAATTTGACGTCACAAAGCATTTGCTGCGAAATTCGCCCGAGTTGAAATATGTTCAACTTTTACGAATTCGCAGCTCGAATACTTGCCACAACGTCACAAATTCGCGTTCGCTTTCCCACCGAGTATGAACCGGGCTTTAGAATCCATGATTGTCAGCGGCGTATTTTCTGCTATTGTTATTGGCAATTCGTCACTTTAATACGGCAAGCAAAACCATGAAATTTGGTCCTGTTGTCAACAATGGTTTCTCCTTTTTCTAGAAACCTATGTTTGAATTTGTTTCTGAGGAAGTTAAGAATTTCAAACCATTGGTACGTCTTTCAGAGGCCATACTTGGAAAGTGCAAAAATACTTTTTATCAAAACACTCCAAGTTTTATCGTAATACCTGCGCCATCTCGTAGTGGTGTGCCAGCGAATATGCCGGAAACTCCTCCAACCACCCCTGCAAGTTGGACCGGTGCAAGCTGTCCATGGCTCCCGACCCCAGGGGAAAGAACGACAGAACGCAGAACAGACGGCTCAGGCGGGGAGACACCGGGTGGCAGGCCTTGCCACTACCTATGCCCGGGGTGCCCGGCGGGGCGCAGCTGGCTACAAAATTGGCACCCTCGACAGCCTGGAAGAAGAGACGCTCGCGGTCGTAGACGCCACCGTGGGTCATGAGTTGGCGCAGGACGTCGTTGCAAGGCAGAGAACCTGCAAAATTTGTTGAAATTTTCAGACATTCGAAAAATGAGTAGGCTTGCCTAAATCAAGCTTGGCCAGAAAGTCTCAGTTGAGGACTTTACTTATGATTAGTTACTCTGTCAGTCAGTCCATCCATCCGTACTATACATAGTAACTGAAAACTTCAAATCTCTAAATAATTGTACCTGTTTTATCATCCTTACGGGCGCAATTCAAATCATCCACAAAGAAGAGGTGGTTTGAAGTCGATTTCTGCTGCCGGCCGCCCGTGGCAACGGCTGCCATGGCGACGCTGCGTGGGCGGAGCTTGCTGACAATGGCATCCTCAAATGATTGACAGCTCAGACCGGGAGACAGGCTGGTCTTGAGGAAGTAGTGTTTGGGATGCACCATGTTCTAGAAGGAGAAGAAGAGATATCAGAATAGGTCAGATGTACATCTATGAACTTCATTCACGATCTGTAAATGGGGCTGGGTGGCCCAATCACAGAGCTTTAAATTCGGTTTAGCTTTAGTGGAGGCTATGCGTCAAGTCCCTGGGCAAGCCACTTTACCTGTGCTTGGCTCTCCACCCGGAGGTATCAATGGGTACCAGCATTAGCTTAGGAGTAACTGACGATGGACAGGCATCCCATATACTATGAACATCTGATCCCTTAAATTTTCATTAAAAGTCCACTTCTCCGTGAAAAGAATCTTTAAGAGATGTTTCACGGACATTTACATGGGGCTTATATAGGACTAATCCTGTAAGGGTAGTTTGACGTTTTTTTAATGACCCTGGCCACTGTACTGAGGATTATCATTGGTTATACATAACAGTTCACTGGGTCTATCTTCATGGGTAAACAAAGGACTTGCTTAAGGGTGTTTTCATGGACTCCTAATCTGACTTAATATGTTGAAAAATCCGTGAAAATTTAGTTAACTGTAATTTCAAGGAAAAATGGCTCTTTAACAAATTTTTAAGGGATGAAGATGTTCATAGATCCAGGGATAACAGTATCAGTGTTAGCCAAAAAAGGGAAAGATGAACGCCCGCCTGATGATTTACATTGACTAAAGACAGGTTTTACTTTTACTCGAATACAATAGCTGAACAGACAAGATATTTCACGGCATCTAGAATGAATTCCACGTACCTGCATGAGTGACGTCTTGCCTACGCCAGGAGGTCCAGTCAGTAGCACAGGGCAACTGGAGCTGAGTAGAAGATCTATGATGTTGAAATATCTCTCCACCTGAACATCAACAAAGCACATTTTGTTTTTAACACAAACTTCGGATTTGTGGAAACCAGAAAATGTGTCCAAATTCAATAATACCAGTGATCAAATGTGATGTGATCAAGCTACATGAGTCGTTTGTCGACCCTGGTCAATTTTTTTTTATTACAGATTTGAAAAGAGCACAATCTCGGCATTACTGCTGTGAAAACCGCATGCTGATACCATCTTTAGTTGAAAAATTATTAAAGTCGGAACACCAAGAGATGTGATGCAGTGATGTGATGAAGTGGCCCTATTTTGGCCGGTTTCTCCAAATAAAAATTCCCGACAAACGACTCATCGCATCACAAATGTTTAAAACTCCTATTTTTTACCCTAATAATTGCTATAAATATACTATCATCTAATTTAGTCATTTGTGTTCTTTTGTCACAGTTACATTTTGTTTTTCGTTCTGAGAATAGCTCTAGTGAAACGTATCAAGAATTTAAATACTACCATCCATCCAGGTTGAAGAAAGAAACTGACTGGAGCGGGGTCTGAACCTGCGACCTTCGGATTGCCGTTCTGGCGCCCCATCACCTGAGCTATCCAGCCCAACTCCAGTCAATTTCTTTGTACAACTTTAAAAATTATTATAATTTACTTAATCAGTTTCCATTTGTGGTTGTGTTGAAGAAGAAACGAATTCAAAATTGGAGAGAGATTAACTGATTACACATGTAAATTTTGTGTGCAAATCAGAAATTATTTGGGGTTTTTTCAAATGGAATACAGAGATTACAAATTTTTGAGACATATGAATCTCTAAATGAAGTAATTATTTCGCTGTGACATTTGCGCATCCTAACCTCGGGAATGATGGTGTACCCAGAGGGCAGGGTCTTGGCCTTATCCTGGTTCCGGTCCCCCCAGGGTACCAGCACGCCGTGGTGAGGGTCGATGCAGTAGTCATAAACACTGCCCTCTACTGGCAGGTGGATGTCAAAGCTGGCCCGGGAGAGAGTCTCCCGCGCAAACTGGTCGAACACTCCGACGTATCTGTCATGAATACAGTGGTTTAGAAATAAATACAAATGCAATTCTATGGAGGAAAAAAAAATGAAAATTGGAAAGAAAGGGTAATTCTGTCATCTCTAGTATTAGGCTCTGTACACAATCATCGTAGGTCCAATGGGTTTCTATACCCATGGACCTTACCCAATCCTCATGGTTCCCCCTCATTAGTTTTGGCCTATGGGTCCCCTTTACCCTTGGCGCTCTGCTGGATGTTCACCACAGCTGTACCACCAACCTTCAGACATGCTTTGGGGTGTCATGGCCTAGCGGTTAAGAGCACTGGACTCATGCTCTGGTGTTTCACAGGCAACAGTGGCGTGGGTTCCAGCCCGGGCCCGGACACTTGTGCCCTTGAGCAAGGTACTTAACCATTATTGCTTTGTCCTTCGGATGGGACGTAAAGCTGTAGGTCCCGTGTGTTGTATAAATGCACATAAAAGAACCCAGCAAACACTTATCGCTAAGAGAAGGGGTTCGCCCCAGTGTTTCTGGCAGTTATCCTCATACATACACCATGAGGCTGTAGGCGATAGCCACACCAGGCGTTTGTAAAGAAGCTAACATACAGAAGTCTCTCCTTCAGTGAGCAAACATAGCCCCCTTCAGCATCCTACCCAGCATCTTAGCATCCCGTGAGAATCTCCCGCCTTAACAGTCCACGGAATTTAGCATCCTGTTCCAGATTCTCCCGCCTCCATGGTCCACTGAACTTAGCATCCACTACTTAAACCACTACATCAGCAAGAGTCCGCCAGTCACCTGGTGTGGGATCCCTTCACAGCCACCAATAAACAGAAGATGGAGATGGTTCAAAGAAGAGCTGCCCGCTTTATCACTAACATATATAGCTGGGACAATTCTACACCTGTTACTGCTCTTCTTGAAAAACTGGAATGACCTACCCTGGAAAATAGGAGATACGTACAGCGCCTCACAAACTTCCACAAAATCTCCAATGGACAGATCGACGTTAAAGTTCCACCTGAAATAACCATTAGGCAGCCAGAAATAACAACGAGACGCTCAAAACCCAACTACCTTGAGATCCCCTTCACCAATATCAAAGGACTCCAACACTCATTCTTCTATCAGACCAGCAAGGACTGGAACGACCTCCCTCAGCACATTACTGGCATAGGAGACACCAATCAATTTAGTGATACCCTTAGATCCCTCAGCACTCGTCGATAGCATGTCCACCCCTTCCAAGCTGAGTGATGTTCCTGTAGGAGCTTAGCAGCTATATCAATCAAGATCAAGACGAGCAGAGCTCACTGTTCGAAACGTCGAGTTAAACCAACTGGTTCTTCTCAGAACACAATTCACTAAAACAATTCTTTCATTCACGTTGTGTTACCACAAACCTCCATTCATTGATCATGTCCACCATGCAAACCCTTGGGTCTTATTGAATCTCATATACAAGGAATTTACTGCCCAAAAAAAAATGGTATATCAAAGACTTCTTTTCATTGTACATACTGACCTGTGATGCAGATGGCCGCCAAACCCCCAGATATAACTGAAGGCAAACATGGAGAGAACCAGGCTGGTGGGGTTGGGTTGTCCTGAGGGGTCTGGGGCGTTAGCCATGGATGTCCCTGAGCGGTTGGGGGTGGGTGACGGGGTGGGTCTGCCATCTGTGAACAGGATATCAAAATAAATAGATTTAGGTATTGGTACCTACAGTAAACTCCGGCTAAACCGACATCGTATAAACCGTCATATCGCTTAAATCGGCCGTCTGACGAAAGTCCCGATTGTCTCTAATGCATTTCCATTGACATTTTCATTTCTAAGTCGGCCTTTGTAAGCCGCCATTTCGCCTATGTCGGCGTGTTACTTTCAGTCCTATTTCCTCAAAACCACACAAATTCCTCTGTATAAGTCGGCATCGTGCTCTGCGGTTTGCAAGAAGTGTAGAGGGAAAAGTCCCACACACTGCTAAACTGACATCTGTTTATCAATGGCACGGCCCGTGATTGATGCATCGGCCAGCACGTATACACTAATCGCACGTGTACACTGTTTTATGCACAGTCTGTACATTGTGTGCATCGTTTGCTTACACGAAGTACATGTCCATTCCGTAAAAGAAAATGGCATCCAAAACCTTTTGACATGTATTCTCTTCCCATTAGTGAACGTGAAGCTAAATTTGCTGGTGCTGTCAAACTTTGCCCCACACGAAACCCAACACGAAACAAATAAAGTTTTCTGTGTAATTTCAGAAGTTGTTGATCAACTAAGCATGCTACTAAGCCATGGCATATAATGAAAATGAAAAGCGAAGGAAAATTGCGTAAGTCGTCACAAAATCTCTGGTCCCGAGAGTGCCGTCTTAGCCGGAGTTTACTGTATATTTCATTGATTCAACAACGCCCTCAGAGGCACTAAGCAGTGGTGCTTAGCAAATTGATGTGCTAAGCATGAAAAAAGTGAGTACCCTCCATAACATTCATATATAAGCATAATTTGGGGGGGGGGGGGTTTAACATGTAATTTAATGCTTCTGGTAATTAGCTTTGGGAGGGTTCATATGTGCATACAAAAGTGGATTTTTTGAAGATGTCAGTCTTTTTTACATCATGTGTCCTCAGTTTTTATCTTCATTACATTCATATGCATATCTGTGGGTTTTTTAATATGTAAATTAGTATTAATGTGTCTGGTAATTGCTTTGAAAGTGTCCTTATTTCTTAAGCTTGATGACTTTTAAAATTAACGTGACTACGTGAATGTTAATTTTTAATGTTGATTGTTACTTTTTTTTTCTTTTATGTATGCTAGAACCCATGGGAGACCAGTGGATTCCACTGAATGGGCCACCCAGCTGAAATAAGAAATAAAAAATAACCGGTCAAAAGCAATAAAGAATACGTGGTATTTTGGCTGGTACGCTGTGCTAAGCCAAGATTTTCCATGCTTAGCAGATTTCTCCAATAAGTTGGTCAGAGATCCTTACCAGGGACTGGGCTGCTGCTGACAGAGGATTCCTCGTCTGGAAGGAGAAACTTGTCGCACAGCGCAGACAGGATGCGCAGGAAGGAGGAGACCTCCTGGATGCCGTCCACGATGCGTTGCTTAGCAACGGCGGAGGCAGGGAGGTCGGCCGAGAGGGCGGGCTGGCAGTGTCGGGAGAGGAAGTCGATGGTCTGGGGTAGGGTGTCGTCGATGAGGGAGGTTAGCATCTGCAGGCTGGGGGGGGGGGGAGGAGAGGAAGGCAAATGGAAGAGTTTCAAAAAGGTTGGGGAACGTGAAATTCTCTGATAGCATCTAGCAACCATGATTGTACAAACAGTTAAACAAAAATAATTCAAACAGAACATAAACATGCACATGCCATTTTTATTTTAAAGAAGGGTTGATCTCAAATCTGGAATCACTTGAGGTAGTTTTCGCAGGCTGTTCCTACTGACAACAGAATGGAATGTGCAGCTTCAAGGCTTTTAATGGGAGTGAATATTAACCCTTTTATAGCACTTGTATTGAATCATATTACATTGTTCTACTCCTCCATAAATCAGTACAAGCACAGAGTTTTAAGACGGTCTGGGGTGGTCTGGGGCTGTCTGGGTCTGTATGTGGAGTAACAGGCAAGGCAGTTTGGGGCGGTACAGTTAATCAAGTTTGGGAACACTCTTCCATCAAGAAACTACCACAAACAAACTTTCTACTTTCATTTCTCGTCATTACCCTCTGTTAGGGGCACTTGTAATTAAAAGTTATGGATACCTGAAGTCCACATTATGTTAAAGCAGATCAAATATGAAATTTGCATGCAGGGGTTACGCCACAAATGTTAAGCAATGCTACGAGGCGATGATGGTTGGCACATGTAAATGGTTCAGCTTGGTGATTGGTGGATGAAGTCACATGAAAATAAACTCTTAATGGCATGGGCTCCGTGCACAAGTACCCCCTCGGTGGCAAGAAAGGGAGAGTTTGGGGAGAATGCTGGGAGAGACATTCAAGTGCATTGCCGATGACGCCTGACGCTCTTGCGAAGACCCAATGGCCTTGTGCATATTCAGAATAAAATAAGTCGTGCGTACTTCACGTTATGTGCGCGCAAACGGTACGTGCATGTGTCCCGTCCACCGGGCTTTCGAAAGCGGTAATAAATTCCTTCTCGTTCGCGCAAAGAGCCCATATGTTGGACAGTCAATAAACGTGAACCACTGTGAAATGAGAATGTATTACATGGCATGTTTACTACCCCAGTACGTTTAAAGGTATAGTCCATCATTTGTAATTTGTGCATTTTGTTCGTTTGAAGCAACAAAAGTGCTCAAAATCTAAAGAAGGATACTGAACAACTAACCTGATCAAGTTTCAGCTCAGCTTCAGCTGTAACTTTCGAGAAAAACAACATTCTAGGATCTCGATTACAAATCAAAAGTTGCTGAATCATGTTTTGAATTGGGCCTGAATTCAGCGTCCGAGACACGTTCCCACTGAGCCGATTCAGCTACGCGATGTCGCGCACCGATCTGACGGATTATAGCAACTGGGCGCGCGTGTGTGTCATGCCAACGCTTGCGCGCTTCGCCGAATAAAAAAACGAACTACTAACGGAAATTTCCAACGGTGCTTAAGACGCATGACGGATCCAGCTCTTTAGGAGCCGACCCGACCAAACCTACCAACTGGTCGGGTCCTCACGCATACTTTTGGAGCTTTTCTAAAGGGAGAGTGCATGTGTGCCCCAGGGGATTAAGATTGTTATCACCACTAATCCTATAATGAGTGTGATAAGAGATCCTGCCTGAACGATTCAGCTTACAATTTTGCAACTAAATACCTTGATATAAATTCATATAAATATCTTATTATTTACGTGTGTGAAATGTTATTTTGTTTTCTTTTTTGAACGGTTAAATTCCATTAAGTAATGACAGAGAACGATTATTACCGCTGGTCGTGATTTGTATGTACATGTACATGTACATGTCCATGTGCTCATATTGAAAGTAGTTCCAACACTCACCCAGCCAGCTGTGTTGTCCACAGGAGGTTGTTTATTTAAAGGGAATATACATCATTTGCTTTTGCTGTAATTTTCAGATATGGATGGAATTGGGGGGTTGGAAATATAAAGCAAATATAGTTACACTGACTTTTTGGAGGTTTTGGGTTTGAAAATGCTACTAAAACAAAGAAAAACGATCATTTTCCTGTAGTCTGGTTCCCTGACTCCATATAAGAAGAAACAGAGCAGTTAACATACATTGGGGAATTGTAAGGTCAGGGAACCAGTCTAGCTGGCTCGTACCCGTTCATGGGTTTGTAATCGATTGCAAACAAGTGCAATGGTCAATTGGGGCCAGTATTTGAAAAAAAGCCAGTTGTTTCCAACGCTGATCGGCCGATCAGCGTTGGAAATTGATACAAAAATACCACTTTTCTTGAAAATGACAGTATACCAGGTGCCATAATTTTACAGGATGCTTTAGACTGTCATTTACCAACATCCTATTAAGGTATTTCGCAAAAACTTGGTAGTTTTATTTTTCGATGTTTGCAAATGTTGTATATTCCCTTTAAGTGATTAGGGGGATTATCTTGCTGGACATGGGTGAAGTGTGTTTACTCAAGGACTCCCCACTGGGGTTGAAAAGTATGTGTGAATCCATCTAGGTTTTCTAAAGTGCTGTTCACGTAATGCACCGTTGGAAATGCCTTCTTTCGTTGATTTCTTCAAAATGGCAGCTTGCCAGAAAGAATAATTTCACAGGGAGTTTAGTCCCCTTACTATCTTTCAACCAAGTATGTTTTTCAACAATACGGTAATTACGCCAGTTACTTTTCGGATAGCTGCAAATGATGGACTCTGGCTTTAAAGGCAGCACTAGCGATTTATTCCTCATTTCAACAGAGCAGCACACATCCCCGTGTTGCGAGTTTACTCTCAATGCTTATGAAAATGATCACATTATTCAGTTGACAATTGCATTGATGGTGAAGCGTGACAGCATGAAGCGTTATCAATCAATTAAGAAAGCACCTGACACAGAGACCCACCGGTGTTTGTTAATTTTCCCGTGGATGTTATAAGAAAGCCACGGTTCGTATAATCTGCGGACGTTAGTACCACTGGATACAAAACACAGGGAAGAAACACATCAAGAAAACACAGAAGATCAAATTACATACATACAAGACCAAAGTGCAACATACACATTTCAGTTGATTAAAATGAGAAAAGCAGGGTTATATTTTTACAAGAAAATGTGAGATTTTGGTTAGTGCCACAGACTTTGGTCAATCCTACAGTCGTTAAAATAAGCAGACAAAGACTGAACATGAAGTTAAAATGCACGTCACAAATTCACAATTTAAAGAGTAGAACAATTTAGAAGTAAACAAACAGAACTACAAAAATTTCAATGGAATAAAAACTAGGCAACAGCACAGAAATGACTTTAAAGAAAGTTGTCTTAAAGGGAATGTACAACATTTGCTTTTGCTGCAATTTTCAGAAATAAATGGATTTGGAGGATTAGTATGTTATAGAAAATATTGTTAAACTGACTTGTTTCACGTTTTGGGCTTGTATATGCTAGAAAAACCAAGCAAACCAACCATGTTCTTGTAGTCTGGTTCCCTGACCCCACTTAAGATGAACGGAGCAATTAAGACACATTGGGGAATTGCAAGGTCATAGAATAGTCTAGCACTGGCTTGTACCCCTTCACAGGTGTGTAATCAATTGCAAAGAAAAGTCAGAATAACTAAATATAAAAAAAATATGAATAGTTTTTGAAAAAAAGCCAGTTTTCTCCAACGCTGGTCGGCCGACCAGTGTTGGAAAAATACAGATTTTCTTGAAAATGTCAGCACACCAGGAGCCACGATTTTAAAGGATGCTTTAGACTGTCAGTCCCTAAGAATCCAGTAAGGTATTTTGTGATAATTTGATGATATCATTTTTTCATGTTTGCAAATGTTGTATCTTCCCTTTAAAAGTGAATATTTATTACACACTAAAGGGGGTACTTGAGACAACAATGAAATCTATATGGACTGCAACATCAGGAATACTGCAATCCTGGGAAATGGCAAGCAGTTATCAATCTGTGAGAATGCTTAACACTAACTCCCTAGGCATTTTTGCTAGGATCATAGGATGTAACTTCAAATATTTCTTGAATGTGGTCCTTGGAGGGGTGACCACTGCCTCAATCCTGCAAAACCTCCAGCAATCACTGTCAATGTGTGTTGAGGCAGAGCCAGTGACATCCTGGAGTAGTGCAAAGGATTTCAAGTATAATTTTGGCCAAAATTTATGCACGGCTGAGAATAAACAACACAAGGTCCGGCCAAGACCTTGACACAGTGCGTCCTCCGAAATCAGCAGCACACTTTAGCCATGTAGCCTGAATCCTGCAAAATCCTCCATTTGGCAAAGATGATTTTGGAGGATTTGGGACGGTTAGCGTTAATTAAAGTCACCTAACAAAGCAAAAGGGGAAACTGAAAATGTTTATTTTTAATCTAACACAAATTGACTGCGACAGCAATGACAAGCGTCAACTCCTTTAAATACAATGCACAACATGACACAAATGTTTTTGTTGAGCAAATAAGTATTTTTTTCAGTATTGATTAGAGTATTTTTTGTAATGAATACCTGGTGTTGGTGACCTCCCAATGCGACTTGGCACTGCCCAGCCAGGACTCGGCTAGTGATTTCCAGTGGACGACGTCGTTACCACAGTGGACGATACCACAGCGAGAGATCAGGGCCGGGGAGGCCGTGGACAGATCTGTGGTCTCAAACAGGACTGAACAGGAATCTGAAGGAAAAATAAACATCAGAGAAAAGAAAAGCAAATATAAAAAGAACACCGTTTTTGTGGCCTTAAACCCCCCCCCCCCCCACGCCAATTGCAGAGTAATACAATCACACTCTGCCAGTATATGCAACTTCTTTCAAAGAAAAGTGGTCAGAAATGTTGGAAAAAACTGTGTTCACCGTTACAGAGTTTTGAAATGATGTATAACACAAAACTGTGATGTTATTTTATTTTATTTTATTTTTATTTATTTTTTCTTTCTGGTAATGAAACCAAGGGTCCCACAAAAGTGCCTTAGGCACTGTAGCCCGGAAGCCTGACGAAACCAGAGGAATATACTGAGGAAAACCCATGGAATCAGGTAGAAACTGAAAACCCAATCCACATATTGGCCCAGGTGGGATTCAAACCCGGGTCACAGCGGTGGAAGGCGAGGAAAGTACCGCTACGCCAACCTGACTCCCCGAAAGTAAAGAGATCCAAACAAAATGTGACGAGGCTACAAAAAATGTAGACAGTAGATCGTTTTTCTCAGATGTTGCCCAAAAATTAAGACTAAACCTGTGCAAAATGAAGCAAAATGCACAAAATCAGCCAGCGTTGATAGAACGAGCAGTTGTATTGCTCTTTTGTAATCTCACATAACATTGCTGGTCATTTCTATTGAAATGATTACTCAATGGGATGTTCCTCAATATGGTGCAGCAGGTTAAAGGCGGTATTCCTCAATATGCTGTGCCAAGTATATGACAACACTCCTCATTATGCTGGAGCAGATTAATGAGAATATTCCTCAATATGCTGTGGCAGGTAAATGACAACATTCCTCAATATGCTGGAGTAGACTAATGAGAATATTCCTCAATATGCTGTGGCAGGTAAATGACAACATTCCTCAATATGCTGGAGCAGACTAATGAGGTTATTCCTCAATATGCTATAGCAGGTGAATATCCTCATTCACAACTCACCAGGCATCGGTACTTGTTCCCCGTGTCCCAAATTCATCTTCCTGCAGTCTCCCTTCAGCAGCGCTCCTAGACTCTCCGTCCAGTCTGGATTTAAAGCTCCGTCCAGCACCAGCCAGCGCTGAATGACGCTTGGTGGGTTGAGTAATGCTTTGTTCTTCTTGTCAGTCTGGGCGGAGACTAGCTCCTCGGCTGCGGAGGCTGAAGTAGCGGTGTCGCGGAGAAGGCGGGTCAGGATGCCGTCTCGCCAGGAATGGGCAGTCGGGTCGTACTTGCCCAGCAGCTAATAGCACAAAGAGAGGATTTTGGCTAAGACAACTTTTCAGATGGTTATTTTCTTTTGCTTTCAGAAATTGATTCAGTCTTTTTGAATCCAGGGGACACCAGATTTTGTAGTTGTTAAGCATAAAACTGACCTGCAGATCAAAGTTGATGCTTGCAGTTCAGTGCCGCATATAAATGTAACGCGAGTGACGGTGGCATTGCCCATATGAGGTTTAATGATTCTATACATTAGTATTGTTTCCGACCTACCTCTTCAACTGACAAGGCATCGGGGAAGATGACGCTAGCGTCTACAGCAGGGTAGACGATCTTCTCTGCTCCCTGACTGGCGATGTCCATCCAGGAGAGATTGACTTTGGCCAGGAGTCCGGCAGACCGTCGGAACTTCTCCCTGGCGGACGATCTTCGGGACTCTGGTAAGTCACTAGAAAAGGACTGGAAAAAAACGGACAATATACTTCAAAAAAGGCAGGGAATTTTACACACCTTGGCTAAATGTCCATTCCTTTGACCTGTATAAAAGTCATGCAACGCCTTCTTTTTGTTTAAATTTTTTTTTTAAGCTCACCTTTTTTCAATCTCCATACTTTTTTTCTAACAGTAGATTTTTAGGCATACACTTTACAGTTTTACAAGGGGTCTCTTTTACAAAGATAAATCAAATAATTTGGATCATTGAAAATGCTTGTGAGTAAAGGTTTCTCACTGATTTTGCTGTCATGTAAACAAAGCAACAAATATAGCAACACCTAAAAACGGAGAAGTGGCCATGGTAAAAAATTGAAACTTTTGGCAACTTCTGGTGCTCAGGTTACTACAAAAATAGAGTTTCAATATTCATCTGGATTGAAAGGATTGTTAATGAAATCAACACTGGCCAATGCAAGGGATTAATTCAAGCTATAAGCACTGTGCCACTGAAACTATTACAACTACTCATTACGGCAAAGTTGATTGTCAAGTTTGATGTAATGTCTTTCTTCAACCAGCTTCAATCAAGCCTTGGGCCATTACACGATCGTCTCCACTCAAATGTGACAATGTCCGTGTCCGACTCACCACAACGGATATTTTCTTGGTAGACCCGTTCCCGCCGTCGTCTTTCGTCGGCGGGCTGGAGTGTAAGGTATTCAAGACTCGTTCCAATGTCTCCCTGCAGACCGTCTTGCCGCTCCCTGAGGGACCGACTAGAATGACCCCTGACCTCTGCTTCATGCTGTCGTACAACTCCAACACCTGCGCACAAATAGTACACAAATATTGAGTGGCTCAGAGTGAAATGGGAGGAATATTATCGCAAGGTAAAATCTGGACTTTTCCAGTTCACGAGGCGAAGTCCACATTTAACCGAGCGATAATATTCCTCCCATTTCACAATTTAAAGCCACTCAATAGTTGTTTTATATAACTGACATATAGATCCTTGTCATTTGATATATTTGAGCTTTTATGTCAAATAAAAACTGGAGGAAAATGTATTTCTCTCTTCCAAACCACCCCTTTACGAAAATGTTTGAATGCAATGCTGTAGCGCTGGCTCTTTGGAACAATACGCATTATACGCGCAATGCTGAACGTGCACACCAGCATGCATTTATACACAAATACTGCGTCATGGAACAAGAATGATCCTTTGCTGTTGAATAGTATTTCCCATTCCCCATGGGCGGATAGTACTTTTTGAGCCACGGCATGAATGGGAGCAATAACGAATGTCACGTGATGTGAGTTCCACCAATCATGTGATGCAAGTTCCACCAATCATATGACAAGGATATGTATGTCAGTCATATAAACACAATTGATGAATAGTATCATGATAATGCATTCGGTCCGTCAAATGATTATGTCATGAAATGAAAACAGAGACACTGCCAGAAATTCAACTCCTAAGATGGCACACACTTTGCGCAGGAATTAGGCAATGGTGTTAATTGCAAAATGATCGACAGTCTGCATACAGTGCATAAGTTAAACTCTGAGTTAAACTCTGAGTAGTGTATATGCAAAACATTACTGTTTCTCACGGAAAACGCTTTTCACATGGTGTAAAAATTTCAGGTGCAGTATATTTGTGGGACTTGAAAAAAAAATGAATACAAAACACTGTCAAGTTCCTTTGTCAAGCACCACTCACTGGAATAGGCCGATCTTTGTGTTACCTTTGCGACATGCTGCGGCGTGGCCTGCAGCCTGTCAGCTACAAACTGGCACTGCACCGCGTCCACCAGCGACGGGTCATGTTCCTGACCGGCCGTACCCGGCCGGCCCATCCCACCCCAGGGGAACACGCTACGGAGCAGGTTCCTGACCACGCGGGCGTGGTCGGGGGTCTGCAGGCGGGGCAGAAGGAGGGCCTGGATGGCATAGACTAGGGCCACTTCCTCTCGGTGTTCCTCGTCTTGCTCTAGGCCGATGACGTCTGGCGGATCCAAGGGATCACCTAAGATATGAGAAAAAAATCCTCGTGGGTGATATTATGCTTGGACTTCTTCTGACCCTTCACGCTACTAAACAACAGACTCAAGACTAAAGAAAATCAGTTTTTACTTCATGCATGAGTTTGGAGCTACAGAATAATTAGATTATTAAAGAAAGCAGCATTATCAAAAACATTTTGGCATGTGCCTGTATTCTTTAAAGGGAATATACATCATTTGCTTTTGCTGTTATTTTCAGAAATGGATGGAATTGGGGGGTTGGAAATATATAGCAAATATAGTTACACTGACTTTTTTGAGGTTTTGGGTTCGAAAATGCTATAAAAACCAAGAAAAACAATCATTTTCCTGTAGTCTGGTTCCCTGACTCCATATAAGAAGAAACAGAGCAGTTTACATACTTTGGGGAATTGTAAGGTCAGGGAACCAGTCTAGCTGGCTTGTACCCGTTCATAGGTGTGTAATCGATTGCAAACAAGTGCGATGGTCAATTGGGGCCAGTATTTGAAAAAAAGCCAGTTATTTCCAACGCTGGTCGGCCGATCAGCGTTGGAAATTGATACAAAAACACCACTTTTCTTGAAAATGACAGTATACCAGGTGCCATGATGTTACAAGATGCTTTACACCGTCATTCACTAACAGTCCAGCAAGGTATTTCAAAACGATTTGGTAGTTTTATTTTTTGATGTTTGCAAATGTTGTATTTTCCCTTTAAATCTGTTTGTATCAGTTGAAGCAGGCATGCAACTGGGAAGTAACAAAAAAAAGAGGACATTTCAAGCTTATTTATCTGTTTATCAATTTTTGATGGCACAAGTGTGAAGTGAAAAAAAAAGGAAATTTGCTGATCCGAGAAAAAGTTGCATGCCTGTTGTATGTCATTTATTGATTCCTGAGACAATCTAGTTTCCCCGTGCATCACAATTTGAACCACGATTACAAGCAAGCAAATCAGCGTGATCAAAAACGGATGTACTCATTCAAATTCGGTTTTAAGCTCAGAGCATTCTACATGAAGAATTGTGACGACTTGGTACAACTTTCTCACACCTGCTAAATCTCCAAAACCTCTGAGTGGATTTTTTTGGGGAAATCTGGAAGGGATTTTTTTAAATTTCTTAAAGTAGAGTCCATCATTTGTAATTTGTGCATTTGGTTCGTTTGAAGCAACAAAAAGTGCCCAAGATCTAAAGAAGGGTACTGAACAACTAACCTGATGAAGTTTCAGCTCAGCTTCAGCTGTATATTCCGAGAAAAACAGCATTCTAGGATCTCGATTTCAAATCAAAAGTTGCTGAATCATGTTTTGAATTGGGCATGAATTCAGCGTCCGATACACGTTCTCACTGAGCCGATTGCAGCTACGCGATGTCGCACACTGATCCGAATTATAGCAACCGCGCGCGCGTGTGCCAATGCTTGCGCGCGCTTCACTGAATAACAAAACGAACTACTAATTTAAATTTCCAACGGTGTGTCTTAAAAAGCACCGTTGGAAAGGCCTTCTTTTGTTGTTTTCTTCAAAATGACAGCTTGCCAGAAAGAATAATTTCATAAGGAGTTTAGTTCCCTTACTATCTTTCAACCAAGAATGTTTTTCAACAATAATAACGCCAGTTACTTTTCGGATAGCTGCAAATGATGGACTGTAGCTTTAAAGTCTTATGTTACTTACTTTCTGTGGCAGGGTCGGGTGTGTGGACGCTGCTGTTGCGTGTGGACCTGCCTGATAGCTGGTAGACGTGTCTCTTGGAGTAGAGTCTGACCATGGCAATGTTGATAGCAGCCTGCATGGCACGCAGGCCAAAGACACACTCCGTACGCTCAGGAAACTGGTGGGAAAACACATAAAATTGTTACTGTGTTATTGTCAACATGCCTGTCCCTTCATAATGATTACAATGCAACACCTGCTAATTATTGACCCTGAATGGTCTGCTAGTGCCCTCATTGCCGGTCAATATTTCTATCAAAGTGACTGTCAATGACTGAACAAGCGAGTAACGTCAAAAGGGAGAAACATATCTCACAGTACCTCAGGGCGTATACACACCCACTAGTTCCCTCAGTGCCAGTCAATATTTCTATCAGAGTGACAAAGTGACTGTGAATGACTGAACAAGTGAGTGATGTCAAAAGGGAGAAACATATCTCACAGTACCTCAGGGTGTGTATACACCCACTAGTTCCCTCAGTGCCAGTCAATATTTCTATCAGAGTGACAAAGTGACTGTGAATGACTGAACAAGCAAGTGACGTCAAACGGGAGAAACATATCTCACAGTACCTCAGGGTGTATATACACGCACTAGTGCCCTCAGTGCCAGTCAATATTTGTGTCACCTCTAGGTGCAAGTGCGATTGTCTGTGCATTAGTGCCCTTGTTGGCAGTCAATAGTCCTGATAATCAGGAAATAGTCAATAACACACCTGTGCCTGGAGAAGATCTGAAAAGGTGAACAGCTTGGACGCCAGGGTGTCAGCTGCGACAAATCCTCGACAGTAGAGGGTGCTCTCCAGTATAAGCCGCATGTCTGGTTTAACCATGGCGACGGGACGCATTAACGACTGCAGGAAATAATTCAGAATGCATATTTGACTTTTGCCCTTAACTTACACAATTATGAGCACTGTTTCAAAGACTGTGAGAAAACAACTGCACAAGCATTTTTTGTGGGACTCGAACCCACAAACTCCTGCTTAGAAGCCCAGACGTCTTAGCCACACGGCAACCAAGTTTGCTGGGTAAACTTGCTGGTTTGAATCTGTACGCTGGGTTCGCAATATACATTCTTTGGAATATTTGCCTACTTGCAATATTTTTTTGGTTTCGCTTCATCGTCTTTCGATTTGAAATCAGACATTACAGTTGTAACGACTTCTTCAGAGATTGAAGTTTGGTGAAAAACCACTGCACTGACTGGACAGTCCTGTAAAAATATGTGACCTGTTCTGTCAAAAGCAAACGCTTCTGGGCAGAGGTTGATATTGAGATTGGGCAAAAAAAAGCTGAGGCGGGGTGATTTTTATCGATTTTCAAATTTTTGCATATTTGTAATCCTAAACATGTCTAAAATATACTATAAACGTTTAAAAAACTAATTTGAACTCTACATATACTATTTTTGATGATTTGTTAAGATATATCAGTTAAAGAAATTACTGTTTTGTGACGTTCGTGGCCATTTTCTCCTTTTCTACTTTTCGACACAATGAACTTCAAAATAGCATAACTCTGCCCAGGAATGACCGGTTTCAAAAATTAAAGCACCTATTAAAAGGAAAAAGAACATATTTTAACAATATGTAAAAATATCATTTTTGGCCTTATGCCCAGAAAAGTCTGATTTTGACAGAACAGGTCACATATTAGTAAGAATATTTCGAAAGAAATCTGAAAGCAAGCTGCAAAGATTTGACAGTCTTGGCTAAATTTTAAAATTAAAATTAAATGTAAGACACTCACTCTCAGCGTATCGGGAATTTTACTGGTGACAGAGCTGGTGGTGTTGAGCGTAGTGAAGCAGCCAAAGTTACTGCTGGCTCGCATGAGGGCGCCGTTGAACTTGACGTAGCCCAGGATGGAGGGCTTGTAGGTCCAGTGGGAGGATGGCACGGACGAGGCTGGGGGGTCTGACTGGTTGCCTGAGGGGTAAAGGGTATAAGGACAATAAGCCTACAGCAAAAAGCCAGTTTCTCAATAAACTTAGTAGAAAAGTTAACCCACAATAGACAATGGACACTTAACTTTTTCATTACCACATTGTTTATTGACTTGGCTCTCCCCAGGACCAAATTGTTTGCTCAGTCATGCGGAAATCACTAGAGCCTGAACAAAATGACCACAAGTCCAAAACTCACTTTTTCAACCCAGATTTTCACTGCCAAGGAGTGATTTAAATCATAGGTGTTGTGCGTAAAGTTTGTTTCTTGAACTTTACTCTTTTATGTGATGTAAAAATGAAGTCCATACGTGCAAATATAAGAAAGTTATGCCTTTTTGTTCATCTGGTTCCATTTATCAAACTGCAAGCCATTTCACCACATGACCAAATGGCATTCCATACCTCAATTTGTGCGTGGATACTTCTGAAGCACTTTTCTCATTTTTTGTAATTGTAACACTATGAATAAACTACACCATTAGAACGATCCGAAAACACTCTTTCAGCTGGCATATGGTTGATGTATGGGCGGCCAAACATATCAACATGCCGCCTTTCTGAAAAGCAGTTAATAAATCTGTGTTAAGGGTGTTCTGTGTGTGGTTTCCTTGTCAACTAAAATCGCCCATGGGAATCAGAAGGAGGGTAGTTCTTGTCGACAAAAGTCGCCCATAGTAAGGAAAGGGTTAAACTGAAGGGAAAATATTCCACCCATGCCCACCCCGTCCCCCTTCGGATTATCGTCCCAGACTCACCCTGAGCATGGAATTCAGGGAACAGCTGGACTGACTGTGAGTGGTCCGTATAGTGATCCTTGGCAGATATCCGAGACTCTTTACCGATGGAATGTCGACGTTGGGGCAGGGTGGGGATGCTGTGGGGCTCTGGCTTGTCAACGACGTCTGGTGTGATGGAGAAGATCCTGGTTTTGGATTCCTTTAACAAGGAGACAAATTGAAAAGAGTATTAAGACGTGACTTCAAATGACAATTCGCTCTTTTCACACTCCCCCATTGGGCATGCAGAGCCTCGATCTGGCAACTTTACACAATAAAAATAGCCGGTTCAGTGATCTGAACCCCAACACGGGAATCACTGAACCGGCTATATTTAGTGTCTAAAGTTGCCAGATCGAGGCTCTACATGCCTATGGCGGAAGTGTAAAAAGAGCGAATTCCTTCCAAGACTATTTTGGGGAGGGTCCCAATCAGTAAATATTTACAGCATTGGGAAGTTGGAAGAACTAGGTGAGCCTACTTTGTCTGACGTGGCTCTGGTTCACAATAACTGCAAGGGTCTTACTCTTGCAATAACTGGAGAAGTACTTTTTAATCAATAACAATTGGGAGACAGTCGGCTCAAAGAGCAAGAGTACATTGTTGAAGGTAAACATCTGTCTTCAAAACAAAAGAGACTTCAAAGAATGTGATTTATATGAGTTCTGTTCACAATTCTCTCAAGTGCCTGAAGAAAGCCTGCTGACCTTTTTGTGATGGTGCGACACACGTCTCCTGGGTGCTTCAGCCTGCTCCTCTGGGCAGGTGGAATGCAGTGTGGCCAGAGACTTTCTGCGCTGTCTGGGCTGCACGGCCAAACACAAATAGAAAATCAATACAAAAACTGGATCATTTAAATCTAGCCAAAAGGCAGTAGTACCTGACAACAATCTTGACTTGTTTAAGTTTGCTCTTACCAGTCGGGAGAAGCCCCTGGTCCCATACTGGTTGTCTGTGGATGTGTGGAGAATCCTAACGGCTTGACAGAGATGATCCAACTGCTGACCAAACACAGACATCAAACCTACGGAGGAATCAATATGCCGTTACAGTACATTAAAACAAGGGACAACTCGGGCAGAAAACTGAAAATTTCTGGATTCGTCAGCTGAAATTGCCTTAACCCTTTGGTTTTATTGATTTCTCAGAGAATAAACACAATGTATTACAAGGAAGTACATGTGCTTATGGGTTAAATTCACAGTATATTAGTTTGCTCCATAGCCGAGTAGTAATCAAGTCAATCACGAGTCAATCACGAGTCAAACACAAGTCACTTACTTACAAGTCAATCACAAGTGACTTACAAGTCAATCACAAGTGACTTACAAGTCAACCACAAGTGACTTACAAGTCAACCACAAGTGACTTACAAGTCAACCACAAGTGACTTACAAGTCAACCACAAGTGACTTACAAGTCAACCACAAGTGACTTACAAGTCAACCACAAGTGACTTACAAGTCAACCACAAGTGACTTACAAGTCAACCACAAGTGACTTACAAGTCAACCACAAGTGACTTACAAGTCAATCACAAGTGACTTACAAGTCAATCACAAGTGACTTACAAGTCAATCACAAGTGACTTACAAGTCAATCACAAGTGACTTACAAGTCAACCACAAGTGACTTACAAGTCAACCACAAGTGACTTACAAGTCAACCACAAGTGACTTACAAGTCAACCACAAGTGACTTACAAGTCAATCACAAGTGACTTACAAGTCAATCACAAGTGACTTACAAGTCAATCACAAGTGACTTACAAGTCAATCACAAGTGACTTACAAGTCAATCACAAGTGACGTACAAGTCAATCACAAGTGACTTACAAGTCCATCACAAGTGACTTACAAGCCAATCACAAGTGACTTACAAGCCAATCACAAGTGACTTACAAGCCAATCACAAGTGACTTACAAGTCAATCACAAGTGACTTACAAGTCAATCACAAGTGACTTACAAGTCCATCACAAGTGACTTACAAGCCAATCACAAGTGACTTACAAGTCAATCACAAGTGACTTACAAGTCAATCACAAGTGACTTGCAAGTCAATCACAAGTGACTTACAAGTCAATCACAAGTGACTTACAAGTCCATCACAAGTGACTTACAAGCCAATCACAAGTGACTTACAAGTCAATCACAAGTGACTTGCAAGTCAATCACAAGTGACTTACAAGTCAATCACAAGTGACTTAAAAGCCAATCACAAGTGACTTACAAGTCAATCACAAGTGAATTGCAAGTCAATTCACGAGTCAGGTCAAAGAGATGAACGACAAAGGAATGCCTTAGTCATAGTTCATTTAAATAGCTTGTGAGTTGACTAGGGGCTAGACGACTTGTAATTAACCTGTGTTGACTAGATTTCAACTCTGCTCCACAGTAACAATCCGAAACTGAGTTTGAAAAAACAAAATACACAATTCAAATCTTTGCATTTCCAACTCTTTAAGTTGTGTGACCCTTGGTGTATTGATTATAATATAAATTGTCTTTATTATCAATTACAACCCACCTTCTGTCATGTGGTTCAGGTTGGTGTACATCACCCAGCTTCCAGCCAGCACCATTCCACTAAGCAGTCTGGTCAGTACGTTCATGTTGGTGTCCTCCGCACAGTTAAAGGTCACCAGGTGACGACCCATGACCTATGCAAATCAGAACAAAGAAGAGATTTAATCAAGCTGAATTTGGCTTTGATCTCAGTCATAAGATTTTCTTCTCAGTAACAGTTGCCAGACGACTTTTTCTTGATATTCGCTTTCTACTTAAACCTTCACTTCTTAGCATGGTCATGTTCCAACCCCCTCCCCCTCCTGTTTCAACTCCCTCCCTCTTCCAGACAGAGGGATACCCTCCCTATCCCCCAAAGTACCAAATTTGGTCCCCCTTCTTTTAACTCCATATAAGCCTAGTGTCATGGCCTAGCGGTTAAGAGCACCGGACTCATGCTCTGGTGTTTCAGAGGCAACAGTGGCGTGGGTTCGAGCCCGGGCCCGGACACTTGTGCCCTTAAGCAAGGCACTTAACCATTATTGCTTCGTCCTTCGGAAGAACCCAGTAGCACTAATCGCTAAGAGAAGGGGGTTTCCCTCAGTGTTTTTGGCCTCCTAGTTATACTCCCTTGTGGAAGTCCTTAGGAGAAGAACCAACCAAGTACCAAGGAAAAAAGATGTTCAATATTTACCTTTACATCATCTAGAAATCAAGTTATTCATAACACGACATTTGGGTGCAAGCGTATACTTCTGTTCAGGCAAAGTACAAAAATGCGCTCTCCCTTGTATGCATCATACCCTTGTTAATCTTGTGCTCAGGAGTATACTCGTGTTGGCACGAGTAACTTGCTTGAACTCAGCCGATATGACCCCTACCTTGGCCAGATCCCTGATGGTCTCCGCCTTGCCCGTCTGCTCCGGTCCCATCACCGTCCCGCACTGGAAACTCCTCAGCGCCGTGGTCATGGCCAGCTGGCACCTGTCACTCAACGGTGTGCTGACCAATGGCGCGTCCTGACCCAGGTATTCGTAATCATATGCAAATGAGGCTCCGAGCTGGTGGATTGTGCAGGGGCCAAAGATTTTGCCCTTGACGGATGTGTATGGGCATGGCTTGGGTGTGGGCGGGACATCGAGTCCTACATAAACATGAAAACCAGAAACATAGAATCTTTTTTACAAGGTTCATGAATTGATCTTCATAAAAAAACATACCTCTACATTATTAGGCTTGACTCTGTTATGCTGGTTTAATATAAGCTAAGAAAAGTGAATCAGAAATATCATAAAACATGGTTTGTACTTCAAGCAAATGCAAATTGATTTTGATGTCATAATGCGTGGGCAAATATGATAACTTTTCAAAATTTGCGTGTGAATACTTGATGTGACATCACATGTTCCTATAAATATCAACCCTTAATTATCAATGGTACTATGAAAATAAAAGTGAGGTTTGATTGTCAAATGGCAAACTTTGTTTTCACATACTTCAAATCCCTGAAGTTAACATACTTCAAATCCCTGAAGTTAACTAAGGGAATAAATGTGTGCTCCGGAGGTTTTTATCACTCTGTTTAAGACCGCTTAGAGTCTGGGTGCTGATAATTACCCAAGCCGGAGGCGAGGGTAATTATCTATATTATATATTATGAGGATTGTGAACGTTCAACCAATGAAATGGTAAGAGGCACTGGATTTTTAGGAGTCCACATTTTATGTGACACTGAAAAGTGTTTAAGACCAGCTAGCCATGTCTTTATCATCCGTTTAAGACCAGCCACGTGACGGGCTCTCGACCAATAGGAATAGCTAAACTGTCTGAGGTATTTATGAATGTATATTTATGACCAAAGTAAACAAGTCATTAAGATTTCTTCAGCCTTCATCTGGCTAATGCAGATCAGCATCGATTCCTACCCTGTGTTTGGTCTTCAACGTCATCTTGTGTCTCAGTCTGCACTTGCAATATTGGCCTGGTCTCCATGACATAATGGAGTGTCTTCTGCCAATCAAAGCTACTCAGTGAAGGCTCAGGCAGGGACATCAGGGCTATAGGGGGGGGGAAATAGTTTGGAAGTATTGACTGTAGTCCAGGGCAATAGTACAAATATTTCGTCAGGTGCACCACGAAGTGACGTATCGTCTGTGGACTTTGTGCACACGATACGTCACTTCGTGGTGCGACCGACCATTTATCAAGAGACAAATTAGGGATGACTCAGGTAGCGACATCAAGGATACTGGAGGGAAATAGCATGGGAATATTAACTGCAACCGAGGGCAATAGTACAAATATTGACCAAGAGACAATGCTGTCAAGGAAAGGCATGTGATGGGATAATGTGGCTATAGGAGGGAAATAACTCGCAAATATCAACTACGATCAAAGGCAACAGTAAAGTTATTTATCCAAGCAATATTGACTGCAGCAAAAGGGTTATATTGATCACCCAGGGAAGCCTTAAATTTTGACATCAATCAACAGGAGGGAAGTAGTAAAGGATTACTGACTGAGACATAGGGTAATAGTATACTGACCAAACGACACACTCAAGGAAGGCTCAGGTAGGGATAACAAGGCTTTCATATAGAAAAAGGTTTCAGAATATTGACTGTTGGAAAGGGCAACAGTAAATCTATCGACCATGAAACACACTCAAGGTCTTAACATCAAGGCCACAGGAGGGAAATAGTCTAAGAATATTGACTGAGCTTCAACTCACTCTGCATGACGTCCCGCTGGCGGAGCCCTGCACTGACCAGTGCTCCTAGCAGCATCTGTAGTCTGGTCCTCGTCTCAGAGGTCAGATATCGGCTGCAGTTATCCCTCAGAATGGCGACATACTGGTCAAGACGATTCTGGTGTTGATCGCTGGGAATAGGAGAAACGATACAGCCAACAAATTCAATAGATCCATCTATTAACTCTTTCAGCGCCAAAGTCGTACATGTACGAGGTATATTTGTTAGTTCGACAGTGCCAACCTCGTACATGTACGAGGTAATGTTCGTACTGAAAATCGCCAAACCTCGTACATGTACGAGGTAGAGTAAGCATGTTATCACAAGGGGGCACTCTCGCTCTTTCTAATAATGTCATTTTCATTCAGGTACTACCTGTATTTATTTGTTTCATTCAAGTTCTTGCGAGAGGGCACAGCACTGACACTCGTATTTTCTGCAAAAAGTGCGGAATTCCCCTGTGTGCAGGACAGTGTTTCAGGGTGTATTACTATGTATGTGACTACTATTGATTTTCCAATATACCAAGGATATACCAGAGAGCAAGAACAACAAATGTAGTGAGTAAAACTTATTTACTTTTTTTTTTTTACAGAATTTTGAACAATTAATAAAAAAGTTCAAAGTTGGGCACTTCAGGGTTAAACTTTTCAAATTCTGCAGGCACTGAAAGAGTTAAACGCTGTCATAACGTTTTGACCAATCACTGAGAAGGCCCACATGTTGTTGCCCCCACAAGCTCCGTGGGCTAATTGGATCAGTCTGACCATCAATCAACCTGTTTTGTAAGGAATTTGGTCATTTTTATTGATTTTGTTGTGATTCTGCACTCTTCCTACCTGATCCCTTTCAGTGTCTCCTTCCTTGCGTCCTTCAACCCGCGTCTGACGTCCCCCGACCACAGGATGGCCTCCGTGACCAGCACGCACTGCACCGGGAAGCGCAGCAGCCAGTGGCTGAAGCTGCGCTTGAGGGCGCTCTTCAGCTTGGCCTCCTCGCCGTCGGTAGAGGGCGCTGGTCCCTCCAGGAGGCTCAGCTCGGCCAGGATCTTGTCTGGTGCAGCGCGATCTGATTGCAATGAAGAACAAAGTTCACTGATTTCACCACAGAATGTGAACAGCATTTTCATATCACAAGACTAACTTATTAAGTTTTTGAAATGATGGCTTCACGTCCATCTTAGGCTCTAGCAGAGGCGAGGTTCAATAAAGCTTCACTAACATCAAAGACTGAAGTGTAAGGCAAAAGCTGAACTATACTTTTACTTGGTTGGACATTACAGGCGTCTAAATGATTCTAAAAAAAAGAGACGAGCCGAAACTGAAAACAAAACCAGAGTTTCAAAAACTTCCTCAAAGGCTTTTACAAACCTACCTCCTCTCATCCTAGTCTCCAGACAAGCCTGTAGCTGTGCCCCCAGGGTGTTCTTCGTGGTAGTCTCCAGTCCAGCCACCCACTGCGGGGGCTCTAGTTTGGGGCTGATGGGCGTGGCCAGAGGGACCTCTTCTCCAAGAGCGCCCTCTATGGCAACAACCTGGAGTCTGTTGGCTAGTCACGAAAAAAAAAATGGAGACCTTTCATAATGATATCAAGCAAATTTGCTAAGGTCTCCAAAAAAACTTGATTAGCAATAACGGTTTAGCTAATAACAACATGCAATAACATTTGACAACAGGCTTGTTCAAAGATGATTGTTTTTACGAGCAAAAAATGTAAGCTAAATTTTCCTGATAAATAAAAAAAAAATAGATTGGAAACTTTTAGCATAATCTTCAATACAAGAGAATGACTATGTAAATGAGAAGGTGGAGCTAATATGTAAATGAGAAGGTGGAGCTAACCATGACACTGCATACCAAATAAGAAGAGAAGGCGGAGCTTACCATGCAGTTGCAAATCAAACGATGTCTGCATCATGCCAGCTTCGTCTTTAGTAGCTGGCGGTAAAGCAAACTCCAGATCCTGTATCCCCGGAAAGAGCTGTCGGACCATGGGGACCCAGCGACGCTTATCTCGGGTCATGGACAACATGTCAATCAGCTCCTCGTCGCTCAGGAAGAAGAGGCGGGGCGAGGCGATGCGGGCGCGGTCTAGGAGGGAGGTCAGGCCTTTCAGGAGCTCCTCCTGTATTAAAGGTATAGTCCATCATTTGTAATTTCTGCATTTTGTTCGTTTGAAGCAACAAAAGTGCTCAAAATCTAAAGAAGGTGCTGAACAACTGATCTGATGAAGTTTCAGCTCAGCTTCAGCTGTATATTCCGAGAAAAACAACATTCTAGGATCTCAATTTCAAATCAAAAGTTGCTGAAGCATGTTTTGAATTGGGCATGAATTCAGCATCCGAGACATATTCTCACCGAGTCGATTGCAGCTACGCGATGTCGCGCACTGATCCAACGAACTATAACAACCGCGCGTGCGTGTGCGTCGTGCCAATGCTTGCTCGCGCTTCGCCGAATAACAAAACGAACTACTAATTTGAGTTTCCTTCTTTTGTTGATTTCTTCAAAATGACAGCTTGCCAGAAAGAATAATTTCACAGGGAGTTTAGTCGCCTTACTATCTTTCAATCAAGTATGTTTTTCAACAATAATTACGCCAGTTACTTTTTGGATAGCTGCAAATGATGGACTCTGGCTTCAATTGTAATTCAAGTGTGTCAGTTGAGGCCAAAAGATTTTGGCAAGTTGCAAGCATGGGCTCTGCGTTGACGTATACAGAGCAGTGTTTAGGAAATGCCTGAAAACCAAGTGAGGACCTTAGACTAGACCTATGACCGAGGGCAATTGCTTGACGAGAGGTTGTATTGTGAGGTATGCTATGTCATTATGCTTATATCTAATGTGTGACCATCTCAAAGACAACTTCTGAACAAATTTTCATCATAAAACTTCTTGATCCTACCTCTCCTGGGTCATTGCAGTTGAGTCGTAATAATCGTGACCAACATTGGTCAGCTGGTCAAAATAGCCGGAACAGTCCAAACCTCATTGACTAGTGTGCATTCAATGATTAGTCAAACCTTGGTTAACCTTAATCATACTTGCTCTTTGTCGTCAAAAAAAAATAAATTAGCTCCAACTCAAAGTTACCGAAAGTCTTTTACCTCTTTGATGATCAGTGATGACAAAAGTTCTCGGAGTGTATCCCCCTGTAGCTCGCGGTGACCCTTCTGACCTTTGCGCTTCTCTAAGACGGACAGGACCTTGGGATCAGCGACAACGGCTTTCATAATCTCCTGAATAAGAGAACAACTCATTTGCATAATCTCTGTATGTATGTTCAAGGGAAGATACAACATTTGCAAACATGAAAAACCGAAAGGATCACATTATCACGAAAAACCTCTCTGAATTGTTAGGGAATGACAGTCTAAAGCATCCTGTAAAATCGTGAGTCCTGGTGTGCTGACATTTTTTAAAAAAACTGTATTTTTCCAAAGCTGGTTGGCCGACCAGCATTGGAAAAAACTGGGTTTTTTTCAAAAACTGCTTCTATTTTTTTCATATTTAGTTATGCCGCATGTTCTTTGCAATAGATTACACACCTGTGAAGGGGTACAAACCTGCCAGAGTGATTCTTTGACTTTACAATTCCCCAAAGTCTTTAAGTTTCTCCGTTTCATCTTAAGTGGGGTCGGGGAACCAGACTACAAGAAAATGATTGGTTTTCTTGGTTTTTCCAGCATAAACAAGCCCAAAACGTAAAACAAGTCAGTTTAACAGTATTTGCAATAACATACTAATCCTCCAAATCCATTTATTTCTGAAAATTGCAGCAAAAGCACATGATGTACATTCCCTTTAACAATTGTGTGTTCATTTGTGGAATTTTTCTTTTGCGGATGACTTGGTCCTGAATTGGAATACATTTTTTAACACTGATAGTGCTGAAATGTTCTTAGATCCTACCTGGTATTTGAGGTCAACGCTGTCAAACTGGATGGCCAAATCTTGAAACTGTTCCCGCAAATCGCCGTCGCCAAAGACTCGACTAAGATACAGCCACTGTCAATAGAAAAAAAAACAAGAGCCGAAATGTGTAATTTGTGCAAGTATCAACTTTTGTAGTCAAGATTTTTGTCTGGAAAAAGTAAACATATAAGGATACAAACATTTGACCCATACTACAGAATCACAAATAACAAAGCGGCATAATTAAAAACAAATTAATTATTCAAAAATCAACAGTCAGATTAAAAGATGTTAAAATGACCTCTGACCTTAGTCTGGCAAGCGGTCCACAGGTCCAGCATCTCCTGTACATGTCTGAGGGTCGAGCACCAGACCTCTGCCTCGGTGCGCAGTTCGGCGAGGTGGGGTGAGACCAGCATGCACTGCAGAGTCACCAGATTATCCTAGGTGTATAAAAGTATGAATATCATCAGTCAACTCCAACCCTGCCCAACATCATGTACCCGCCTATACCCACCACGAACCAATAAGAAGAAACATATCTGGTGTCAGCACCACACGGGGAACTGCTGAAGTTGTGGCCTATTCATAAGACCCTGCTAGGGGCGTTAATAGAATGACCCCTCCCTTCCCATAATAACCCCGCCCACAATACTCCATACCCACCTCCAGCATATATTTAAGCTCCGCCTCTCCTATCAGTATAAACATATCTGGTATGTAATGACAGCTGGCATATTAGTAGCTACTGGTTAGCTCCCAGAGACATCATCATAATAACCCCCCTCCCTCCACCAAAACATAACCCCGCCCACAATACTACATACCCACCTCCAGCATATATTTAAGCTCCGCCTCCCCAATCAGTATGAACATATCTGGTATGTAATGACAGCAGGCATATTAGTAGCTACTGGTTACCTCCCAGAGACATCATCATAATAACCCCCCCCCCCCTCCCTCCACCAAAACATAACCCCGCCCACAATACTCCATACCCACCTCCAGCATATATTTAAGCTCCGCCTCCCCAATCAGTACGAACATATCTGGTATGTAATGACAGCTGGCATATTAGTTGCTACAGGTTACCTCCCAGAGACATCATCATAATAACCCCCTTCCCTCCACCAAAACATAACCCCGCCCACAATACTCCATACCTACCTCCAGCATATATTTAAGCTCCGCCTCCCCAATCTGTATAAACATATCCAGTATGTAATGACAGCTGGCATATTAGTAGCTACTGGTTACCTCCCAGAGACATCATCATAATAACCCCCTTCCCTCCACCAAAACATAACCCCGCCCACAATACTCTATACCTACCTCCAGCATATATTTAAGCTCCGCCTCTCCAATCAGTATGAACATATCTGGTATGTAATGACAGCTGGCATATTAGTAGCTACTGGTTACCTCCCAGAGACATCATCATAATAACCCTCCTCCCTCCACCAAAACATAACCCCGCCCACAATACTCCATACCCACCTCCAGCATATATTTAAGCTCCGCCTCTCCAATCAGTATAAACATATCCGGTATGTAATGACAGCTGGCATATTAGTAGCTACTGGTTACCTCCCAGAGACATCATCATAATAACCCCCTTCCCTCCACCAAAACATAACCCCGCCCACAATACTCCATACCTACCTCCAGCATATATTTAAGCTCCGCCTCTCCAATCAGTATAAACATATCCGGTAAGTTGGTGATAGCCGGCATATTAGTAGCTACTGGCTGTCTGCTTGAAGCATCTTTAGAATGCCCCTTGGTTCCTCTCTTGTGTTTACTGCTGCTGCCTGGAACCACGGCTAAAATATGATAGTGAGTAAATGCGAAAATGAAACAACAAAAATGAACAAACAAAAAATGCCATGAAAAAAAAATTGTCAATGATGATGGCAATAAAATTTTGTTTGGCTGAGAGCATGTCAAGTATGGCAGCCAAACCTAGTGCACAATATACTGAGCTACCATGTACAGTGAACGGCAAGTATGCACACTAGACCTGTGGTAAAGTCCATCGCAAGTCAAATCACAAGTCAATCAAAAGTCAAATCATGAGTCAGGCCATAAGTACCAGGGGATTGATTTATGACTGACTTGTGCTTGACTTATGACTCCTTAGGACTTCAAGACACGTTCCACTCAGTTTAACAGTTCCCTGTGGTCAATGTCAAATTCCGAACCTGCTCTACCTTTCTTGTTACATGTCTTGAGAGTTGATGACTTGGGTTTAACTTATGAGGACTTGTGACAACTTGACTGCAACTCTAAGTCTGCAGATATTCAAACCAGCTTAACGGTTCGATGTGATCAACGTCCAAAGACACCATCCTACCTTTCTTTGGCTTGACGACAGGGATGTGCTTGGCCAGCTTCAACTCCTTCTCCTCCCACAGCCTCCTGAGCTTGATCAGCGACTGCTCCAGGGCAAACTCCCCGGCCGCCCCGTTGCAGATGGTGTTGATCTGCAGGCTGTGCTCGCTCAGGCTGAAGGAGAGCAGCTCCTGGACAGTGTAGGGGTGGGAGGGCTCGTAGACCTGACCCAGGCTGACGAAGAGGGCCTTCCAGTGGCGAGGCTTTGGGCGGAACAAAATCAGACTGTTTACTTTGTTGGTTCATTACCGATAAATCTTAGATCTGGACATACCAGAAGGCAATTGCCAGGACCTTGAGTTACCTTAGAGGCAGGTCTGTTTGAAGTCTGACAGGAGGCGGTACCAGTGAGCTAGGACCTGATCACCAAGGGGAAGCTGCAGCTTCCACTTACCTTGAGTGAGTTACTGGAGAGTTTCTTGAGTAGCGGCAGGTCTTGTTTGAAGTCTGACAGAAGGCGGTACCAGTGAGCTAGGACCCGATCGCCGGGAGGAAGCTGCTGCTTCAACTGGCCTGCTGCCATCTGCCACTCGGTCACCTTGTCCAGCGCCTTGGTCACATTCATCTGAGAGGGAATAAAAGAAAGGTTAGTATCGCTTAACACTAGAGACTCTTTAGTCTAATAGTTTAAGAAAAACGATTGATGTTCTTGCAGTTGAAGATTGACAAATGTAAATTCCTTAACAAGAAGCACCATAAAGTATAAAAAAAAGACAAATGTTTGTAACAAAGGTTTGGGTTAATCATTAGAACACTTTTTTTTTCAAACCAACCGGCCTACAACTTGACTATCAAATATTTTGTCATTTGGAGCAGTCAAGGGTTTGAAAGGTTGGCGTGCTTTAATTGGTTATCAAGCTAATATGAAGAACCTACATGAACAAGACTACATCCTGAGAAGACCAATCTCCACAAGATGTATTGCTTCAAATTGATGGGCAAAAGTTAACCAAGCACGCAACGTTTGTGTTCTTGAGCAAGGTCCTTTACTACAATCGCTTCTCGCCACGCTATCAAATTGTATACTTGGTAGATTACAATATATTTTGGGTGGCATGGGTGGCTTGTGTGTAAAGCGCTCGCCTCTCAACAAGGTGACCACGGTGCGGATCCTGGCCAGCGCAGATCCAGGCCTGACCGCAGATCGCATGTGAGTAGAGTTGTGCGTTGGTTCTCTCCTGTGCCACGAGGGTTTTTCTCCGGGCCCTCCAATTTTCTTCCCCCCCCCCCCAGAAAATCGAACACTTTCGATCTCAGGCTATGCTCCGTGGTCATATATGGGTCGATGTGGCCGGCAGCCTTAGGCGCCTTTACGTGCCAGCGGCCCAACCACGTTGTAGCCCCGTCCTTCGCAATTCAGCATACCAGCTGCGAGTAAGGATGATTAGCCTCCCAAATTATTATAATTATTATTATAGAGCAACTGAAGATGGGCACTGTTTTAGCCCATACGTCATCTCACCTTTCACAAAGGAAAGAAGCTGGTTATCAAAATTCTCCCTTCCTACCTTCCTGAAGAGCTGCTGTTTCCAGTCCTTGATGTTGTAGCTAGACACCTCCAGGAAGCTCCAGAGAGTCAGCCGGATCTTCATCTTGGCCAGCATGAGGCCCAGCTGAGACGTCTCGAACTTCTGGCCTATGATCTTCTCCCGGTAGTGGCTGCACTGCACCATGCGGGTCTGCACCCTGTTGAACTCTTCGATCAGCTGTGAAAACATTCAAGAATCTCATTTGTTACTTCCAATAATCTTTAAAGGGGCAATTCCACGGTTACTCACGTTACATTTTTGATGTACTTTTGAGTTTCCTTGGGCTGTAATTACCTTACTGAAAAGGTTTAATAACTGTTATCCCCATGGTAGATAGAGTAGACCTAGACCTACCTAAGCACCAAAGAAAAAATGTGTTATGTATGATAAATGAGACGCACAAAATCGGTTACTTACGTTACATTTTCGTAACATGAGTAACCAATTTTGCGCATCTTGTGGAATTGTCCAAAGGTATAGTCCGTCATTTGTAATTTGTGCATTTTGTTCGTTTGAAGCAACAAAAGCGCCCAAGATCTAAAGAAGGGTGCTGAACAACTAATCTGATGAAGTTTCAGCTCAGCTTTAGCTGTATATTTCAAGAAAAACAGCCTTCTAGGATCTTGATTTCAAATCAGAAGTTGCTGAATTTGTTCTGTTTTGAGTTGGGCCTGAATTCAGCGTCCGAGACACGTTCTCACTGAGCTGATTGCAGCTAAACGATGTTGCGCAACGATCCGACGAGTTATAGCAACCATGAGCGCATGTGTGTCTTGTCAATGCGCTTCACCGAATAACAAAACGAACTCAATTATAACTGAAATTTCCAACGGTGCTTCTTAAGACGCACTGTTGGAAAGGCCTTCTTTTGCTGATTTCTTCAAAGTGACAGCTTGCCAGAAAGAATAATTTCACAGGGAGTTTAGTCCCCTTACTATCTTTCAACCAAGTATGTTTTTCAACAATAATTACGTCAGTTACTTTTTGGATAGCTGCAAATGATGGACTCTGGCTTTAAACAAAGACATGAAGCCAACACCAGAAGTGAAGTTTCGGTAAATATCCAAGGATCAAGGCTTTGTCTACTGAAGGCAAGAGCTCAAGTCCAGTCCTAGACTCAAACAAGAATGCCACTTTATAGTTGGGGATTACACTTACGTCGTTGCAATGAATATTTTTATGACTTTGCAAGCATAATGAGAAGTAGCGTGCATCTGCTCAACCGGAAATGTCCACACAAGCTTTAACGTGGGGAAATGACCACAAAGATTTTTACACTAAATTCCTTGTATCTTCAGAACGGACGGTCGCACAAATCTTGGGGTTGAAGATTATGAAAATTCATTCTTCTGGCTTTAAGTCTATCTATGTCTGGCTTGGAAAGGCATACAAACCACCGATCATTTTTTTATTGAAAAATGTGGGGTATGAGGCAATTGCCTATGGAGCGGAACAGAAAATGACATTTGTGAGAGACCTTTGGTTGTTTATCTCAACGTATCTCAAAAACCCAATGTCAGAGCACACTGTGGGTAGCGGTTTTGTAAAGAGGATGAAGTTCTCTTTCCATTCATATAAGACTCGATTTTATTGGTTAAGAAACCACTGATCATTTTTTCGTCAAAGTTTTCCCCCAATGACTGGATTTCTTGCAGAGGTCAGTTGTGTGAGTGCACGTGGCCAGCGTGTTGCATGTGGTATGCAAATCGCAAGGTCAATTGGGCAAGCTGTGGAGCTGTCTCGCACACATTGATCTTTTGCGCTTTTGGGCCCCAAACTTTTTATTATGAAATGACCTTCCAAAAAGCAAGCAAGCTTACCGCTTTGAGGGGTGGGAGGAGCTTGGTCGGGTTCCTGGAGGGGTCGAGGTAGTCACCGCTGGTTGCTGTGCTTGAAATACGCACCGCTTCTGCGTTCAGTTTCTAACCAAGAAAGTTTAAGAAAATGCATTTAAATTTCATACATAGGTAATTATGCATCTAAGCTATCGGAGCTGTAACCAAGTAAAAAAAAAGTATCACAAGTCACTCACTCGTCATCACAGGTAACTCACAAGTCATCTTATCTCAAGTGAAATAAACAAAGCACTTTTCTGTTACTGTTCATCCACTCTTAAGCCCTTTTCACACTAGAGCCTTTCAACCCGGGTTGAACCCAACCCTGGGCGAACCCAGTGCCGCCCCGGGTTGAGTTTTTGATTTTTCAACCCCGCGTTCAACCCCGCTTCATTTCACACTTGTTTCATGCAAATCAAGCTGATCATGCTCAGTTGTAACTGTTTTGAACCCTGGCAAGAATTTCAACCCGGGTTGAAAATCTCAACCCTGGTCTAGAGCAGGGTTGAGTTCAACCCGGGGCGAAATCAATCTCGGAGTTGATGCAGGGTTGAAATTCTTCAAGTGTGAAACAATGCATGTTTTCAACCCTGCGTCAACCTTGAGATTTGTCTAGTGTGAAAAAGGGCTTACCTTGTGTGACTCGACTTATGATTTTAACTGTGGCTGCCTTGCAATTGACTTGTGACTGACTTGTAATTGACTTTGTAATTGTGATTGCATTTCAACAGGCTCTCATACCTCATACGTATTCTCCTGGTAGCTCATCTGGATCTGCGTCTGAGTGTTTATTTGAATTGTGACTGGACTTGTGATCAACTTGTGATTTCTTGTGATTGGACTAGAGACAGACTTGTGATTGACTTGTGATCTGATCTGTGATTGACTGAATACCTCATATGTGTCCTCCAAGTAGCTCATCTGGATCGGGGTCTGGGTGTTGACAAACTCAGCGGCATCCTGCAACTGCAGCAGGAAGGCTTCCCAGCTCTGCCAGACCTTCTCCTCACATTTCTCCTCATCTGTGGTCAGGGAGCGGTAGCTCAGACGAATCACCTGAAAAAATGTCAAAGGTCAGGGGTCAAGGGTCAAGGGGTCATGATACAGTAGAATCAGAGAGTTTTGAAGTTTTTCCTCAGGAACATAATGTATGTTTTCCGTCCATGCATTCCTTCCTACAGGGTGTTTCAAAAAAAGGAAACCCAACTTCAAAGAATGAGTATGGACAGACGATATGTTTACTGGCTATAAAACTGGTATCATCTGAACGCGTAATCTCTATGCTTTTCAATGATACTATGTTTAGGTTTTCTGAGTCATGCATCAGTGAACATCATTGTCTTGAAAACTGGATGCAAAAATGCAGTTGGTTCACTTTCATAAATAAAAAAAACCACTGGGCACGGTGTGCCTATTGTTACGAAAATGTCTGTAAAATGGCTTGAATGTTAATCCTCGGGAAAATGGCACATTGTTTTGAACGTGGCTTGGTCAAAACAAGAAATTCATGACAAACAATAAAATCCAGTTTTGAAACCAACCCGACTTGTTTTTTGGTTTCTTTTTATGCACTCGTGTCTTCTTCTTGAATACTTATTCTCACGCACACCATGCCTATTGTGTTTGACATGAAAGTGAACCAACTGCAATTTTGCATCAAAATCTCATGACAGTGGCGCTCAGTGATGCATGACCCTGGAAATGTAAACAAGGTATCATTGAAAAGCATAGAGATTACGCTTTCAGATGATACCAGTTTTATAGCCAGTAAACATTTAGTCTGTCCATACTGGTTCTTCAAAGTTGGGTTTCCTTTTTATTGAAACACCCTGTATGGGTACTCCATCTATAAGCAAAATGTTCTTATTTTGAAAAAAAAAAAAAAAATGTTGAGAAGGGGGCAATTTGAAGAATGTGCCTGCCTAATCTTACCTCGAAGAGCGACTTGATATACTCCACTTCCTTCTGCAGGTCTGGCATCTTGACTTTGTAGGTGCTGTACTGCTGGGCGTAGTTGGCAAAGACGGCGATGTCTGTGTCTTTGTTCTTCATGCCCTGGTAAAAAAAATACGATGCAAGACACACAACTTTGAATGCAGAGATTTGTGAGTATCATGCTGATGATAATACATGTTATTTCCTATTATAAAACACTTCCCCTACTGAGCCCTAGTGCCCCTTCAACAAATGTTTGATTGTTTCAACATTGAGATTTGCACTTCGCCGATGTAATTTTTAAACACTATATCTTCAGTGTCGACCTAAAGGTTAGAGAAAACCCTCACAAGCTTACTTGGGCGGGACTCGAACCCACGACCTCCTGCTTACTAGTGCTGACGTCTTACCACTCGACCACCAAGCTTGCTGGGCTCTACTTTCCAATAGTAAAATACAATTCACTCAAAGGGCAAAATCTCACCCTGGTCCAAATGTGGATAGGGTTTTCAGTCCCTACCTGATTCCGTGAGTTTCCCAGAATATTCTATTGGGGTTTTCCTCCAACCTCTAAAACTGTAATTTCTTCTCATTTGTCTTCTCTCTACAGGTTTCATCAGGCTTGCGAGCTACAGTGCCTAGGGCGCTTTTGAGGAATCCTTGATTTCATAACCAGAAATAATTAATTACAATAAATAGAATAACATCTCCCTAATGCAAAATTCATCAAAAGTCCAGGACTTCTCTTCCGTTCCCACCTCAACAACCATCTTGACCTCCGAGATGAAAGCCATGGAGAACTTCTTGGCCTCGCTAGCGGCAAAGTTCAGCAGGTCCCTGAAGGCCGAGGTCAGGGCCGGCACCAGGTCCTCCTGTATGGCGCCGCAGTCCACATGGAAGAGGCCGTTGCTGGTCCTGAAGCTCCGGTCCACGTTGCGGACCTTCTCGCTCCAGTCCCTGATCTGGCCAAGTTTGGTCTGAAAATAAAGAAAGGCATCAAAAAGACATCTTCACAATCCCACAGCTTCATATTCAACAAATATTTAACCTATTAGTCCTTGTGCCTCCCCGAATCTTCCTGCCTGTTGCTCCCTGTACTGCCCCAACTCGCCCTGCCTGTTGCTCCCTGTACTGCCCCAACTCGCCCTGCCTGTTGCTCCCTGTACTGCCCCAAATCGCCCTGTCTGTTGCTCCCTGTACTGCCCCAAACCAGCCCAACACTCTATTGTTTTATGGATTTGTCAAGGAGTAGGTCAATGTACAGTAAACTCTGGCTAAACCAACATCGTACAACTCGTCAAATCGCTCAAGTCGGCCGTCTGACTACCATTGGATTTTTATTTCTAAGTCGGCTTTTATAAGTCGCCCAGTTCTTTCAGTCCCCCTTCCATTAAAAGCATTACAAAATCCTTTGTGTAAGTCAGCATTCAACAAATCACGCATTGGCATCGACTTCCTGTACTGCGGTTGGCAAAGTGTCGAGTGAAAAGTGGTTTCGCATGGCCCGTGATCGCTACATGCATCGGTGTCGAAAAAGGGTGTCCTACTGCATGCATCGCATATGCATCGCGAGCATATCGATACCAGTACCCCCTCTCGGCTGTACGCATGCGCTCTGTCCATTTTGGGGGTCGTCTTATTGAATGACTACTGCTGCAGTCAATGCGTGCGTGTATACCAGACCATGCACGCATTTAATTCTTTACTGTGCACGTACACATGTGTACCATGGTCTCCACTATCAATATCCCAAACGTGATGATACAATTCGAGGATTAATTTGCTGGATTCAACTCAAGTATTAAGGAGATAATCCAGGGTAAATCGAAGCCAATTAGTGGAATGAATCATGTGCGCAGAAGACCATTCATGTAAGTTGGCAAAATGATGACTTACAGCAGATATCGGCATTCGCGTAAGCCGTCACAAATTCTCGGGCCCCGAGAGTGCCGACTTAGCCAGAGTTTACTGTAATAGAATAAATTGAAATGCTGGATGACCGACATTACCTCCACAGTATAAGCCTGGGCACGTTTCCAGGCCTGGACTGACTCCGGCCTCCAGCTCAATGTAAACTGATGGATCTCCGTCAACCATGCTTGCTCGTCACAGAATGCCTTGATGTCTTGAGCCGCTGACTCCATCAGGGACTGATAGTTGGCCATGGCCGCCGTCACTTCAACGCTGTTACAAGTCGATCAAACAGGGAAATGTTCATGAAATCGCATATTCCCAGCTGTTTCTGGTACCACACTCATACTTTGTGATTTATTCCTATGGGCTCTGTGCGCCAACGAAAGAGGGCGTCCTTTTACCTAGCAACGACGTCCCATGGGCGGGACATTTAGCTGGTTGACGCTCACCGTTCCTTGTGTGTAACGCACGTACACCAGGGGATTTATACTATGTACACGCAGTGGTATGGCCGCACGTCGCGGCAAAATTGCTGTCAGGCAAGATGGCGTCGGTCGGTCACCCCCAACAGACTGTACTTTCTTTGCCGGTGAGGGGGTACTTGTGAACGGAGCGAATATTGACAATGTAATCATTTATATTATCATTGAAATAAAAACACTATCTTGGATCGCCATCTTTGCAAAATTTTTCCCATGTTGGAATTTCTACCAAAGTTAAAACTTCCCCAATTTTAATCTTTTCAAATTAACCTCGTTATTTTCATTTTCAAAAATAATAATTCTTACTCATTTTCAAGCGTGTCCATGAGGTTGTTCTTGTTGAGTGGGCTGTACTGACCCATCATGCCATGACCTCTGACCTGCAGGTCATCCTGGAACTGGGCCTTCATGACCAGGTCAGGGGTCGCGACCCCTAGCTGGTCAGTAGACTTGGTCCTTTCCTCTGGGGAAGAGAAGTTAAATTGATCATTCACGGAACCGTTCCTCTTGAAACAGTTTCACTTTAAAAGATGGCCTCTTTTAGAGTAATGTGGTGCTTTATGTCGCGCTTTATACCAAAGGTCTCAAAGCACTTCACAATTCGTCGCTGGTCCCGAGAAGTGACCTATCTCGGTTTTTGTCATTTCCAGAAAAACACGTTTAAAGTTGGGCCTATTTTGGATCAGTTATTTCCCCCATATCAATATTTTTGATTGACCAAGGATTTATACATATAATAGCTTGATAGTTAAATTATGAAATTAATTTGTTTCCAAGGCAAACAACTCAGCAGATTTAGGTTAAAAATATCCCCAGTATCAAACGTCACTTTCGTGAAAGTTTAACTTTCATTTTTCATGCACGCACACAGCGACATTTTCCGATAGGTCACTTCGTGGGACCAAAAAATGTTGATTTCTTCGTGGCTGATAGCGACCTATCTCATATACGCATGCGCGTGTGAAATTCAATGACCAATTTTATTTGGAAAAATACAAAAAAAATTGCTAATATTTTAATTGATATAAATGTGGTAATTATAACCATATTTAAAAACTGCTGAAGAAGCTTCTCAATGCATTTTTATTGAAACAACCATTTGAGACTCTTCGTGGGATCAGGATGAAGCAGCAATGGGGTTTAACAAGGTGACTTATCCAAATGTGTCGCTTCGTGAAAAACAAATTTCCACTTTCTTTGATCTGTCATTTTTTAAATTTCCCAAATCTAGCCAAAACCATATTTTTATCACTTTTTTTTTAAAATATTAAGAAAGACAGTAGCACAAAGAACATAATTCCATCAACTACTAAAAATAGCGAAAAATTCAGATAGGCCAGTTCGTAGGCTCTGCAATGAATTATTACCCCTGTTTATCAGGCCAGACCAGTTTTTCTGCAGCAGCTGGAGATCAGCGCAATCTGGTCTCTACCTTCACAGGTACTCATTTATATTCCTTGGTGGAGAGAGCAAATTTCAGTGAAGTGTCTTGCCCAAGAACATAAGCACCATGTTTCCTGTCAGGGTTCGAGCCAACAGACCACGGCACACGAGTCGAACACTGTAACCATTGGACCAGGGTACTCTACAACTAGAACTACACAATTTTACTAACAAAAATGGTGATTTAGCCCAAAAAAAACTTACCGCCTCCCCTAGGACACCCAAGAAAATCTCACCTCTTTCCGACAAAATTGGAGCACTGATGGCAATGCCGCCTTCCTCAGTCTGCTCTGCATTGAAGTCAGTTTCATCCATGCTTCCGTAATCACTTTCCCCATCGTGGGAGTCCGACCCGCGACTAGAGTCTTCATCGTCCAGTTGGGGTAGGTCTATCTCTGACTCCGTCCGGGCTGCTTCCGTCGTCTTGGGGCCGGACTTGAAAGTGACGGTGGACTTGCGAGCGGTAGTAGTGGTGGACTTGTTGTCGGGGATGGATTCAGCTGGCTGATGTCTGCGGAAGGGATAAGGTGAAGATGTGAGCCATGTTAGGAAAGGTGCTTTTTTGTGTGATTGAGTGGTGTATGGGGAAAATATTGGGGAATCATCACGACTCAAAATATATTCTTGGAAACCTTTTTTTCTAAAGGGCTGCACATGTTCCCGGTATGTGCTCATTGTGAGTGCCTTAAAGATATAGTCCATCAAGTCAATTACAAGTCAGTCACAAGTCAATCGCAAGACAGCCACAGTTAAAGGTATAGTCCATCATTTGTAATTTGTGCATTTTGTTCGTTTGAAGCAACAAAAGTGCTCAAAATCTGAAGAAGGGTACTGAACAACTAACCTGATGAAGTTTCAGCTCAGCTTCAGCTGTATATTCCGAGAAAAACAGCATTCTAGGATCTCAATTTCAAATCAAAAGTTGCTGAATCATATTTTGAATTGGGCCTGAATTCAGCGTCCGAGACACGTTCTCACTAAGCCGATTGCAGCTAAGCGATGTCGCGCACTGATCCGACAAATTATAGCAACCGCGCGCGCGTGTGCGTCGTGCCAATGCTTGAGGACGCTTCGCCGAATAACAAAACGAACTACTAATTTAAATTTCCTACGGTGCGTCTTAAGAAGCACCGTTGGAAAGGCCTTCTTTTGTTGATTACTTCAAAATGACAGCTTGCCAGAAAGATTAATTTCACAGGGAGTTTAGTTCCCTTACTATCTTTCAACCAAGTATGTTTTTCAACAATAATTACGACAGTTACTTTTCGGATAGCTGCAAATGATGGACTATAGCTTTAAATAAAGAGAGTTGTAATAAAGACATCATAAGTACAGATCCATCTGGCAGACATAACAACACACAAATGACTGTCATACCTGTCATGGACACTCTTCCTCATGGGTGATACCTCCTTCTGACTGGGCTCCTTCTCCCCGCCCACCCAGCCGCTAGCCACCGTCTCCATAGGGTGCGACTTGCTGGTGATCAGGGTGGGGATCTGATGCAGTAGTTTGGTCAGGCTGTCCGTGAAGGTCTGTCGGCTGGGGTACAGGCTCAACGTACCTGAATGCCAAATGCAAACAAATGTAATGTTAACCCCTTGCTGTTTTTTTTTTCAATTTAAGGCAGTATACCGATTTAAAGGGAATATACAACAGTTTTTACGAAATACCTTGCAGGATGTTGGTAAATTTCAGTCTAAAGCATCCTGTAAAATTATGGCACCTGGTGTGAAGCCATTTTCAAGAAAATGGTATTTTTGTATACATTTCCAACGGTGGTCGGCCAACCACCGTTGGAAAAACTTAACTATTTTTCATCTACTGCTCCAAATTTACCATTTTTTTTTCAGTCGAAATTTTGTTTGCTATTGGTTGCATGTTCATGAATGGGTGCAGGCCATCTAGACTGGTTCCCATACCCGTACAATTTTCCGGCATCTATAAATTGATCCATTTCACCTTCAGTGGAGTCAGGGAACCAGACTACTTCAAAAAGTTTTGTTTTTCTTGGTTTTTCCAGCATTTTCGAACACAAAACTTCAAACATATTACTGTAACAATATTTGATCTATTATACTAACCCTTCAAATATTTCATTTCTGAAAATTAAAGCAAAAGCCAATGATGTACATTCCCTTTAAGGCATTATACTGATTTAAGGCAAAAAAAATGAATTTGCTTGAAGGGCAAAACCTAATTTGAATTTGCTTGAAACACACGCAAGTGTGTATTTGCCTGCAATCGGGGACCCCCTATATGTCCCTCTTTTGTTTGTACTCTAACTTTTTAGGAAGACCTCCCATATGTTTTGCACACGAATCCAAATAGGGGACCTCTCGGGAATTGAGGACCCTATTGTCCTCTATTGTTCAATGTCCCCTACTGAATGCAGAAACAAACTTATTCCAAGTCGGTCTCTGGACAGATGTACTATTAAAAAGAAAAAAACTGCGTCGAAAATTTACTTTTTGGATGATTTTTGCCCAAATCTTTGAAATTTTGGCTGTTTGAATATTAATTGATGCTCCTCTTCCAATCAGAGCAATTTCTGATTTGTTTGGAGAAAAGTCAATTTTTGGCCAAATTTGGATTAAAAAAAAATTTGAGGACAATAAAACTTTGTTCCAAATTAGCTCGTAAACTAAATCAAGTATAATTACAACGGATCCTTACTGTCTTCGTTGAACACCAGCTTGGCAGCAAACAGCGCCTCTCGGTTGCCATGGGAACCACAACCCATGGTGTCGTTGACAAAATGGCAGATGTTTGTCCTGGCGAGGGCGAGGAGGTGGCACAGCAGGATCTGATCAACCAACTGGACAAAGTTGCCAAGATACCTGAACGACAGAACAAAACCAAACAAAATTGAAGTAAAGTGTCCAGCTTGGGGACACAAGCAGCAAGACCCCTCGATCGCAACTTCGGCATGCCATTACCATAAACAGCAAATTGGAAAAGTTCTAAAAGCCAATTACGAGCCAGAGAAACTTACTGAGATGCCTTAACAAGACCCAAACACAGATGAACGCAGTAAACTGTCCAGCTTAAGGACACTAGCAGCAAGATTCCCTTCCTGGATTCAAATGCCAATGCTTGTTCACAAGTCACAAATGTCACTAGGCAAAAGTCCACTGGCCAGAGCTGCGTGAACATGATAACGTTGTTAGGATGTCTGGAACTGAGCCACACAATAGCTGTTGTTGTAAAGTATCCAGCTAGGGGACACAAGACAGGGAATGCCAACATATATAATGAAAGTGATGGTCAAAATCTCTGTTAGCCAATCATGAGCTGGAGCAATCCCTACCTCGTTTCCTCCTGGGCCTTTTTCAGGTTCTGCTCTCGCTGTTCCTTCTTCTGGCGTTGGACATAAAGGGACTCCTTTGAACTGAAGGATATAAAAAAAAATACAAAACTTTGAGCCTTAAAAACACGCCAGAAAGTTTTGGAGGATTTAGCAGCAGTGAGAAAGGTAATGCAAAGCCACCACTGCTTTATGGCTTTAGAGTACTTTTTTATTTGTAATTTCAGGCGGAGGGGTTTTAAGTTTCGGCGTTATACTCACAAGAGTGCCTTGTCTTTCTTGGCCTGTGCCTCACAGAAATGCAACTTGTCAAAGGAATCCTGGCAAGTTCTTTCCAAGATCAGCTTGCAGTAACTGTTGGAAAAGAAAAAAAAACACTGATTACACACAGCTTTATGTGTTACTACTAAATTCTAAGATAAGATGGAATTTTGCGTCGGGGTGATATAAATCAAATTAGGTTTTGCCCTTCACCGACGTTTTTTAAACACTGTATACTCAGTGTGTTACCTCCCGAGTGAAAGTTGGAAAAAAATCACTCGGGTGGGACTCGAACCCACGACCTCCTGCTTTCTAGTGCAGATGTCTTACCACTCGACCACCGAGCTAACGGGATCGGTTGGCCGGTTCGAATCTGATGTACATAGCAGCGGGTACCGCATTTACTATGATAAGATGGAATTTTGCGTCGGGGTGATATAAATCAAATTAGGTTTTGCCCTTCACCGACGTTTTTTAAACACTGTATACTCAGTGTGTTACCTCCCGAGTGAAAGTTGGAAAAAAATCACTCGGGTGGGACTCGAACCCACGACCTCCTGCTTTCTAGTGCAGATGTCTTACCACTCGACCACCGAGCTAACGGGATCGGTTGGCCGGTTCGAATCTGATGTACATAGCAGCGGGTACCGCATTTACTATGATAAGATGGAATTTTGCGTCGGGGTGATATAAATCAAATTAGGTTTTGCCCTTCACCGACGTTTTTTAAACACTGTATACTCAGTGTGTTACCTCCCGAGTGAAAGTTGGAAAAAAATCACTCGGGTGGGACTCGAACCCACGACCTCCTGCTTTCTAGTGCAGATGTCTTACCACTCGACCACCGAGCTAACGGGATCGGTTGGCCGGTTCGAATCTGATGTACATAGCAGCGGGTACCGCATTTACTATGATAAGATGGAATTTTGCGTCGGGGTGATATAAATCAAATTAGGTTTTGCCCTTCACCGACGTTTTTTAAACACTGTATAATCAGTGTGTTACCTCCCGAGTGAAAGTTGGAAAAAAATCACTCGGGTGGGACTCGAACCCACGACCTCCTGCTTTCTAGTGCAGATGTCTTACCACTCGACCACCGAGCTAACGGGATCGGTTGGCCGGTTCGAATCTGATGTACATAGCAGCGGGTACCGCATTTACTATGATAAGATTTTTTTTTTTTTCCAACTTTCACTCGGGAGGTAACACACTGAGTATACAGTGTTTAAAAAACGTCGGTGAAGGGCAAAACCTAATTTGATTTATATCACCCCGACGCAAAATTCCATCTTATCATAGTAAATGCGGTACCCGCTGCTATGTACATCAGATTCGAACCGGCCAACCGATCCCGTTAGCTCGGTGGTCTAGTGGTAAGACATCTGCACTAGAAAGCAGGAGGTCGTGGGTTCGAGTCCCACCCGAGTGATTTTTTTCCAACTTTCACTCGGGAGGTAACACACTGAGTATACAGTGTTTAAAAAACGTCGGTGAAGGGCAAAACCTAATTTGATTTATATCACCCCGACGCAAAATTCCATCTTATCATAGTAAATGCGGTACCCGCTGCTATGTACATCAGATTCGAACCGGCCAACCGATCCCGTTAGCTCGGTGGTCGAGTGGTAAGACATCTGCACTAGAAAGCAGGAGGTCGTGGGTTCGAGTCCCACCCGAGTGATTTTTTTCCAACTTTCACTCGGGAGGTAACACACTGAGTATACAGTGTTTAAAAAACGTCGGTGAAGGGCAAAACCTAATTTGATTTACTAAATTCTAGGTTGATAAGAATGTGTTCACTGCATTCAGAAGTGTGTTTTTTGTTTGGTTTTTTCTGTTTCTTGGCAACTTTTGGACTTACTTGAAGAACTTGTCCAGGATTCCTTCACCAGCTCGTTGTTTCATCTTGGCAGCATGCTCAAACTCGGCAAGGGTAAAACAACGGCTGAACAACAAAGACAAATAGACTTGTAAAATAAGTTCAGAACAAGAACCAGCAAGTGGTTACAGATTACGATGTCATATAAGTCGGTATGCCCATCAGGGGTGTGAGTGACCACTGATAAAAATAGCTGAAAACAGCTGAAAAAGGTGTAAAAAAGCTGAATCTGGAGATCTCCTATACTTTTGTACACAGCAAGTGAGGGAAAAAGCTGGGGGAAAAAGCTGAAATCCAAAACCAAAAAAGCTGAAATCAGCTTTAAAGCTGAGATTTCACACCCCTGGCCCACATTTGCAGTGTCCTGACCAAAGAAAGGTTAATTAATTTGGCAAGTTTTTTAACACATAAAAACAACTCATACTGGGTGGGTTCCTGACAAAGAATTAGTCTGTCCGATGAAAATGTTGGCAACTTTGACTGTCCCTAACAAACCACTTTTGAAATTGTAATGTAACTCTCCACTCCCACTTATTCCTCCGTTTGACTGAGCAGCCAATCCCAGCTATGTTTGTTCTTGTTTTGGGTCGTTTCTGTTCATTTGTTTTTGTGGGGGCAGGGGTTGTTTTTTTCTTTGGGAATGTTTTGCTTACTCTTGTTCCAAGGGTAGCAGCTTGACTGTGGACAGTTCCTGCAGCAGCTTAGACACCTGCAGCAAGGCAGCACCAAACAGCGGCACGGCAGGTAGCAGCGACTGCTGGATGCGACGACGGATGCTGCTGTACTCCAAGAACTTCTTATTGGACCGCCACCTGTCATGACAGGTGTGGGAAGAGTTGGGCAAAAAGACTCTATCAAAACGAGGCTTTGGCCTTTCTCTGTAATCTTTGCCATGAGTTTGGTTTTGGTTTTTTCTTTGGCCTACTGTTTAATATAACTTTTTCTTAAGATGTACATAGCAGGATTTGCTCCCCCCCCCCTCCCCTCACCATGTAAACGGAATATTATTCTCAGAAATCAACCCAATCACATTTCAATCACAAGTCACAAAGGAAGACGAAAAGCTCATTTGAATTTGGGCGATTCACAAGGCAGTGCGCCACCAAGAGTTGGCCATAGAGAGTCTATTTTTCAAGTTCACGGTCGACAAAACATGGCCCATTTGAGTAAGTGTCAGTAGACAAATTGAGCTAATTTGTTATAGATTGGGGCGTAGCGTTCTGCTGCCTTACAAAAAACACCATATTGATAAAAAGAAAAAGAAAAAGGCAAACAGATACTCGAATCATACGCTTACGAAACTACTGACTGGAACAAACTGACAATTTCAAATGTCCCGCGCTGTGAATTTGTCGACCATCTCCCACAATGCACTGGGAAAAATGAACTCTCCGTGGCAAACTCTTGGTGGCGCACTGCATTGTGAATCGCCCGAATTAATGGCACTTGACTTAAGACTGGTTGACTAGTAATTGACTTGTGATGACTTTTTAACAATTCTGGAAAATTTCGACAAGTTTGTAACCAACACACAAGGAAACCAGAGAGAAGTTTCACCTGTGAAATGCCTTTCTGATGAGGAAATACTTGAAGAACGGCATCTTGGTGAGCGTGCTCCACAGGATGGCTTCCCTGTGCCAGTCATACAGTGACATGCTTTCAGAGGTCTGACCTTTGACCTTGTGCATGATGCCAAAGCAGGATACAATCCAGTGCTCAGTGGGATCCGCCTGAATAGGAACAAAAATCCAGAATTGTTTGAAAAGGAACAAAAATGATCACATGTTTCGTTTCAAACTAGTGTTTTCCAAATGTGCAACCTTAATAGCACTAAGTACGCGAACTAAATAGCACACTAACTTAAAGCCAGAGTCCATCATTTGCAGCTATCCCCGAAGTAACTGTGGCATAATTATTGTTGAAAAACATACTTGGTTGAAAGATAGTGCGGGGACTAAACTCCCTGTGAAATTATTCTTTCTGGCAAGCTGTCACTTTGAAGAAATCAACGAAAGAAGGCCTTTCCAACGGTGCGTCTTATGAAGCACCGTTGGACATTTCCGTTGGTAGTTCGTTTTTTTATTCGGTGAAGCGCGCGCAAGCGTTGACACGACGCACACGCACGCAGTTGCTTTAATTCGTCAGATGGGTGCGTAACATCGCGTAGCTGCAATCGGCTCAGTGAGAACGTGTCTTGGACGCTGAATTCAGGCCCAATTCAAAACATGATTCAGCAACTTTTGATTTGAAATTGAGATCCTAGAATGCTGTTTTTCTCGGAATATACAGCTGAAGCTAAGCTGAAACTTCATCAGGTTAGTTGTTCAGCACCCTTCTTTAGATTTTGAGCACTTTTGTTGCTCAAACGAACAAAATGCACAAATTACTAACGATGGACTATATCTTTAACTTCAACAGCATAACAACCAACAACATGACTACAAAATTCTCTGTGTGCGATCACTGGCATGTCTACGCCAAAAAATTAATTTAAGGTAAGCCCAACTTTTCTACTTGAAGCATTGCCTTGAAATCGGCTGCAAGGGAGTTATGATTTGAAAAATAAGAAATGGCATAATCGAACAAGCATTAATAAAGTTTTACATAAGCATGCTGCAGTTCAGTTTTCTGCTTATACCTTGTGTTTTGGAACGGCCACCAGGTCATAGGGCTGGAAATGACGGTTGGGAGCCTTGTTGAGGTAGACAAACTTGGCCTTGCCAAGGTGACGTCCCTTGCCGAAGAGCTCCACTGCCTCCTTGCCTGTCAGGGGTGGGGGAGGGGGAAGCTGCAACCAACAACAAAACAGTCAATAAACAATCAAGCAACAATTAGGTAATAACAGGATCATTAGTTGCAATGCAACACTGCCTTGGTCTTTTTCATGTAATAAGAAAACAAAACTACAAAATGAGAAGAAACAAAACGTAGTAAAGATCCCAAGTTAGGCATCACAATTCAGTTTTAAGAAAAAACAGAGAAAAAATTTTGAAAACCCCCCGAAGAAACGACAAACACAAACCGATTCTTCTTCCTCACTGACGGCATAGTCTTCCTTAAAGAGGGTGGAGTCAACAGTCCAGGAGGGCGGGGTCTCTTGTACGGTGGAAGACTTGGCAAGGACGGATTCGGAAGATGCCTGCAGAAAAAAGAAAGAATTGAAAGTCATATGAAGTGGGAAAAGCTTCTTGTAAATTTCTGAAAACCAACTTTTCACTTATTCTTTCATTTTTCCCCCTTCCCTTTTAATTAATTCTTCTCAATTCCTCTATGGGAATATAATATGCGGAGTGCTGTGGCCTCGTGGTTAAGGGCACTGGATTCGTGGTCTGTGGGTAAAGCTGCGGGTTGTGGGTTCGAGTCCAGCCGGGGTCATGGTGTGTGTGCTCTTGAGCAAGGCACCTTGTCACTCATTGCTGCTCTCCGCCCAGGAGTAAATGGGTACCTGTGAGGGCAGAGATGGTTATTGTGATTGAATAAGCTTGCTTGCGCCTAACAGGCTGCATCGAGCTGTATACTCCCCAGGGAGCTGAGATGGTATTTGGAATGTTTAATTGGCCCAATGATCAGGGGTAATAATACTACTGTAAGCGCTGTGATTTAGTTTACTAATAAGAGCGTTCTTAAAGGGAATATACATCATTTGCTTTTGCTGTAATTTTCAGAAATGGATGGAATTGGGGGGTTGGAAATATATAGCAAATATAGTTACACTGACTTTTTTGAGGTTTTGGGTTCGAAAATGCTATAAAAACCAAGAAAAACGATCATTTTCCTGTAGTCTGGTTCCCTGACTCCATATAAGAAGAAACAGAGCAGTTTACATACATTGGGGAATTGTAAGTTCAGGGAACCAGTCTAGCTGGCTCGTACTCGTTCATAGGTTTGTAATTGATTGCAAACAAGTGCGATGGTCAAATGGGGCCAGTATTTGAAAAAAAGCCAGTTGTTTCCAACGCTGATCGGCCGATCAGCGTTGGAAATTGATACAAAAATACCACTTTTCTTGAAAATGACAGTATACCAGGTGCCATGATTTTACAGGATGCTTTACACTGTCATTCACTAACAGTCCAGCAAGGTATTTCAAAATGATTTGGTAGTTTTATTTTTTGATGTTTGCAAATGTTGTATTTTCCCTTTAAATGCCGTTTATTATTATTATTATACTACTTCTTTCCCGCACCTTTTCCTGTAGATCCAGGTTGAGTGCAGCAGCAGTCAATCCCAATCCTTCGCTCCAGACAGCTTCCCGTTTGGTGGTCTCCTGCACCACAGCAGGCAGGGCTTCCCGTAGGTCACTGAAGCACAGAACCTTGGGCTGGAATCGGGCCTCCTCACCCTGGGAAAATGATCGTTGTCAATAACAAGACTTTAACTCTTTCAGTGCCAAAATCGTACATGTACGAGGTATATTTGTTAGTTCGAAATTGCCAACCTCGTACATGTACGAGGTAATGTTCTTACTTAAAATCGCAAAACCTCGTACATGTACGAGGTAGAGTAAGCATGTTATCACAAGGGGGCGCTCTCGCTCTTTCTAATAATATCATTTTCACTCAGGTACAACCTGTATTTATTTGTTTCATTTGAGTTCTTGCGAGAGGGCACAGCACTGACACTCGTATTTTCTGCAAAAAGTGCGGTATTCACCTGTGTGCAGGACAGTGTTTCAGGGCGTAGCACTATGTACATGACTACTATTGACTTTCCAATGTACCAAGGATGTACCAGAGAGTAACAACAACAAATTTAGTGAGTAAAACTTATTTACTTTTATTTTTACAGAATTTTGAACAATTAAAAAAAAAAGCTATGAGACCTGGCTTATTTTCGGGATAGATTTGCTTAAAAAAAAAAAGAGGTTCCAATGCAAAACGTCATGCTATATTGATAGTAACTTCTCCGCTCATATGCTATTGGTGCATCAATGGTTTCACCGGAAATAAATTTGAGCAAATCGTCCAGAGCAATCAAGTATGAATACACACATAGTATTACAACATTTGTCAGATTCCAGAACATTTTGGGTGAATGTACCAATTCGAGTGTTTAACTTATATTTTCCAATTTCGTTCTCATGTTCTCTAGGTAGGCTGAGTTTCACATAAAAAGATTTCACACTGCAAAAAAACAAACAAAATTTGACCAGTTAAAGGGACACTAGGTCCTGGAACAGCCCAATTGGGCTACAAAACGCACTTTGAACGAGATGATGTTAATCGGAAATAACATTTAAAAGTTGGATATAAACATCCACACAACTATCCTTTCAAAACTGGGTGTTTTTATGATTTTCCTGTATTATGCGTGCGAGAACGAATTTCGGGGTCCACTTTTGCGACCCCATTAATTCGAGCTGTTTGGATGCTAGTTGTGATTTCATTCGTGAAGTGTTCGCCTTTTGCGGACGTTGAAGAAACCACTTTTTTTGCATTGATGGTGATTGGTCACCGCTGTTCCCGAGGCATACAACGTGTATATCATACGCTGAGAACGACATGAAAAACGTATTCGTACTCCGTCATGTCCAATGTAAACAAGTGGTTTTTTTTTCGTCTTTTCTCGGGAACGGTAAGACATTAGGTTGGTTTCCTTTCAACCAGATGTTTGAAATACGCTAATTAAACAATCCAAAACATAAATTTTTCGGGGATTTCAGGACCTAGTGCCCCTTTAAAGTTTTCACTTATTTTGTACACTGTACTTACGGGTCGTTCCAGCGTGTAAGGATGTCTGCCGTCTGGTAGGAGCATAGGGTCATGGGAGTTATCATCCAAGCTAGGCAGGCTCACTGCGGGTGGAGTAGGGGTCCGGAAATTCCTGTTGTCGCCCCCGGAAGCGGTAAGAAGTTCTACACGCTGTGAGCCAATACAAAATTAAATTTTAAAAGATATTCATAAATACCTCAGACAGTTTAGCTATTCCTATTGGTCGAGAGCCCGTCACGTGGCCGGTCTTAAACGGATGATAAAGACATGGCTAGCTGGTCTTAAACACTTTTCCAGTGTCACAATAAAATGTGGACTCCTAGAAATCCAGTGCCTCTTACCGTTTCATTGGTAGAACGTTCACAATCCTCACGTAGGCATGCGCAACACTACAAGCGAGTCAGAATTTTATAGTTCTAAATTCAAAACGCAACGCCCCAGGTGCGTTCTGCGTGACTTCGCGCAGAACATGTTACGCGCGCGTCAATCTCCATAAAAGGGTTGTTTACATCTTACTCGCCAGCTGAACACTCCATTATTTTGCTAGAGGGATGTTTCAAAAAGCATGAAGTGAACTTGTTGAACAAAATCGGGATTTTTTGAACGAATTATTTGATTTTTTTTACGGATAAGGTATTTATGAATGGGAATAAATATGTGCTCGGTCGGTATTTATCACTCTGTTTAAGACTGCTTAGAGTCTGGGTGCTGATAATTACCCTCGCCTCCGGCTCGGGTAATTATCAGCACCCAGACTCTAAGCGGTATTAAACGAGTGATAAAAACCTCCGGAGCACATATTTATTCCCTTATTAATTTTTTTTTTTTAAATGTACGTAGTTCAATAAAATTTACTGCGTAACCAAAACACTGACTGATTTTTAAAGATCTGTGAACAGGGTTGAAAAGAATTTCAGACAATTTGTTAAATCTAATTAACTGTTTGAACATATGATATTCATGTTTAGAATGACTTCATTTAAATTTTGATTAATTACAATGTTCATTTTATTTTATTGTAAAATCAGTCATTATGATATTCTTCCTAATCCTTTTGTATATGTGAAGTCCCTGTGTACATTTTCAATAGATTTGGTGCTATAAAAATGAACTTTGTTGTTACTCATTATTATGAAATCACACGCTAGCTTTTATATATTTTGAAAGCTTCGCAAATTTTATTGAATAGTTCCATTGTTCAAATGTTTGATTTTACCTTTGGAAAGACACTGGCCAGACTATCCATGATGTTCAGGAGAGGTTGATGTTTCATAGCCCTCTGTTGGGCCTGGTAGTAAATCCTATCCACATAGTGGGAGATCTGCCATACACAAAGTACAAAAACAGTCAGGGCACAATTTGCAGGGAAAGAACAATGATAAGGAAATATTGTTGTCAGTACATTGGAAAAGCATGTCTCTTGACTTGAGACTGGACTGCAGATGTGACTTGAAAAAAAAAAAAAATTAATATAAGGCCAAAAAAAAAAGGCTCCGGTTTCTGGTATGGAGCTTGCCCCAAAAGTGGTGCGGCGACGCGGCTTTTTTTTTTTTTACCTGTTTTTTTTTTTTTTTTTTTGGCTTCAAATGTCGGCTGATGACTGCAAATGGTGCCCGACTAAACTTAGTGCAAATATATGGGAGTCCAGAGAGGCCACATAAATCTTATTCTCGATCATAACCCCATCTAAAAACACGTTAAAATTATGCAGCAGCAGAATTCCAGTCAAACCAGTGAGTTTGGCGGTTTTGAAACATCATCTTGTATTGAAAAAAAAACTTTTTCATTTTGCCGACGCGCATGGCTACGGCGACGCGCGCGCATACCAGAAACCGGAGACTTTTTTTTTTTGGCCTAAGTCTACCTCTTGTCGATCTTCAATGAGATGGGTGTAGGGCACGATGAGATCCAAAACATCTTGAAGGAATCTCCAGTGAGCTGGGCTACAGGAACAGGAAATATGGGAGAAAGTCACAAGTCAAACTATTTCTATTGTTGTTTTGGTTTCTGTGCCTGGTCAATTCTAACACATTTTGAATGTAGAGTTTTCCCCTTCATTGACGTTAAAAAAGTTGCAGAGGTCAATTTCGACCTGTTAAAAAAGTTTGATCTTTTTGATGGGAAAATAAGACAAATGGTGGGGTAACTGTCCAGGTTTGATTCCTGCCCTGGTCCACATGTGGATTGGGTTTTCAGTCGCTACCTGATTCCGTGGGTTTCCCCCAGAATATTCTTCTGGGGTTTTCCTCCCACTTATAAACTGCAATTTCTTCTCATTGTCTTCTCTCTACAGCTTTTTTCTGGCTTTCGAGTTTGAGGAATCCTTGGTTTCATTACCAGAAATAAACAATAATAATAATAATTCAAGTCAAAGCAGACAACCATGGTTGGCTTCGCCTACCTGTTGTTCTGTAGCGTAGCGATAAAGACCTCCCTCAATTGTTGCATCAATTCAAAGACATCCTCCTCCGTCGCCACTGACCCCGCCTCCCTCCGCAACCCCCTGTCCAAGCGCCCTCTAGTGTCGGCGGCCCATTGACTGGCGTACTGGTGGAGGTCCGCAAGGCTGTCCGTGTCTGTCAACGAGGAAGCCTTGGTGTTGAGGGGCGTCAGTGGGTCCGTTCCTGGGGTTGTGCCGTTTTGGGTAGTAGTTGTTGGCGAGGAAGGTACTTCATTGGTAGATGATGACATTGTTGGGGATTAGGCCTACGGAAGCTCACTGATGGTAAAATGTAGATGCCTCGGTTTTATCATGATGAAAAGATGTCCACAGAGCCTGCATTAAAAATATTGACACATTGTAATAAGCAGTGTATGTTTACAAAAAGATTTCTACAAATGAACTGAGCGTGGCTATATGTGTAGGCACGTTTACGGGTCTAATTAACATGACCTATGACCTAGAGAAAATTACTGCAAACTTGTTGGCAAACTCACTGCAGATTTTGCCTGGAAACCACATCTAAACACCTAGAGAAACAGAATTCAATTTTACCTGGCTAGTATTAATATTAACAGGATTAACCAGGTAAGTATCTTCCATGGTAGATATCAATAATCAAGAGAAAAAAACAGCCCAATTTCCATTTCCTCAAAATCAGCTTTTCCCCACAAATAGCATACGACCACTGTGTGGCTCACAATACGGAGGAAGTCCAGTATTTGGGCCACATTTATGCAGCTATGCTCGCACGAGATGTGTTCTACCGTTATTTGAGACAGTAGGCCCTAACACCATTTAAAATGCTGGTGGTCCCATAACAAAACAAGAGCGTGGATGAGGTTTAACTCAACTGAAAAACAAGGGGCAGAATGTTGCGACCCGACGCTCCTTTTTTCTTCATTTAGGCCTAGTATCATCTCAATAAAGGTCAGTCATTGCAAACAAATTGAAAGACATGAATCTGGGACTGAGAAACATTTTCAATTTTGTTAGGAAATACTAGGAAAATTAGACATAGACTTTGTTTGTACACAACCACTGTGATTGTGTGAAGTAGTAGCGTCTGGATACTGCATTCTTTCCAAAACAAGTTTTGTTTTTTATAATTTTCATCCTTGTACATGTTCTAGGCCTACTTCTCAACAAACTTGACTTCTTTAACAGCCAAATTTGATTTGGTTGGAAGGTCCAACCCCCCCCCCCCCCCCCTTCCCATGTGTGTTTGGCTACCACGTTTCTGCTGGTTTATCCCGCCGCGGCGGCACCACCAACATGAACAAAGTTACATTGTATGATCACAGGACAGTGTGTATTTATACTGATTTAAACCGACAAAATATTTTTCAAGATTTCTACACTTTAACTTCAAATGGTATTGATGAATTCCCTTGGGCAATGTATAAGTAACCATTTTCCCTCCCACAAATTGCGTGAAAACTCACCAACAAATTCAGTTTTTCACGTTTTTAAAAAACTGTCAAACACTGCCGAACGAAAGCTTCGTGTTGCCAAGTCGCCATTTTCCTCTCCGACATAAATAAACCGAATGTCACGAGCGCCCTCTATCGTCACCGAACGAAATGTCCACAAACTTTTTCGCTGGTTCCTTCACCAAGGCTCACAATATTTAAGCGCAAATATAAGCGTAAGGAACCAGTCAGTTGTCAATCAATTAACGACTAGAGAAGGGGACATCCCGAACAGAACTATCTAAAACTTTCATCTCAAAACACGAAACAACACGAACTATTGGGTACTTCTTCGTTGAGTTTCATTTTAAGGAAGACCTTTTTGTAAATTATGAGAAGTCTGCTGCCAACTCGATCTCGTCAGTAATATGAACTCTTGAAAAGTCAGCGAAAGTTCTACCTGATGAAAGGATATGGCACTGTCTGAAACAGTCACTGTCTTGAATTAGTTATATTTGGACTGAGGTCTAATAAATCAGATATAACAAGTAAGTGAACATGAAAAAAAAAGTGTCAAGTCGCCACACGAAGTGAAATTAGAAGTTTATATTTTAGGCCTTCATTGCGTGTTCATGGTGAATCAGTGACAGATCCCTCGTTGACAATACCGCCCTCTAGCGCCATTATGTGTAATAATGAGCTGCGGCCTCTATCGAGAGCAAAAATGATGGAAAGCATCGTAGATCGCCAATTAATTTTTTGAATGAACAGCTAAGCGCGGGCCTGGTTACAAGACCTGATGAAATCGAGCCTAACTAACACCAGGGAGAGAACGCGGCTGATGATTGGTTACACGATGCAGCAGGAAAACATTGGAAGCTCATAGGACTCCGTACAACGCTCAAAAGCGAAATTAAATCTTGATTGATGACCGAAATTTAATCTGAGATAATTTCGGGCGCTTCTCATGACAATGAACTCGTTGTTGGATGTCATTCGCGGACAACAAAATGCTTCTTCTGTTTTTCCTTTTCCTTTTTTTTCCCCCCAGACCCTATATTAGGCAGGAAGTCGGCAGAACGCGGAAGAAATGTAACACAACACTCCACAACATGCACTCAATATAATTGGAACTGAAAATCAAATTAATATTTTGATCGATGACATGACCCGAATTGGATTTAAGTTATTTTCGAGCAGACTAGTTAGTGTGGTTTAAATTATAGGTTTTCATGGACAAGAACTGAGCATCATTGTGAGAGACTGTTGCACAGGAAGTCAGTAATAAAATTGAGTAATTGAGTAAAACAAGTGGCTTTTGAAGGAATTGGACAAAGCTCATCTTGACCTAGAGCAAAAAATGTGATCATTATCACTTCAAACACAAGCAATTCAAGCAGTGGCGGAACTACCCCCCCTCCCCCGAACAGATGTCCATACTCCCCTGATGCCCCCCCTCCTGTTTAAAATCCCCCCCTGTTTGCCCCCAGTGACCCTATTCCCCCAACACCCCCTTGAAAAATGTATGCACCCAGGTGCCCCCCCCCCCCCCCCCCCCCCCACTGAAAAATTGGCTGGGTTAATTTTACCAAAGAAAGGGTGAAAACTGGAACTACCCAAACTTGGGTTGTTCTATAACCAATTGTTTAGGTTATAATTTATGCAAAATTCAACCAAAAGTTGTAGTCATACAAAGACCAAATTAAATTTTGTCTTGAATGACCACAAGTTTTGGTTGAATTTAGCAGAAATTCTAACCCAAACAGTTGGTTATAGAACAACCCAAGTTTGGGTAGTTCCAGTTTTCCCCCTTTTTGGTAAAATTAACCCAGGCAATTTTTCAGTGCCCCCCCCCCCCAAGATGGCCGGTATAGCAGGTCACGCGTGAGGGTTGGAGTGCAAGGAGTCCAGACCGAATATCAGTCAGAAAGCATAAGCCTTTTGTTACAAAAATGACCAAGTAAAATTTGATGACCCAATTTTCTTTGGTCATAAAACTCGCCCGGCCGAACACAACGTGGAATGTTCAGTATAGTCCGCAGTGCCCGGTGACGACCGTGTTCGGACTACCTGCGCCGATGGGGCTGTCCGCGTCAATCAACGGTTGGATTAATTGGCGTTGTCTCGGTGAACTTTCTTTTTTTTCCCCCAACAACGGCGAAGTATGGCCGAACCTTCCCCTTGTGTGCGGTCAAGTGTGGTTCAGATGGCGTGCTAGTGTGAGGCATTCCCAACGATCGCAAGACGGATGCTTTTGTCGTTAATTTCTCCTGTGTCGTGCTTGGGCGATTTTATGGCCTGGGAAAAAAAGGGCGAGAAAGAAAGAAGACGAAAAAGATTCTTGATGAATCGCAGGAGACATTGCTTGTCATCCATCAGCTGCAATTAGTACGATTGCGTCCCTTTCAATAAAGGTGTCAGGGAAAATGAATAGATTGGCCTGAAAAGTGCAAAGCATGTCATGCACAAAAGTCCTTGATTAATTATCACTTTTAATCAGACACTTTATTGATATCATTGGCGCAGAGCCAATACTCTTCAAATTTCAAAAGGAAAGCTTTTTCAGTGCGGCTGTAAAGCCTCAAAAACTAATACAAAAATACTGTTAATATTTTTTTAGGAAACCGCGGTGCACTTTCACTTGCGTTCAGTTGTGCATGCGTCATTTCTGTGCCATTTAGTTGTCAATAATTGATTTTTTTTTTTTTAATCCAAGTTGGCTTTTGACAACTACACAATTACTGCCAGGGCGTGAAGTAGATACATCCTTATTTGAATCCAGGGGCCCGTAAAAACAACAAGCATGGGCCTATAATTAGTATAGGAAGTATTAAGCGGTTGATTTCGAAACTGATTCCGAGTCATTGGGCAGCCTACTAGGCGCCAGGCGGGAAGCATACGTGATAGTGTATCCGCACCGAGAGATCTGGAGTTAGTCTGCCATACGAGGCTGAACAACAATCCCATCCTCCGTGTCAATGTGTAGATGTAGACCAGTGTGCATAAAGTGCCATACATTTCATTTTCAATGAGATCGATAAACACTTCGCTTCTTAAAACAAAATCAGGAAAAAATAATCACAAATCTCCAAGACTATCAAACCCACATCGAATTAGCTACATTGTTGATGGCAGTTTTGGGTGCTCCGATTACAGAAGGCTAGTCCTTCTCTGGATGGCACCCCCATTCATACTCTAATTCTGCTTATTTACTTATTTATTTAACTACATTTAATTGTATTACACCATGTAAACTGTTGCTTATGTATGTACATGTATGAATGGAAATAAAACAAGCAAACAAAACATTATCCGTCTTTTCTTTCTCTTGGTTTTCGCAGGTAATGACAACGACAATAATATAGCGCTTACAGCATTTTATGTCAATGTCTCAAAGGGTTTCTAAAATTTCCGTGACCCAGTGTTCATCAGGTCATGAGACCAGTTTTTTCAGCAGCTCGAGATCAGTGCAGTGGTCTCTACTATAATTATAGGGGACCCACTACCCATGCTGGAATGAGCAATAAGAGTAAAGTGTCTCGCCCATCCCTTGAAGAACACCGCGTGTTCCGCGAATACCATCGGACACTATTGGGTGGACTATATGTAGAACCAAGGCGGCATCGTCCCACGAACTCCGTCCGACGTCCACCCATGGACCATTTACACACGTTTGAAAGTGGGAGAATTCGGGCGATTCACAATGCAGTGCGCCACCAAGAGGTTGCCATGGAGAGTCAACTTTTCAAGTTTACGGTCGACAAAATATGGCCCATTTGAATGAGTGTCAGTAGACAACTTGAGCTATTATGTTATCGCTTACGAAACTACTGACCGGAAAAAAACCGAACAATTTTAAATGTCCCGCGCTGCGAATTTCTCGACCATCTCCCACAATGCACTGGGAAAAATGAACTCTCCGTGGCAAACTATTGGTGGCACTCTGCATTGTGAATCGCCCGAATTGTGAACGGCTGGAGAGGAGAGACTACCTGTGACACTGCTGCACTTTCTATGAGCTGAGTGCGTGGAGTGTGGTATCCCGCGTCAAGAGTGGGGTCGGTTCAATCGAGCAGGACCGTGATCTCAAACATACACCAACAATCCTAATTCCGGTCCAAAACACTATTAAAACTTATCAGACCAGAAACCTCTTTAAAATAACGTTTCCTCGGATACTCGTGTGCTCGCTAGTTGTGTTTATGGGGTATTTTGTTTTGCTATAAGAAGTTTAAAAAAAGGAATATGCGCTTTACAAACATCAGTACTTTAATTTGATTTCCAACGGTTTTCCCATTCACCTTAGATGTTTTAGTCATCAATATAGACTTTATTCGCGAGGAACTCATTTTTGATCGTGTTCCCAGAATGTGTTTTATAATTTGTAAACTGTTGAAGGGGATGGTGCCAGACTATGCGTTCCAAGCCTCTCTTTTAATTTTTCTTTTTAAATGTGGCTTTAAACACTACGGTAGCCTTTATGTTTAATCACAAATTTAAATTATTCATTCAAGCAGACTGGTACTAATTTGTAATTAATTTTATTTCATTGCTTTCATTTGTATTCGCAAGTTCCCAAAAAATTAAGATTTTACCTCGCTTACAATTTAATATGGCCGACTCGTGAATGAAGCAAGTATTGTTGTTTTTGACAATTTTTCGGTGTTGCCTGATGATAGTTTATAAGAGTCAGTTGTGAGTCATGTTGGACTAACATAATGTGGGGCCAATTTCATAGAGCTGCTTAAGCACAAAATTTGCTTAAGCACAAAAACGTCTTGCTTAATGAAATCAGGTTACCGGCCAAAACTCCATGCGATTGTTATGCTAAGTAAACAACAGCTAAATACCAGTCACAAGCAATGTACATCACATGGAGTTTTGGCCGGTAACCTAATTTTACTAAGCAATGTTTGTTCGTGCTTAAGCAAATTTTCTGCTTAAGCAGCTCTATGAAATTGGGCCCAGCTGCAGACTACAGTTATTTTACAAGTGTAGCCATTTTTGCGTGTAAAGATGACATTATTTTTTTCATCCTGGGAAACATTGTTAACTTTTCACGTCTTGAGAAACGTTGGCTCAAGTAAGCGTATTGTGTGGGGAAACCTCTCACGAAAATTTGTCAACTTTTTC